TCCTGCAGTGTTTGCATACCGGTACTAGACTATATCTACACTGAATTTCGATATATCACAATCTGAAATGCCCTGTAGACCAGTGATTCCCAAAGTGGGCGATATCGCCCCCCGGTGGGCGAAAACGATACAGAGGGGGGCGAAAAAGTCGAAGGGGGCGATAGGGGGGCGATTTCGCGAAACCTGTTTTTGTTCGGCGCATCGATGCACTAGATCAGGGGTTCTCAAACTTTTGGTGTTGCGGAGCCTTTGAAAGGTTGAATATTATTCGCGGAGCCCCAAAATAAATGTTAAAATTGTTACTTTCAGATTAATATTCCTGAGCAAGTTAAAAGTACTTTACTTATTTTAAATGCTGAACCTTTTTTGATAGGGTTAACACAAGCCATAAATAAATCTAAATTTTATACTAAAGCTGTAAATTTGACACTTGACGAACATATTAATAAATTAGGGGTCGAATCTTTTCTCTTTTGACATTTTTGGAAGTCTTAAAAGGCCGCTAATAACGTGCGCAATTTCATTTTGTTACAATCGCCGATATTTTTTGTCAGCATGGCGTGTTAAAAACAATCATCTTTACATCGGTGTTTATTCTCCCTAATTCAAAAATTTCCCCCGGCATATACACGTAATGTTACACAATGACGACATTAATTGCTTTTTTGTTCTCGTGGGGAATTATGAGTTCAATGTGAAAAACATGTTACCATATTATAGTCATCGGCGACGAAATGCTAAAAATAATAATTAATAAAGATTAAATCCGCAACTCAAATTCCTTGATTGAAAATCGGCATTCTAAAATTTAAAACTGAAACTTAAAATGGAAGACCACTCGTTTGGTTTCAGCAGACTCACCTCAGATTGAAAACGCTTTTATAGACATTGTAAATCACAAAATTTGGTGTTATGTTAGATTTTCGTCGTAGTAACTGCGAAATCGAAACACAGTCAATTGTGCGCGCGATGTACCTCTTTTCCCATTCTGAAACTACCGACGGACCCACACGCAATCAATTGTGCGCGCGATCCGCTATGTACCTTTTTTTCATTCTGAAACTACCGACGGAGCCTAATGCAATAAAATAATATTCAATTGTTCGTATTTTTCCCAGACATTGTGAGTGTGCAAAAGAACAAATCAAGTTTGACAAATCCCAAGATCGCAAAAATAGGACTCCAATTTATTTCTAGTTGGCAGTTTATCACATATTTTATGTTATTTTAGAATAGTATTCTTTCAATTTAGTAATCCTAATAGTAATCTCGAATCAAACGTGGGTAACGATGAGCACAATTACATTATAACGAAGAGACACGTTAAATGCTCGCATCGGTCATGGATTGAATATTTTACGCAACAGAAATCTCGTTATCCGTTTTTTTAATCGCGAAGAATGTTGCGCGGAAATTTCCAATCCCAATTTTGAACCACCTCCCTCCTAAGAATCATGGCTGCGCTCCTGCTTATAAATAATGTCATTTTTTAATTCCGCCTCTTTGTCATATTTCGAGGCAATATTCTTGTCAGATTTTATCAAAGCTGTTATTGCTTCTTTGAACAGTTACAAAATTTTGAGTCAGTATTTTGAAGAGTAATCGAATACCTCGAGGAGCCCCTGGGTTTCTCTCGCGGAGCCCTGGGGCTCCGTACGGAGCACTTTGAGAACCTATGCACTAGATTACTGTACTCTGCGTGCTTTCGTATGTTTGATTCACGTGGGCGATTATCACACGCGAAAGGATTGCTGGACTTGTCTTCGCAGCAAGGCACGGCAGTTTGCGTATCCCAGTGGTCAGCAAATACGGCCGGAGTAAAATATGTCTACATAAATACATTTTATCTACCTATCTCTTCTAATTGAAACCATTCAACAATTTGTTTTTTAAAAGTACCGGTTAAGAATTTTAGTCTAGTCTATCACAGCTATTTCTATACGAATTTTTGATTACTGTGATTAAACTGAGACTCCTAGGAAGACAAAGTGATCGTTGACTTGTTTGATTTATGTCTGACCGGATGCGTAAGGGGGCATTATTCCGTTTATTTTTGCATCTTGCTGATTGGCCAATGTCACGAAGTAAACAAGGAAATCTATGCTCGGCGAAACACCCTAGCGGCGGTTTTGTCTAAGTATTTCATTTATAATCTACGCAAGGAGTAAATTACATTTTTTTACGAAACAGAATTTATCGAGAGACTCGTTTAGACTAAATTTCATCATATCCTAAAAATTCTACTGAAAAGCTACTCGTTTAACGAGCCTACAATTTAATTAGACAAATGGAAACACGCAGAAAAGTTGATGCTGAGTGCAGGGGTTCAATAGCGCAGTAAATATTCAAATATATTGCAATGCAATGGGGAAATTAAATTCATATTATATTCGAGAGATTTGTTCACGGCTTAATTTTTGTAAGAATGTGTTTTCTTAAAAATATCTTTATCAAAATTTCACAAACCATGCAAAAATATTCACTCCGATGTTTGGAAGTAAGCTACATATTTGTGCGAACAATTATTTTCGAAAATTTACATTACAAATAACTAGGATTAGTGATGCTCATTTAGAAAATGTTTCAATCTTGTCGTCGTAAAGCTATCAAGCGTAATACAGCAACAAGACAGTGTCACATTAAATGTCATTGTAATCATTTTTTAATAGGACGAGTTGAGTTGAGTTCACGAATTTTTGCAGTTGTATCATGTATTTTGGTGCAGGTTATCAGGCTGTAGGGACGAACAAGATGTACAAAAATATTTAATAAGTTTAAGAAAATTAACTTTGTTTTCATCATTTTAATGTGAAATGGGGTGAATTTAAGGAGGTAATTGCTATGAGGCAAGAGTACACGTCATATTTTGAGAAGGTACAACTCTGGAATTTTCCATTTCCGACCTCTTATATGGTGAAAAAGGGATTTTCTGCCATGCTACTATTGCCATCAAAACACGAAATCGCCTTTCCATCAGTAAACGGGGTAATTTTAGATATAATAATAAACTCGCTGAAGAACACCAAGCTCAAAAGAGATAATGCCATACATATTGACATAAATTACTCAATATAAAACCGCTGGATACTTTTCAATCAGCTTTATCATCCAAGTTCCCCACTGTTAATGATGCATTCAAAAGTTTCATTGATTCTTGAACATACCAGGCGCGATTCTCACTGTGTATGTTTACTTGCGGTTGCTTTTTTTTATCAGGAGTATGTTTGTTAAAAGAATTCTTGCTATGCTCCAACGAAACGTTAGAAAAACACATATGACTTAAATTTGCCCCGTGATTCCGAATCACATATAATTCAGTTCAAAATAATCATTGAAGATATAGATTGAGTTCAAAATTAATTTAAATCGTGGAAACAACACTATCATAGAGAAATATAAAAGCGATAATGCGCTACAAGATTCAACATATTTGTGAGTATATTTTCAGAAGTGAGGCAGTATTCATTAGATTTTGAGTATTCAATGTAAATTATTAAGGAAATGTAACTGGTAAACTGTTCATGGAAGTACCAGTTTATGTCTGAATACTCTGCCCTCAACTCAATAGGTCAAGCGCAAATCTTATAGAAAATTAAAAACAAACTATTTTCTGATTGCGGCAATGTTTATTTTAAAATTAAATCAGTTTATATGTTGTTTTTGTGATTCTCCTGTATTTATCATAGTGATATTTATCATCATATTGACGGTATGTAGCATTAAATGCATATTCATGTGTGGGTGATGTACACCGATAAAATGGCTAGAAACACAAAACATGTGGCTTAAATTGTTCGAGTTGTTTCAATGGGGTAAAAGGCAATCTATGGAACTTTCATTAATCAAAGCCTGGACGACCTGAAGTATGCGCATCAAGATGGCGCACAATCTGAACTCAGGTTTTGCACAAGGTTAAGGTTCAGGTTGGGCGACATCTTGGTGCACATACTTCACGAGTACCCAAAGCCTTATACAATTTTGATTGTTTATGCCTAAATGGCTATGAGTAACTATAAAACCTTTTCCAAAATTGCCCTTTTCCAGTTTCCATTTATCAATAAACATTTCCAATCGTTTTTTTTTTTAAATATCGTCACGCTAATAACCGAATTGCGTAAGTCATTCTTAGCAGTGTTGAGAAAAAAATAAAAAAACTTCCTAATGATATTGTTATGCCATTGAGAGTCAATGATTTGGCATGGTTCAATTTTTTGATCGTAGCCGGATTTGAGTTAATTCGTATGACGCAGTTGAGTTAACTGTCAACGCACTGTGACTTAGTCAGAAATGTGTTAATGACTTGGGGACATACGCAATGTTTCAACTTTACTATATGCACCAGTCCTGGAAACTAAACATTCCAAAAACGAATGTAATTCTCAGTATCTACAATGTTTAATCCCCGAAATAGCTAATCAGTTTCAATTACATTATTTTTTATGTTTAAAAATATATATTTCATCAATATAACACGCTCTGCACACCCACCGAAATAAGACTAAGTTTAAATATAAAGAATAAAACAGCAATGCACCCAATATGCTCCTAATGCGGCCTCACTCTGCGTAATGCGCTGCTCCTAATGAGCTGCGCGCAATGAGACTTTTAGGCTACCACCACTAATGACTAAAACTGCTTTTAAGGTAAGGATATAAGTGTTTAATATCCTACTCATACTTTATTACCACCTTCTTAGAATAACTCAATTAATAATAACTGAAAAAGACTGTAGAAAGGCTACTCAACGCAAAAGCGAGCAGTAGTACATCTGATATTCATCCGACCATGGGGGACCCACCCACGGCTGATCAATCTGATTGTTACGTCATGCAGAAGTCTGCGTTCATTGGCCCATGATACCGAAAAACAGAGAATATAGGACAGGTGGTAACACATATTTATTGTAGTAAAAGCGTCTTTTCCGTAAAACGTGCAACTTTTGGAAGTGAGAACAAGGCAATATTTGTTAATGAATTTCTGAGGAACATTTTAAAATCATTTTCAGGTAGTTACTTTATGTGCGCTGCGAAACTGAAAGATAAATAGCCTCGGCTCGCGCCTATACCTTTCCATCTAAAACCTGTACGCTTCAAACCTTACTTGACGTTTTGTTTGTTCCCCCGATTCCATAATCAGTTATTTAATTTTTTTTTGTCTCTAGCTATTATTTTATGGTCTACTACTGAATATGGCGTCGAAATAAACCTATACTTATACGAATCTTTCGTTGTAGCATTCTGCGAAAAGCAGATGTGAAAGCAAACATCACACTGGTGTCGTTTGTGATGAATTGCTCTTTGGTTTTTTAGATCATTGGATTCCACTAACCGAGAAGGGTTTCCCCCTTATTCCATTTTTTGTATGCTTTCGTCAGTCAGAGATACCAAAACAAACTATGTCTGGTTGGGTGGCGAGCCGGAGTACATAAGTTAGGCTTACCATACGTCCCGTTTTAGGCGGGACAGCCCCACTTTCTAACGTCTTCTCGCGGCGTCCCAACCGGTCAGTCAAAAGGCCCTCTTTGGCGCTCAGTCAGCCAGCATAATGCACGAACATTACCAGTTAGCATGTTCTTGTTATTTTTTATCAGATTATGCTCGCGGTACTAGTATAGGCAAAGTAATTATTTTTTGCTAACGTCAATTTCTTTCTATTTTTCGAACTGGACCCGATATTTAAAATTAGAATATGTGCATGAATTTTCGATGACAATGTAGTCATTGAAGACAGCCGGGATGGCTTTAAATGTAGGCCTATGTAGTCAAATTTGTAAATATAAAGTTAAAATAAAAATAAATAGTTGATTCGTGTTTGAGCTATGTGTTCATTTTGAGATCAGCAATTCTTTAAACGAATCTAAACGATAATCTCCGATAGTATTTTCGATGATCCTTGCTTTTTCTTCGTTATGAAGCATGCTTTGGCGTATGCCAAGATTATTTCGTCTTCCAGGCTCGGCGGTCGTTTCATAAGTTGGATTTGTGCAGTTTTAATGGAATTCGAATCCGTTTGTTTGTTCCGTGTAGCTTTAATGTTTTTCTCGTGAAAAAGGAACGAATTTCGAGCAGTGCGATCTTTGTAGCATAATGGAGAAACTACTAATGGATTCGATCGACTGCGAGGTGGAAAATTTCCTGCATGCATGGTAACGGAGTTCAGTCCTAGAGGCAACTTTGCCATGACTAGGAGTTGATCGTACATTGCTTCCACATTGTAATAGGTTTTAGCTGATGCTTCAATATGACTGACGAAGCATGGTGTCTTGAACTGTCGTTTCAGCAACCAATCGTCTACCTCTCTGCGAGGCACAGTGCTCTTCGAAATATCATGTTTGTTGCCAACAACTAGGATGGATACAATAGATTCTTTTGTTGAATGATTATTCAAATTCCAAGGCTGCTTTGTCAAGTCTGTTTTTTGCTTGATGACATTCTACCGACATAAAAGTATTTTATCAGTTACAGTAAATGGTTGACAATATAAAATGACGCGCATTTGCATATAGAGAGTAGATATTGTATATATATATATATATGGTTCCATTACATTTGAACCCACGTACATTTGAACCCATGACAATTGCACCTGTATGCTATTGCACCTATGGAATTTTTTTTGTTTCACGGATAGTTAAACCCATACTAACCCTAACCCATGGGTTTTAGCGCCCGCATATAGATTGAACCCGTGGATATACGCATGGGTTCAAATGTACATGGGTTCAAATGTACGGTCACCTATATATATATATATATATGTACATCACATTTTCCGGAATTGTTAAATTTGTGCCAACACGTATAGAATTTATATTTTGCTAAAAGTATGAATAGCTATTTATATATATATGACAGGTTTAATTTTGGGGTACATCCACACATGCCGTATGCTGCGGATTGCCTATCAAGCGCAGTGCTTATGTAAATAGCTACTTGGACTATATTGGATGATTCAGAAACATGATGAAGTAAAGTATTTGACTTTTAGAAGAACTTTTAAGGACTCACTTTAAAATTCCGTTCTAGAGAAACTTTGATTTTGGCAGCATAGCACTTGATTTGTTCGATAGTATCAATCAAATATTTAGCTCGTTCCCAGCTTCCATAGTCCGATGCAGAATATACTATCAAAAATAGATCTCCTGTACAAAACAAGGTGCGCTATTTTTAATTTTGATGGCGCCATCGCACACACAAAAAAAAAAGATTCCGAATTCCAATAGAGCCCACGGAAATTGTTGAAATAAATAGAAGTCATAGCCTTCTAGCGAAAATTTGAAAACAATTGGTCCTACAGGTAATGATGGAAACTTTTTTTTTTCACAACGTGATGAAGAAGAAAAGAACAACAAAAAATGCTAACAAGATGAATAACGACATAATAACAAAACGATCCATAGGTCCATTTCGTGTCTAATAATATAACTCAGTGCTTGATTGACAAATATCAAATTTAAAACTGGGATTGGGGCGCGATTATCCACTCTGAGAAGACTAAGTAAAGCTCATTTTACAAGCTGGGGCAAAATAACCTCCCACATTTCGTTTGAAAAAAGGAAACAAAAAAGGTCTTTTAATAAATTTTTCATTTAAATTTATATTACATACTAAACAATGCATTTCGTTGCCAATTTGTGTAATTTACTAAAGTTTTATTTCTGTTTTTCTCACCTGTCATTAGAGTGCAAATCTCCATCGTCGGTGGGTAAGGGGATATTCCCGACGTATCTAGAATTTCTAATCGATATGTTACATTAGCAGTGTCATGATTTACTACATGGAAATCCTTTGCGGTTGGAAAATGATTCGTGTTGAAAGGCTGCCCAACAAGTCGAGAAACCAACTGGGTTTTCCCCACACCCGCCGATCCCAGTACAATCATGCGGACTTCGTGTTGGGGTCGGAGTGACAACGACATGGCAGAGCACAATGAGGATAATGGCCTGTAAAGAAATATTTATTATTTTCAAACTTCATTAGAACTGAATTTCATCTAAATTCGAAGTAATATCTATCTAAATTTACTTAAGCAATTACCTTAAAATTGTAATTAAATCAGAAGCTTTGGTAAAACCTTGATATTAAAAACATAACTACTATTGGCCGATGCAGTACTGCCATAGACGAGGGGGAAACTGTACCTCAACACAGTTAAAGATTCCGATCTGATAATAGCCGCATGCTTCAACCTAAAACCTCGGAAGACTCTTGCGAAAGTCAAAATCATTTTCTTGAACCTTAATCATGCCTTTAGATACGTATGCAGAAGATACAAAAACCAAATAGCTCAATAGAAATTTATATACATGTACTCCAGTTTACGCTCATCAACACTTATATCCATTCTTACCTAGGCGATAGTTTGCGATCAGCCATGTTTTCCAGTTGCCAGGTCTCTGTTTCGTTTCAATTTATAATTGTGAAAACTCTGCGCAAGCTTTTTGAATTTATATATTCCAATATTCTGAGCGGTTATGTAAATACTGATATTTATAGTCGATATGATTATGATAATGTATTCCACCCGTCATTATATAATATTTTTAAGCGCCAAAATTAAAGAAGGAAGAGGCTGATTAGCGGAATTTTTTTTGGATAATTAGATATAGTAATCGTTGAACGTGTTCGAATCTTTTACTAACTCCTCTATAAATGAAAAATACTGTGTAGTCGATATTTTCTTTTTGATGAATCTGAATTAATTATATTCTGGAGTAACTTATAGTCATCGATGAAGCCATATATGAAGCTATATATAGCTATTATGAAAAATGTTCTCTTTCCATATTAACCCTGTACTTAACATCGTATATAATAATGTGTTCGGAGCAAAAGTAGTGAGTCTTTTATCAGTAATATTACGACATTTATTCGAGGGATTTCGACATTGCCTTTGTGGCATGGGCGCCTTTTTCATCATTATGCGGTTATGCAACCAGCGAACAACCTGTCGCAGCGTGGAATCAATAAGCGTGATTATAGTGTTTAATTAGTATAAAGTAATCGATGGGTATAATTGCATATCCTGTGTTTATTTGGAGTTTAAAATTTACTTCCCATAAACATATGAAATGCAATTCTATAGAATGGGTATACCCATAATATTTTGAATGCTCATCTATCATTATATTTTCCTGAAGAATAAATGCTATCTTTGTATGATGACAAAAAAGTGTATATTGCAATATTTCATGCAAAGCCTATATTTGTTTCACATATTCACTCTCCTACATGATTTATTGATCCGTTCATTGATGAGACAAGCGGAGCTGTTTTTTTGTACACCAATAGGTTATTTCTTGCCAGTGGCTGGAAAGGAACGTCAATGAAACATTCCAGAGACTCAAGAAACATCTGGGCAATATTTGTGAAGCTGTAAGAAGAACAGTATAAACCAGGGGTGGCCAACCTACTTGCGACCACGATCGACTAAAATCGTCCAAATATCTCGCGATCGACTGATCGGTAATTAGATCATGCGCAAAAACATATACGAGTACTGAATATATATGCATATAACCGTAAATATATATATATATAACTGCACACACATATACAGAAAATTTTTCGCCGCTGCCAATAAGCCTGGTTCCTGGTTTCTTAAGAAATCGCCATAATTTTTTTTTCTCATGTTCTATTCAAATTGATTTGTTTATTGTACCCATAGTAAATGCTTCATCATTTATTTAGAATTTATTTATATCATATAATTCTGATTTAAGACCTGTCCAATTTTTTGTCGTAAGTGTTGAAAATTCCCTTGAAAACCTTGCATGAAACTGGTTCAAGGCAATTTTTTGCGGGATGTTATCAAATTTTCTCAACAATCGACATGTTGGCCACCCCTGGTATAAACTGTGACGACCCTTGTTTTATCTATTAAATGCTGTCATGTGATATTATTGCCTTATTTGGGCATTGGGGACACTGTGGGCGCTGTGACACTGTCGGTTCTGTTTATTTGGGTGTGATGTGGTTGGTTTTCGGTTGAATTCTGGTCATGAGTGTCTGTGGGAGTGCCTCTGGTCTCCGGTGGAGTGCCTCTGGATCCCCAAATGAATGCCATCAATCCATGCACCAACAACTAACAGTACAGCAATGTGAATACTGTAACAATCCCACTGATGCCTATGAGCGTAGCACACTGCAAACTCAAGGACTTGCGTTGAAAGAAACTTTATTCTGTTCACAGCTCACAAGGTGTAGATGAATTGAAATGAGTTATGCAATGCAGGCTTAAATAGGCTACAGCTAGCATTGATGTCAGTGTTAACTTTAACGATGGTATTGTAAAGACTTAGTATTAGCGACAAGGACAAGGACTCAGAGAACAGCCACAAGTATGCTAGGATACAAAATTAGACAATGATCAATATGATGATGCATAAATTACCTCAATCCTCAAAACCTATTCGACTAATATATGAATGAACCTGAAAATATTCTACGTATAAAATTCCCACCTGATAATCATTTTGTAATGAATGGCATAAGTCTAACTCAAAAATAGGAAAACCCGTTATTAATAAAATATATAATCGCACAACATCCTCCCTAATCCGCGAGCGTCTAGGTCTACCTCGTGGCAAGGAAAACTCTAGTAGAAGGCCGTAAAGCGCAGTGGAAGAAGTCACAATAAAGATGGGCATGAGAAACCATAAAGTGAAATTAATTACACAGTGCTTAAATTAAAGGACCTAGTCCTAATGTTGCTTAAGACGGGCATGTAAACATTTCGCACAACCCTGAGAATACAGGTTTCGAGAAATATCAGCGCGACGCGGTTGAAATTCAGGAAAAGGTACGACAAATAAAATATTATTCAAAGAATCCTTATACATTAATTCTAACCCTCACGCAATACGAATAGACATTTACTGGCAACACCTATTGAACATCTGCCACATCATGAATTTAAATCCAAGCGAATGGGACGACGAAAGATAAAATAAAGGACATATGAATACAATAATTCGGAATCCACTGATTGGCAGAAATAAGTTTACTCAGCAACTTGCAAATAGCCTACCACACTTCACGAACCCATAATGCCAAGCTCCCCACCGAATAAAAATATAGGCTCACCTATTCGGTCATAGGAAGTGGAGATATGGGCTGACAAGAAACAGGAAACGTCACTCAGGAATTCTTGCGGCAACAACGGGAAGCACTTATACGAATTAGCATCTCCGACAATATATACAAAGGCCCAAACACGCTAGCCGTCTTCAAGATGTTTGGCATTTTATAAACCGAAACTATCAAAACTAAGCTCAGACTGAATAGGGAAGACAGATATATACATCAACTTTGCATGAACTAATACAACAAATGGTAATAAATTAGTTTGTACAGTATATATACAAATATATATATTCGACCCAAAATTTCGAACAGGATTGCGAGCTACAGCAAAGCTGAAGAAGTACTACGGCCAACAAGTCAATAAATTCACCGGGATTTTTATTCCTCCATCCCGCTGGTGCTACCCATAAATGATAGCATAAATTTACGAAATAGGCTACAATCAAACGACCCAAAGGAAGCTTTTGGGATGGCGGTCATAAAAGAGACCTACCCGCTTTAATTGATAATTATGATAAAAAAAGAAAAATTTTACGCTTACGTCCAATGTTCCCTCTAATTTTTGTAGTATGTGTGCGCAGAAATTATGGTATGTGCTTTTTTGGAAATGACTAATATTTGTGCAAAAACCAATGAAGAAATTTTGGCGTTCTAATCGGGTAATAATTTGGCTCATTAAGAAAATTTTGGTTATCCAATAAGTTTTTCTATAGATTGTAAATGCTTCAGTGAAGGCTATATGTTATCAGTAGATAACAATGAACATACATGGAAAATAGTAGTAGAAATTGATTGTAACAGCTGGTTTTGTTTGAATTCAAATAAAGGGTGAAAAAAGAACAGTGTTACATTACATCGAAATACGTCTGTGCGCAGTAAATCTATGCGTTTGCGCAGCCTCTGAAAGCTGTGTGCGCGCGCACACGCACACCTTAGACGCTTAGAGGGGGAACACTGCTTACGTCGCTAGCTGTTATGAATTCTGCCAGTGGCTTGGGAATTTGAATCGTGCAACAAATTTGAATTAGTGAAGAGGTTATCCACTTTTAATTACTCTGTCGTAACTAATTTATTTTTTGTATGTTTTGCAGCTCTTACAGTAAAAGAGACGCTATAAATAAAAGACAATTTGCCTCAGAATTGATGAACTTTTATCTGTTGTATGGCGACAAATAAAATATTTACTTTGAACTTTTAAATAAAGCCAAAATACATATTATTACAAAGGTATCATATATTTGTATAATTTTTGTTGAATGATGATACTTGCTAAAATAAAACACACTTTCGAAAGCACAAGTGTGTTATAACATACACGAAATAAGCAAAAAAGATATTTCGATGCGAAAGAATTTCCAACACAGTCATGTAAAAGAAATTTGTATATACACTTATCTAAGTTGAAGGAAAGAAATGAAGGAGTACCACAATAATAACATGTGATAGCAATACTCTATAACAGGGGTCACCAACCCGTTGCCCGCTGGCACCAAGTTAGAGTCTAATATTTGACACGATATTTGAATATTTTGCCCAGCCCTATATTAAACTTGCTTTCTATGTATTTTGTAAATTTTAACCCTAAATCAGAACTTTGCTGGTGTTCAAGTTTGGTAAAAACGTTTGCGGCCCGCAATAGATTTTCTCATGAGAAAGTGGTCCACGACACTAAATAGGTTGGGTAGGCCTGATATAGAATGTATTAGTTCTTAACCGAGCAGCTTTGAATTATTGCAACAATTAACTTTTGAGTTGACTAAATTATGCCAGCAACTCTTCATCTTTCATCTGTATGTATTCGCTGGACAAGTTTGTAGTGCTACCATATCTTGTCTTTAAAGATCGCTACTGCCCAGTGCCCACCCAAAACGAAGCGAGGCGGGCATGTTTTCGCCCGTTTTATATTTTACGTCCACAATGTATTGAAAAACGGCAACGAAGGGAGCGTTCGACGGGAATGGTGGTGAGATGATATTTTGATAACGGCTTGATACATCATAGCGCCGGAGTAAAAACACACAAAATGTTACGTTGTTAGTATAAGGTTGAGAACCACTGCTGTAATAAACGGGGCACTGGAAACAAGGTTATTACCTCGCTTTGCACAAATTCCCGAAGGAATCCAAGAGCAACGTTTACATAGCTAAATAATAAACTGTTTCGTCGACATAAACATATACATAACATCTGAACAATGAGTTTTTTACTTGTAGGATGGGCGAGGTGTATCGTTTTTTGATAAAGGGTTAAAAAGGTGTAGCCTACCATGAAAAAAGGGTTGACGAGCACTGCTCTACAGTGAACTATTGCACTGAGCAGGAATTAAGGTATAACAGACAACATTTGGGTAAAATAACGTAACATGCAGAGACAAATAAAAAAGTTAAATAACGATTCATATGACCACTTCATGTCCTATAAACAAGTCATAATAAAGGTGGCACTTGCATATCTCGAATACCCATCTTCTCGTTCAGTGAAGTTTATTTTATTGGCTCAGTCTGTAATATTGGTTTTCCCCCTTCCCGAGGCGAAGAAGAACAAATATATCTATTTTTGATTAGTTTGTATTATGGAATTTTCAAAATAAACTATCTATGGAATTCCTAACCACAGCTACCGGTATGACGTTGCTTCTCATATATCCGCTTATATCCGAGGCTTTCTGTGGCCCATAGGGATAGCTGTCAACGCTTGTTTTTGTAGCTTGTAATTTTATTGGCTTATCATAATATTTTTTTTATAAACTGTGGCATTTTTTTGTTACACTTGTTCTGAATTCCGCAAACACGTAATTGAACTTCATGCATGAGTTCAGGTGACGTCAGGAAGTCTATGGCGTCTCGGAGTTCCCAGGAATGCTACGGGCTTATCGACAACAACAAAGTCAAGAAGGTAAAATTACGACTCGAGCGAAGCAAGATTTCATGGATTCAATCCCAGAATCCGGTTTCAATATAGTATATATTGGTCTGCAATGAATGTGTCGATGAAAACTTTTTGAAATTGTTACAATACAAATAAAATATCGGTCTACTGTGTTCTCTAATCACAAACAAGTGAACAAAGACTACCGGTACCGTACCGGTACCGGTAGTGGCTGTGCATGGCGGTATCGTACTGGAGGTGGAGAGTAATGAGATTTCGTCAAAATAGCCTAGTCCACTCATTTCTTGTAATTTATAGTCTAGTATAAGCGGTTTCAGAGTGGAAAAGTACTTTCAAAACATGCAACAGAAATTGGGTACCGGTATTTCAGTATTTACCGGCAGACCGGTACCCGGTATCTTCTGTTATTTCTTTCAAACTTGGCTGCTTGGTGGAATGGAAATATTTCTCGAACCATTGGTTGTCGTACTTGTTAAAACATGAAAGCAGTTGTCACAAAATGTATTTTTTCCAACTAACCCAATTATTCTGGACTATAAGATTATTTAATTATGATGGTTTATTCTAACTGTCTAGTAAAACAGGTAAAAAGTTTGTTTTAAAAACCAGGACTTTGAAGTCAATAAAAATATCACTTAATTCCATAAGTCAAGCCAATTAAAAAATCAATTCTGGAGAATTAAAAATTCAATTGCAGGGAATTCGAAAATATTGCCCAAGTTTGTCTCAATATCAATAGTACAGTAGTAACATGCCAAATTGTGACTTCACAGTTTTGCGAAAAACACTCAGTTTGAATTTGTATCTCTGTAGCAGCAACCTATGTTTTACTGAATTTTTTCTTTGTTATTATTCAGCTATGAATTTAGTTATACTAGATTAAATATACGAGTGGGTTTTTTGGTTTCAATACCTTTTTTCTGATGGCACTTAAGTGATGTGTACTCGAGGTTATGATATTCATGATTGCACAAATCTATCAGAAAAACCATCATGGAACAAGAAGTTCGAAGTAGCGATATCTTCACCATGTTGGCAAGCTTAATAGATCCACAGTCTGGTGGCTTACAAAGCAGTCAAAACAATAATAATAACAGTAATCCCACCATTCCTATGCATATCAGTGTATCCCAAGCAGATTCAACGGAAAGTCAGGTAAACATAAATTTTCCATCAATTTGTTCTATTGTTTTGTCAATTATCTTCTACACATATTTAGTTGGAGTATTTCCTTTTTTTTCTTTTGATCTTTTGTAGTAAGCACCGTCCTAAATAAACACCCTCGTCACTGTTCAAAATAAACATTAGTAATTATTCATTACAATTATTATTCATTGGTGGAATTCAGCGCCATGGTTAGGGTTAGTGAACGTGTGATTACTTAAAACATGACAAGCGCAATCTGCAGTACTCAAAAAACGTGGGGAGGTTGTTTTTATATCACATATATATCACATTGTTCGCATATAAGTGGCGGTGCTTTTACCAAAGCGCCATTTATTTATTTGGACTCATTCGTATGCTTTTCTGATTTGTTTTTGTATACGTTTACCCATTTAGTCCAGTGTTTTTTTACCTTCTATGTTCACGGATACCTTCAAATTTCTAAAAAAACAGCTCTTTGTTTCTTTTGCTAATTGCAGAACTAGATATCATGATGAAATTAATGTAATCATTGTCAAAAAGTATGCAGAATTTACCAACAAATAGTTCATGAATAGAATAATTCTTTATCATGTGTAATTTATTATTCACACTTTTTATATAATGTGAAAGTTGTTGTTTTCCTTTAACATGAATATCAAATTGATGGCTGAGTTATAGCACTAGTTTACAATATTGGAACTTGATTAAATACCCCATTATTTCTTTGTGTTTAATATAGAGACATGAAAATACTTATTCATTCAATTATTATTTTTTGTTGTATAATATTTCATTCAATATATGAAATTTAATCCATGCATATACTTTTTATACCAGGTTGGAATGAGTTCAACTATGTTGAATATTGCATGTCAGGCTTCAACATCAAATGAAATGTCTGGTTTAACAAGATCTGTAGCTAATAATGGAATTGCCGGTATGGAAAGGATGTCGGCATTTATGCATTCAAATTTTGGAAACCCGGGCAGTAGCATTGATGCTATTTGCACTGGACCACTTCGAGGTATAATATTACATTGTGTGTCTATTGATTTATCGAAAGGCATTGTTGAAAATATTTTTTTCTTTATTTAGATGCAATTTATGAGTCTGCTAGCCATCTGGGATCTGTACCTGAGATCAGCAGTGGTTTGAATTCCAGAATATCTCAATATGCCCCAAACACGATGGATTTCACAAGTTCACAAAATCATGCTGCAATAATGGAAGCTTTAAACACTGTTGACACTGCTGCTAGTTTTCCAGAACAGCACAATGAGAGGTTCTCACAATCTTATGTATCTTTGCTTCATCAACAAACTGTAACGACCGGTAGTGGTCGCTGGACTGGTGATCAGTCATCGACTGGGTTAACAAGCTCAAGAAGACAGAATGGAAATGCTGGTGTTTCAAAGCAACGCGTAGTCAGTTCAAGAAGTTCCGTTGTAAATGACCATCATTCTTCTGCAAGCAATATTCAATCGACTGCAAAAATTAAGGTAATGAAGTAATATTACCCATTGTTATTATTTTGGATAAACAGTTAGGCTATAGGAGTAAATTTATGCAAACTTTTTTATGAAGAATTTCATTGTATTTACGGTTAACTAACTTATCAACTAATAAATCATATTTTTATATGAATTTAGGTGCAAAATTCTTCGCACCACTTTCCTGCCAATACAGAAGGTCGTAACATGCACAATTCTGAAAATCGAACAGGGAGGGGAAACATAGAATCACATCAATCTGCTAATCTCCATAGCATTCAAATGAATCCTGAGGATGTGATAGAGGACCGCAGTAAAGAAAAGAAACTGACAACAACGCCGATTCCATCCGATGCTGACAAATCCAGCTGCAGTAGTACTTCCTCGGGTAGCATCAGCGGCCCAGAACATTCTCCCGAGCATGTAACAGATCATCATGTGTCTTCAAGCAGAATCGATTTATTTCAACATCAAGTTGAAAACAATAAGAAAAATTTTAGCAACAGCCATGCATATCAGGTTAATCAGGAAAGCCACACTGCATCATTGAATGGGGGTAACTCTAAAAACTATCCTTGCTATGGCAACATGAATGTGCTGAATTTTGGAACTATCAATTTTTCTCCAGTTATGGGCAATACAGCTACGGATTTAGGTAATGGAATTAGACCGATCAACAACCAGAATGAATCTGCTATCGCTTCAAACAACGCTTTATCAGAAACACCAGGAGAGAACATATTTGAAGGTGCATTGCCATCTTCTAACAAACAAACTGAACCAAGGGTTGGTATCCCTGGAAAAAGCGCTCTTTCTAGTGCCAGCTCTTATGCACAAATGCAAACTGTTTCTGTCGTTCCCCAACTATCCAATGTTTCTCATCTTCCATCACATAAGTCTAAAAAGTCTGCGAATATCCAAATTGATCCGAAAACAAATACAATTTCAGAAATGGCTGGCATGGGTTCATCATTATTGGATAAGCATAGAGAAAAACAAAAAAAGAATCGAAATCAAAAACATAAACTTGTGCAACAGAGGAGTTTTCAACAAGAGGTACTTGGGCTGGGACAAAATATTCTTAGTGGTGGCGGCATTGGACAATCCAGTAATTTAAAACCAAAAATGAATGCAGATCCAACTAAAAAGAACAACCCAAACAGCCAATCATATCAAATGAATTGGATGACACAACCGGGGATCTTACCACCCCATATGAATATTGATCAGTTAAAAGCAGCTGGCCAACATTTCAGCATTCCTGTGAGTTCTACAAGAGAAGGTGTTAATAAACCTATTAAAAATAGTACAATGGATGTGTATAAACCTGGAATGGCTCCGAAAAAGCCACGTCAATGGCAAACTGTTACTGCAGTTCAAGGCCCCAAACTTCCTCCTATGCTTTCGGAGCAAGATCGCATACCAAAACGTGGACGACCATCAAAGAAAATGATGCAGCAGAATTTAAAAGTCAAAAAAGATGCAGAAAAAGAGAAACCACCTTTGACTCTTACACAGATACCAGTTGCCCCTAAACCTGAATCATCACAATCGCAGCCAACTCAACCGCCCACAAATCTTGTTTCAATGTACACGATCAATGATAAGGGGCATATGGAGGAAATTGCTCCCAAGGTGAAAGAGAATAGAAGAAGTAAAGAGAGAACACAAGCTTTTTTAAAATTTCTTGATGAAATTAAGTCTGCTTCCAAACAACAAATGATTGTAAATCCTAAGTTTAGCGAGAAGGCAAAAACAAGTACAGAAAAAAGTGTAAAAAGAAAACCGCGGGCTAGAACGAAAGTATTTGGTCGTCCTGTGTCTCAGCCACTCACTGACAGTGGCATCACCGAAACAATGTACACATTTTCTGCTCTTGCTCATCAGTATAAAATTTCAAGTTCAATTGTTGAAAGAGCAACAGAAAACTTGCTGAAATCCGCAGCGTTAAAAAGAAACAAAGAGCAGAGCTCTATGTTGGCTGTGCAACAGCGTACAAGTGACAAAAACAAAGGTGCTATGACAAAAAATTCTAAAAGTAGTAATTTGTCAGCTGCTAGTCACTGTGAAATGACTAAAACCAGTTCAAGCCAGTCAGTTACCAGTTCTGCCGTACCAGTACCTAAAGTGGCTGCTGATAAAATACCCATCACTTCATTCAAAAAGGTTCGTGATTCCGGTGAAACCAGAAGTGCAGAATTAATTAGCAGCACTACCAGCAATTCTGCGAATAAACCAATAAACAATAGCAGTAGCCAAAATGTAGTGGGAAACAACATCACTACTACCAGTTCAGTTCATGTGAATAGCAATAAACCACAAATTGCAGTCGCTCAAAATATAAATGAAAACGAAAATGTACCTATAGTAGTGACAGAAAATGCAGCGGAGTTTTCGACCAACGTTAACAAGGGTAAACACAAAAAGAAGAAACACAAAAAGCACAAGAAACACAAACATCCGGATATATCTTCAAGCAAGAAAAAGAAGAAAGATAAAGAAAAGAAAAAGAAACTAAAGAAAAAGTTCAAAACAAAGCTAGGCTACAGTCTAACACCATCATCAAGCGTTTCGCTTGTAAAACCACCAACCAAACCGCAACTTGGTTCCGAGCTTGATATACCAGATTTCCAAAACATTGCACAGAAAGAACAAGAAGCAAAATCTGGACTTTTAGCCCAAGGCAGTAACGAGGCATTTTCATTGAATTTCAGGCAATCTGACAGAACAGATAATTCCAATCCGTGGCAACAGGATGATATCGGTCATGATATTGATGACAGTTCATCAGATGAAGCGAGTGTATCGCCTGAATCTTTGGTGGATAGATCTTCGGAATCGTTTACGACTTCTGCTTCCACAAATGGCTTATCATCATTTGCACAATACAGTAATTCAAGAATAGGATTTGGTACTTTTTCTGCTGATAAATCGTCTGTCAGTACATACTTTCAAGATAAAGGTGTTATGGTTCCTGCCCTGGTTTCACCTACAGCTGATCATTCCGACTCTTTCACAACCCAAAGTCAGACACAAACCACCAAGAAGCACTCAAAACACAAAAAGAAGAAATTTTTTCGAAAGTCTAAAAATATTTGTGACCCGGCCTTTCTTGTCATTTTGGATGAACTTCTCCAAGGTTTTGAGCATCTTAAGTTAGGACCACTGCGAAAGCAACAACGAGATCGTCAATCAACTTCAAACACAAATGTATTTTTTTCCATTGGTGTTAACGACTCTTCTCAGAACAAACTTCGGATATTTCGCAATATAACTACTATAGCTAGGAGTGAGAGGGGATCAAATGTTGTCAAAGGAACGGTGTTTAATTCAAGCAATGAATCGGTGAAAGTGTCAAGTTTAAAGCCGGTTTCTGATAGCTCGCTGAATAGGTCTTCTTCTAAAAACAACACGATTTTCTCGTCTCCAACATCAAGCATTCAGCCTGAAAATCATCAAACTGGGATGGTCGAGGTAACTAAAAGTATCGCAACGTCCAACTCCTTGCCAAACAACACCAAACACGTTCATCAAGGTGATATATCTTCTCAAAATACACAGGGTGCGATTGTGCTAACTAAAAGAAAAAGAGGGTGGCCCAGAGGTAAACCAAGAGGTCCAAAAGCAAAGAAAGGCAAAGTTTCATCAAAGCTTGCCAAATCAATCCAGAAGACCACCAACAACTTGCCAAATCACAAATCCAATTCCATCAATATTTCTCCCAGGTCAAATGACTCGTTAGGCATTGCTGTTAAAAAGATAAGCAAAAAAACAAATGATTCTGAAGTATCTCCAAGACCTAATGTACCAACAGCTAAATATGATTCAAAATCACTAAGCAATATTCCAGCCCATTCAGAAGCGGATAATACTTCTTCTAAAGATACTGTATCCCAGGGTAAAACTATTGAAAATACATTCAATGACAAAGTTTTAGGTGAATCACTTATGCAGCAAATTAGAATGGCAATTGAAGCCAGTCTTCCATCAACAATAGACAAAGATGCCATAACTAAATCTGTGGATGTGGCAGTGCAAAATTATCTGGATAATATGAATAAAACCCAACAAGAGGATTTTGGCAACAAAATTTTAACTCAAGCCAGTAGTACTTTAAGTGAAAAACAAAGTGGTTCAAGAGCACAAGTTTTTACGAGTGTGTCACCAAAACTCAATGCTGACAAACATCCAAAGAAAGTTTGGGCTTGCAAACATCAAGATACTGAGGTCATCAAGACCTCAGACATTGTCCCAGTTACACCTAAAAAACGTCCAGGTAGGCCACGCAAAAACCCATTAAATGTAAGCTCCGATTCTGCTCAAGGTACACATCAAGTTTCTCAAACGTCACTCCAAAAAGAATCATTTAGTGATATCAGCCAAGGAAAAGTTCCAACGACCAGTGCCACAGTGATTCCAAGAAAAGGGATAATATCTGCTATCCGACCGCAGAGCAAACGTTTGAAACCTACCGCGAGAAAACTTGTTGCTCGTGCTAGGAGCGATATCACCAGGCGAACAGCTTCAAATTTACCTGCTCCGTTCCATAATGAACCAATGTCGAAGGAAGATGCTTTGGTTTCTCTAAAAGCAATAAGTTCATCTAAAGCAGTTAAAATGAAACTAGTGAAAGGTTATTTAAGCGATTTTGAGCCAGGATTGTATTCAGAATCTGATGTGGAAGATCATATGAAAGAAATAATAAACATTACTGTTGAAATGTACACATGGGACGTATACAAAGAATTCGAAAAAGCTTGTTTTGAGGTTGAAAGAGAAATGGGATTTATGGATGACTCCGATTTAGGTAAACCTAAAAATCTCGCTGTAAAGAAAAGCATCGAATCAGTCGTTGAAAAGTTAAAAAACAAACAAGCACAGAATATACACAGTGTTGCGACTGTTCTACTTGAACTACATGATGCACCCAATGATGACAGAACTCAAGAATTTGAAAATGTTTCTGACGAAGAAATAAATTCACATGAGAGGTCTATTCTTAAGAAAAGCTCCAATCAAAATATTAACAAGGTGGGTAATTAATTTTTATTTTGTAATTAGACATTATATGGAGTAATGAGTTAAACATTGAATATGATCAATTACCAAATTGATTATTTATGATATTTTTATTTATTTTGATCAATTAACAGTCCAATTTTTTACTGTGATGAACCAACACAGAAATAAACAAGTTTGTACTCGGGGGCTTCAGCAGGGTCAAATGACGTGACTGTGTAAAGTCTTGCTATATTTTGAAGACACAAACCACCACATTAACTTGTTACTGATAAATATGATAAATACAAAACCAGTTGTTATTAAGTTCATTCTGTAAAGATAAGCTTTTTTTCGTCTAAAATATAAAAAAAAAATTTTTTGGGATTAATTTGAATGACATCTTGTTTTACCCTCTATTTTTATCTCATTTATTATATCTCTTTGTCTCCGAATATTGTCAAGTTTTTTTTATTTTTTATATATTGCATATAATTTTTTTTTCAGGTGAAAAAAAACGACAATCTTGCCAGAACTGTTTCAATAAAACGTCCTCGTGGAAGACCAAGGAGAATAGTAGAAGGAGAGACTCCGGTGAAAAAAATGAAAATTTTGAGCGAGGATAAGAAGAAAAGAAAATTAGAGAAAGGTATAGTGAAATTGTATTGTACACTATCTGAGATTTTAATCATTTTCGATCTGATATAGCTCTGCATATTTTCTCAATTTTTTATTTTAAAGTTACAATTTTATCATATTTTTCGAATATTTGTTTCGTATAAGGAAATAATCTTATAAAAGGTGATCCAAAAACATAACCTAGACAATATGCAACATATTTTAAAAAGAAAATAACTTTTGTACAAAGCGTTCCAGGTTAATAAAACTTGTGGGTACGATCTTACACAAACAGAAGTTCAAGTGTTATATAAATGTTCTCCATTTTCGTAGAAATATGTAAAATTATGCGTTATGGTTATGGGTCAGTTTGTATTATGCTATATTAATGATGCAACTCCATTTACACATTCTAGTTTGTGGCAAAATAAGTCTTCATTAAAGTGACTAATATCAATAAATCAACTTGGATGCACAATAAACCTCTCATTCAACATTAGGTTATGAAAAATGGCATATTCTTGGTTCATACCACAGTCTGATCCCAGCACATAACTCGTGGGTTGTGGTTACACTAAATTGGTTGCTCTTTTCTCCCTAATGACAGCAGAAGAGACCTACGCATAAACATGTTTGTTATAAGTTTTAAAAACCTTGCATTGACTTTTGTCTAATTGATAATGAACAAGTTTAATTCTGATTTGGCCATAGTTATGACAATCCTAATTAATGTTTTATTATATAAATTGAATTCAATTGAAAAATTAAGTTAACCTATTTATAGATTTGTTTTTCTAAATGTTGACAAATTACCTTTGAATCTATTCATATTATTACACATTTGACCTGATGAGAATTCAAAATATATTTTAGCTTTTCAAGGGAATGCAAATCATTATATTTATTTTCATCAAAATTCGAAATACTGTGAATAAACAAATTGGAAGAGCAAGAGAATTATTAGTTAAATCTTTTAATTTTATATTAATCTTGGATACTTCACAGTTTTAGTTGAAGTGGCTATAACTTAGGATACTGTTGAAAATGGATATTGATAGTTCTGAAATTGATTATATTCAATGTACTCCAATTTATTTAGAAAATCATCATTATAGGCAATCATGATCTGACTGTATGATAAAAATTGGCCTCATTTAACTTTTACACTTCGAAAGAAGTAGGAAATAAATTCAACTATGCTTATTTTAAAATTTTCGTATTACCTTTATATAATCGCTGCAAATATCTAACAATTTTGGCAAATTTGTCTATTAGAATTTTTTCAATATTTCTATCTGTTCATGCTTCTTATTTTTGAAAGGCGCCCGGAACAAGAAATCTTTTGGTTTTGACTTCCTCTGTTCGCAGAATAATCTAGCGATATTTGAATCTCAATAAAATAGCATTTTACTGACTAAAGCAGTTTCAAGCATTTATTCCTAGTATTGTTCTGATAGAGGAACTGTAAACTGAAACATGAATTTCTATCCATCAGCAGTTTTCAATATTAACTATGACTTCTCTATGTCGGTTCTATGAAATGAGAACTTCGTCCACATTGCAAATTAGTCACAGTCTAAGGAATTTTAATATTTGTCAATAATAATAATATAAATTGTAGTGAATGGATCATTATATCATTATATTGTATACACCTATTGGTGTTTCCTAACTCAATTATTTTGTTTGGTTATAAATAGAATACATATGCTAAAATGAAACAAAACTTTTAACTTCACTACTATCAGATCGTTTTAATTAAATCCTATGACCACCCCTTCACCCAGGTTGTAATAAACTGGGTAGACAATGCCGAACCAGAAATATTTTGGTTCTTCCAATAAATAGAAGCGTTTTACATATCGTTTGATATCAATGGCTGTTTGTTCAGGGCAAAAAGCCAGACTGAGCGCCGTATAAAAATAATTCTCATACTATACTCATAGATAGTAATTTTTGCCTCAATGTGTACACAAATCCATTGTTCCGAATCTCCCTTCCTGCAGAGATAATGTGTGGTTACTATAAAATATTATTCATTTACTGTATTTTTCAAATCACCCAAAATATTTTCATTATTATGTGATGCCATTTTTAGTAGTACTGCCACTAGTAGAATATTTTAAATATAGTGGGTGGCATCTGCCCTGAGGGAAAGTGAAGATTATATGTTTTTCAATACTCTAATTTCATCTTTTTCTGATATTTGTAGAAGAGAAAAAACAGGCAAAAAACAAACATCACAAACAAGTCAAGATATCTGCAACAAATACAAGGTATCGGGTTATGTTTTCATACTTAGTTATTGTAATAACAAACATAACACTTGAGTTTATGGTAATATTGTAATTATGATGTTCCCGGAATTTGGATATTTGTGTTATGTCATAAGAATATTTTTCAATTTAGACAACCTTATGTAACTACATTCCATTTCAAATACTCAAAAACTTGCTAATAGTTTTACGCAGAATGCATTTAGACATTTTGCTGAAGAACATAACTGAGAAATAAGGGCTATTTTACATTGTGATTTATTAGAAAATTCTTTGGGAACATACAATACTATCTGCTAAAAACGAAAAAGGCAGCATATTCATGTCCCAGTTAGTTGTAAGTTGTAACTTGTAACTCAAATATTTGCCATTTCCACAAATGTGTAGGATTTCAAGATGGAATGAGATGTTCATATTTATCTTTGGGGAGAGCAAAGCCGATAAGGTGTATTAACTATATGGTGAACCAAGGGTCTCTCGTTCAGTACCAGTTCATGTTGGTTTTAAGAATGGTTAACCTGTTATTTATTTCAGTGTTTGCTTGATCACGGAGAAAGTCATTACTGGCCAGTTACTGACCTCTCCATGATGGTGAGGTGTCCTGTAATCCTCTTTCTCATAATTATCCCTCATAAGTTTCAAACAACTATAAGTCTTTGTAGATCTCAGCACAATGGTATTATTCCATGCAACTCTATCTTGTGGATTTTTCAAATAAATATTACTATTTTACATTCCGATTAACTTCCTCATTTTATTTTCAGTAAAGAGGAGTCGAATCCCCAAATTTCTACGAAAAAACCCGTTTTGCAAGCTGGTTTATATTCTTCAACATTTAAGAAAAATCAGAAAAGGTAATTAGCATGTAACAACAGATATAACGTTATATGGCCTGATATTAGAGGCTTTGAAGCCTAGGAAAAATTAGCAATAGACTAATGGTTATTGCGACTAAGTTGACTCTTGTTTCTGACTTCAACTTGATGAAAATTTTGAATTTTGATCCCTGAACTCCTTTGGGAATTAATATCATGATAATATATGCTTATGCAGGAGCAGTAGAAATACAATCAGTAATATTATAAAAACATGGAGATGTTTGCCCGGTCATCGTTTCTTAACGTGGTTTACTTTTATATCGTTCCCACTTACATGGAATTTTTTTTTAATTTTATAATATGCAACCTTCTTTAATAAACTGTTAATTAGGCTTAATTAATGCTCAGTCAATTAGGTAAATTAAATTTTTTGAATTTCTGAAGACAATTTTGCCTTCAATTTCCTAGTGTCCTAGTGGATTATTAGTTTATTAGTCTTCAATTTAAATATTTTTAAATGTTCGCATCAAATATCATTGCATTGAAATTTCCTTCATGGGGGTGTCACTGTCAAGTACAATGTACAAATCCCATGCCTGCCACTTCACTTAGGTATCATATAACTGGGTATCTAATTCTAAATTTGGAATACTCTAAAAACTGGTCTTCTACTAATTTAGTACCGGTGCTGACGTATCTGTGACCACCAAAGCCCTTTTCATATCAAAGTTGTGAGAATCATTCACAAAAAATAAATTTTTTTATTATTTCAGCAGCATAAGTTCAGCCAAGGATCCTGCCAATTTATCACCTAAGCTTCCTCCACCATATGATGCCGGTCTTTATTTTCGTTCAACTTTAAAAGATTTTCAACTTCCGTACGATGTATGGTGGATGTATAAGCATAAAAAAATAACTGTCAGTCAGAATCCATCAACTTCGTTCGTGAAAATCACAAAAAGTAAGTTACTTAGACTTTATTGTTTTCGTCTTATTTCCCAATCGGGGCAGAATTTAGATTGGATTTGCTATAGTATTACGTTTATTCCTCACTTCTTTATTATTACTATATTACTATTAATATTATAATTAATGCTCCCATAATAAACTTCTTAAACTGCACAAAAGCGGGAGTGCCACTTTCGCATACCGACTAGGTGAGGGCCCAAAAAAGATTGAATGAATAAAGTAGTTTAATGCATAATGAGGGAGGGAATAAAGACTTTCAAAATAGTCGAAGGGAGCAAATAAATAAAAAAAGGTTGGGCACCACTGGTTCAGTGGCACCTTAGGGAGGTACCTTAGGTTTTCAATCTTAATCAATAAATAAACAAAATTATCGCATCGATTATTACCCAATAGCAGTTACTAACCTGTATTGAATCGCCAATGATGGCGAGATATGGATTGGTACATTGTAAATAGTTTCTCGGGTCTCAGAATTTGAATTTTTGTTATTAATATTTTTATATAAAGCTATAAATTAAACTCAAACTGAAAAATGAATAAGTTATTTTATCTGTTCCCAAAATACCTAAAATATGTGGAAACTGGAAAATTCAAGTAATACTATAGATAACTTATCAAGATTCGATTCTGCATCTTGCATATTTGGTTATGTCTCATTTTTGAGATTGCAAGTGCTTGACAAATAACCGAGGCTCGACAAATGCCATTCCCATAGAACTGGTAGCTTTCATCATATTCTAAAAATAAATGATGTGGTTGCTATTCTAGCGATTTAGGAGTCTTACCACACTAATACAAATGTATTTCTATAACATTTTGTCTGTCAAAAAGGTAAAAAAATATTATGACCATGGCAACTGCTTTGCATAAAAGTTTTATTTGCTTCTCTGGCATTGATTTTTTTTAACATTGTATCTTAAGTGCTTGTTATTGAATTTATTTAAATGTTCAGTCTTTCAACCTCTTTTGACCAAAATCTTTTTTTCTCCTATCCAAAGATATTTACACCGGTTCACGACCCTCTGTCGATGCAAGTGATCAAATATGTACCTGCAACCCAGATATGAAAGAAGCTTGTGGAAAAGAATGTTTGAACAGATCGATGCTTTTTGAATGCCAGCCATCATCCTGCCCATGTGGATCAAGGTATGGTTGTTTGCTTGAGGAGCGATGCTTTTATGACATGTTCCAGGGATGTTGTCAATGATATGAATATATAATTCACATTTATTTAATTTCAATTTTGATATTCAATTTTTTGATATTCGAATTTCTTATATGTTGCCATTCCACGGATTTTGGTCGGAAAGGCATTGTACAAGCAACCACTGATTATGAGGAGCTACCATTCTTGGAAGAACCGTAATTTTTCCGGTTTGACTTTGCCTACTCAACTTATTACACTCTAGTTGAGGTGGTGGACATGAGATTCGAACCAGAATTGGGAAACCTGCGATGGCAACATGGTCAAGTTTCAGGCTTTAACCACTAGGCCATCTCCCATTGAATGAATCTAAAATGGTCCAACTCGAAAAATTACCATTCTAAGAAATTTATGTTCTGTCTGTATGACCAAAACAGCCTTCATTAAATTTCTGCCAATTATAAAAAATAGAGGACCACTCAAATTTGTTTATTAACTTTATTAACTTGATATTATTCAGGTTATTTTGAAGGAATCGGATAATAAAAGCGATAAAATAAACCATGTAACCGCGTATTGGTTTAAATTTGACTGACATTGTGCATTATTCACCGCAATAAAAAGTCTGAAAATGCCCTGCCTGGGGGGTTTCATATCGATTGTCTAATTTTATCAACTAATTGTCAATAGTTCATCACGCTTTCTAGTGTTCTGTTTTTCCAATAGTTTGTAATCCTAGTCTGTGGTTTTAAAGGTGTTTAAAACAAGGAATCGGTGTCCAGGAAAATTTACATTCGATCCATTCTCCCTAATCAGAGACGAACAAAAATTTGACTACGACTCTAGATTGATGTAAATTTTGACTTAGCTCCTAACTCCTGAGGAATCCATGTTTTGAATAAGAATTTGGCAAATGAAAGCCTTTTTTGAATAGAAATTTTAATAGGAATGTTTTGTCAACCAATTTTTTATTTTGAGTTGTTTCCGAAAATTTAGACTTCATTATTAATAGTCGTTAATCCGACTTCGGGAATCCAAAACTCAACTTTGATCTCTGGGGAGTTTGAAAAATTAGACTCCAATGAAAACATGTAAAATTCTGATTCTACAGCCTGCTTTGCGACCTCTTAACAGGGGCGTACCCAAGGGGGTGGATTTGCGGGTCGGGACCCTTCTTTTAAAATATTAAAAAAAAAAGTATTTTTCTGTAACATACATAGCAATTTTTCGTAGCTTGAAACGCTCTTTGACCTTCATGACCCCTGAAAACCCACATTTTCCAGCTTCCGGTAGCGGGTTCGACGCTAGCAATTGAAATTTTCAGAACCCCTCTTTGAACATTCCTGGTTACACTCCTGTCTCTTTATTTTGAGATTTATTTTTAATGTATATGTTATCACAGGTGCACAAATCAAGTCATCCAGAAGGGTAGTTGGTATAATGGCTTGGAACGTTTCAAAACTAAAGACCGAGGTTGGGGCATTCGAAGTAATGGACGAATAAACAAAGGTAATAATAAGCTTTCAGGTTGAGGAAATAGATAGTTGGGTGTTTGAAATTACTAGAATTCTAATTTACTTAGAATAATATAGTATTTACCTAAAATTAAAAATAACGCTAAAAACAGTCTTTATTGTTGACATTTAATACGAGTGACACTGATTCCCAATTTCATTTTGATTTATATTTTTAAAACTATTGTCCTAACTTTATGTAGGATGTTGATCATATTGATATTGTAATATTCTCAAATACGGAATAAAATTTTCTGCGGGGAAACAATAAAAATCCTTTGGGGTTGAAAAATGCTTGTTTAAATTAAAATTGTCTATTAATGTTGACTTAAGTACCCTGCAAATTCGATGTGCGTTTCAGTGTTGTTTGTATTCTCGACTTTAATAATTTGTTCTTTGTTGAAGGTTCATTTATATTGGAATATGTGGGTGAAGTATTGAGTGAAGCAGAGTTTCGCATTCGTACAATCGAGCTCTATCATGCTTACAACGATCATTTTTGTGTTCAACTTGATGCAACAACCGTCATTGATGGGTACAGGATGGCTAATGAAGGACGTTTTGTTAATCACAGGTATGTTATGTATAATAGTTTTTTTCCAACTTTTTTCATCACGACCCACTTGGCCTGACTAATTTTTTTGCGACCCCTGTGAACTAAAATAAAAAAATTATAAAATTGGCCATACCTTAAACTAGAGTCTGTGATAAATGTTAACTCGTGCTCCCCTGAAACTGTTAATATGAATATATTGTAATAGTTGCCACAAAGATGTTTGAACATCTAGATTAGCGTTTCTCACACTACTGTGCTGCGAGGTATTCGCAACTGTGCCGCGGAGCTTTTTGGAATTTTAGAAAATAATTTTGTTAGACTTATGAGAACTATTATTCACACTAATAAAAGACTGAGTATCCATAATTAATTAGATTGATCATAATATTGCATTTGCCTTGTCGCTGTAGTAAGGGGGATTGTCCCGGCATAATTGCATTGTGATGTCATAATGTTTTTGTAAACGTGACTTCCATTGTGTTGACTTGCACGTTCAGTTAGGCAACAGGAAAACAAGATTTTGGCTATCTGCTTACAAATTATATTTAATTATTGGTACAAATGCCATTAAAATAATCTACCATTTGCATCTCCACGGCTCTGTAAACACGTATGTTTTGCTCTGACTGGAATTGAAAGCAAAAAGGCAGCGACGGAACCTCGTTTCAATTGTTTCTCAAAACAGGCACACACATCGCATTAATATTTGCAGAATAATTTGTTTAATTAGGGGCCTAGGGCTAGCTTTATTTTTTCACAAGTGTACCGCAAGATTTTTTATTTGCTTAGTGTGCTGCGAGCAAAAAAAGTTTCAGAATCACTGATCCAGGTAGTATTAGAGTGACAAATAAGAATAACATGTTGTTTATTTCAAACAATCGGGTCATTGTGAACAAACATTCCTTTTCTCCATTCTGGATTCTCAAATATTAGTCAGTTTATCAGACTGTATCATGTCAATTTATTCCACAATTACGTTCATACCTTTATGCCTATATATGTTTATTCATTTTAAAGAAAATTAGTGTAAACCATGGCACTCACTAAGAAGTAAACGAGAATATCGGTCAGAGACCGAAGACTTATCGATTGAAAGTTAGGGGATCTCCCAAACAGCGCTCTTACTCCATAGTGACACCTTGTGTCCCATCACTAATTAATCAATAACTCGCTTACTATACAACATAATTCGCCCAAAATCAATAGGCTTCTGGTCCGAAATAAGATGAATGCACTTGCAAAATCTGGAGCAGATTCAATCTCGCTTTCGTGAGATATCGCGTGTATCCAACAGACAAACAAACAAATACCTATCAACATACTTACCGATTAAAATCGATAAGTAACGATTAAAATCAATAAGTGGCAAGACTACAATAAGTAGCAAGACTACTTATGAGCAAAATTGCGACCATGGGTGACCACAGAAATGCCAATAGTTGCCAAAACCATATAACATTATAGTGGTGCACTCCACCCACGGGACACTGATTTAAGACAAGATTTTAAATGAAGACTTTATATACTAAATTTTGGCATGAAAATTTTTCTCAATCATATTCACAGTTGTGAACCGAATTGTGAGATGCAGAAGTGGTGTGTTAACGGTGAATACAGAATTGGATTATTTGCTCTTCGACAAATACAACTTAACGAAGAACTGACGTATGACTACAATTTTCATGCTTATGATATCGATGCAAGACAAGTTTGCAGGTCAATATTTTAACAAATCATTTCTTTGTTATTTTTGTCCACCAAAACATGCAATCAAGTAATCAACTTTATTCATTTGATACGAGACAACGTTTAGACATCATAGATAATCATGCCAATTTTTATTGTCAGTATACAGTCCGTTAGGCACTCACAGGCTGAAAACAGATAATTTACTGTAATGATTTAGTGTCTTAAAGCGAAAATTTTTAGTAGTTGCTATTAGAGATGTGCTTAGCTTATTAGTGTTAGTACTAAGAATTATTTTGCAATTGGTTTAAGATTCAGTATAAACTTGATACATTTTTCTTTATTTTCTTTATTTCAAAATTTTACTGCGAGAGATTAACATTTTGATCACATATTTCTTTGAAAGTTTTCAGGCAAGGATTTTGAATTTTATATATTTTTAAAGAATATATTCTTGGAAAATTCTTAATAGAAGTACAGGGTGTCTCAAAAGTAAGTATACATTATTAATTTTAAACAACTTTTCAGGTACACATCATAGAGCGTTCATTTCTTCAGAAAACAAAGTATGAATAAGTAGTAAAATTTAGGTATTGTTTGCATTTTCCATCAACCCACATAATGACAAAGAGATTAACGCAAGCAATGAGGTGCAAAATTGCTGTTTGGCAAAAAACATATAAATCAGTAAGGCAATCTAGCACCTCTTTGACAGAGAATTTGGAATTAAATTGGCTCCTACACGAAGAACACTTTATTCAATTCATCGGAAATTTAACGAAACATGATCTGTAGTTCATGCACAAAGATCAGGAAGACCAAGGAGTGAACACTCTTGAGGAAACATTCAGAGTTAAATGACTTTTAAATTCTCTGTTAAAGAGCCGCTGAGTTTGTCTTACTGTTTATATGCTTCTCGCCAAACAGCAATTTTGCACCTCATTTTTGGGTTAATCACCTTGTCATTCTGTGAGTTGATAAAAACTGCAAACGATACCTAAATTTTACTACTTATCCATACTATGTTTTCTGAAGAAATGAACGTTTTATGATAACTACCTGAAAAGCAAATCAAAATTAAAAGTGTATACTTACTTTTGAGACACCCTGTATATTTTATATTCATTTTAGAAGAGTCTTATTTTAATCAGATATATTAGCAGGACATTAATAAGTCTTCAACAGTCAGAAGTTTTTCAAGATTTCAAAACAGCAACATTGCAGTATTGTATAGTCTGACAGATGGCAGTGGTATTGGCAGGACAGGTATAGTGCTTATGGAACCCTTTGATAAGTGTATACTCAAAATAAGCGTCAAGTCAGAAATTGAGTGATATTCTATGTGGTAAATCTTTAATGGAGTAGTGTTACTCATCTTGAATTCATTTCCATTGTTATGTAAATATTAACTCTGAGAATGTATTGATTTTTATATGTATTTAATAAACGTATATTCCACCCGCAATAGATAATTTCTCTATTAATAATTATGATTATGAATGTCTGTATCCCATTATTTTGGTGTTCTGGAATTTTGCATTGCCATGACTTTCGAACGAATCAATATGAATTGCATTAACTGCTAACTTCTATTCAGTAAATCGTACATAACTTATGATTTTATTGTGAATATACTGTGTAAAATAAAAACAGTTAGTTTTTGTCACCTCAATTTAAGAGTAATATAAATTCAGAGGACAGAGAGTGATTTTTTTTAATTTGTCCGAACCCAAATCCTTGAGATGTTTAGACAGATATCATATTATATGGATTGCAATTGTAACTAATATCATCTGTCATGAAAAAATTATAATTGTCAACAGGTCCTCAAACTGGACCATTGTCTCCTCATCCCCCCTCGAGGACTCGAGTAATGGCCATTCACGATGAATACATTCATTTAGAGTAAATTGAACCTGATTTCTTTAATTCTCTGACTGTATTTATTCTTTGGCTTTCATGTATCGGCTTATAAACATGGTGCAAAAAATGACTGCTCGTAACAAGTTAACCCCAAACCAGATAATCTTGTAGAAGACCAGGGGCCAATAGTATTGAGTGAGTGTCCTGGGAAAGGGGCCTTGGATTAGAGCTAGGATCTGAAGCCTGAACCCGAATTTTGGGTCGGGTCTGGCCTGAAATGTCAATCTTTTTGTTCGGGTCGGGTCGGGCTTCTCTATCGCTGACTTTTTTTTCAAATAAATAAATGTTTATAAAAAATATATACCAAAATTATATGTGGATACTAAACTAAGGAATACTTGTTATAAAAGAAATAATTTGAATAAAACAGAGAAGAAGCTGTAATGGACATTTCCATGACCTTTGACTCCTGAAAATATCCATTGCAAAATTTTCGTGGCTTATTTTAAGAACTACTAAATAAAATATGAAATATCGGGTTTGCTTCGGGCTTGGCCCTGCAAATCCAGTTAATTTGTCGGGCTCGGGTCAGGTTTAATACACACGGGCCTGGGTCGATCGATCTTAGCTGATCCTGATCTTACCTCTATCATGGATCATGAAAGTCTGAGAACCATTGGTTTTGAGTAAAATTTCCCATTCTCTGATCTGCTGTGTTAGAATATTCTTTCCTACTTTAACTTTTTATCCAACTTCTTCCATATCAGATGTGGATCGCAACATTGTCGTGGATTCATTGGTGGAAGGGATCAATGTTCTTTAGCTTCAATCAATAACAATGAAGATTTGTCTTCTGCTCAACCATCAGTCAGTGTTAAGTCTGCAAAACTCGGATTGAAACGCACAAAAGGAGCATCGCGTCACACGAAGGTATTTGTAAATTTCGTTTCATTGTGGATTAACGTACAAATATATTCATAATTTGCAAACCGATACCGTGTCTGTGATTCGCTAAGAGAATGTCCAAGCCAGACGTTTCCCAAACTGGGGAACATGCAGGGGCACAGCCAGCGGGGGGTTGTACATGGGTCGTAACCAGTGGTGGGATTCAACCGGTTCGCACCGGTTCTATATAACCGTCTCACAGAATTTCATGAGTTCAGCGAACCGGTTAGCATTACTGGTTACTGTCAATGTTCTGTTTGTACCAGAACCGGCTGAAAAATAGGACTTTTGTGAAGGAACCGACTGACAAAAAATACGAGAATATCGGTTGGAAACCGAAGACTTATCGATCGATAGTTAGGGGATCCCCCAAAACAGAAACTGCAGTTTCGATTCATCCGCTCTTGTAACTCGCGCACTGCGCATCGCACACACACACTCGGCGGGTTTCAAAATTCTCTCGCTTTACAAAAATCTAGATCACTATATCAATAATTGATTGATAACTCGCTAATTATACGACATAATTCGCCCAAAATCAATAGGCTACTGGTCCGAGATAAGATGAATGCACATGCAAAATCTGGAGCAGATTCAATCTCGCTTTCGTGAGATATCGCGTGCATCTAACAGACAGACATACATACAGACAGACATACATACAGACAAATACCTATCAATATACTTACCAATCTTAAGATCGATAAGTAATAAATCCCACCACTGGTCGTAACTCCCCATTTGCGAAATTTCTTCCACAAAAAGCAACAGCGTCATTTTACGGTCGCGCATCATGGTTTCGCAATCAAAACGATATTATTCTGTGTATTATCACCGAGCGTAATTAACACAGCCAGACTTTTTCGTCTTTACGATATGGTATCTTTTTTAGTTGACGCTGATAATGATAAATAACAATGCGTAATTGTTGATTGCAATTCAGTAAGGTGTATTTTCCTTTCTCTGCATGAAACAGACATGAATCGAATTTAACCGCCGTTATGGGCGCTCAAAAGGAGAGAAGGGTTATAAGCTAATTTGAGGATTTTCTCTTCCCGACTCAATAGGTTTTAGGTTTTATTAACATAAATTTACAACCGATCAGATTATGGTTTAAGTAACAAATTATTAAAAAGCGCATGAGAATGAACATTAGCAGTAAGTATGCAATCTATTATATTTTATAACAGGATGATGATATTGGAACGAAAGAATTCAGTATCCTGCAGATGAAGCCAATATCAAAACAAGATAAAGAATTCATCAGATTCCGACAGTTATTTCTTCTTCGCAATTTAACACAGGTTAGAAATTCTTCGTTGTATTATATTTTTGTTTAATGAAGTTTGGACTAAATTCGCTTCTAACACGGTATTCTGTATTATTGTCAAAGTTTTACAATATATTAATATACTGTAGTTTACTAAATTTTCTCGATTCCTTGGATACCAACTGAATATTTTTATTTGAGATTACTTTACTGATGCCAGAGTGTTTACTCAAAGTGCAAAATTGATTTACAACATTACAAGCGTAAAAATTTACTTATGTAGTAATAGTATAGTTCAGTTTGGGAAACCAAGAACCTGAAACATTTGACTGGTTAGCTATTCAAATAACTGACATGGACTGGTGACCGGACACTGAATAGTTTGTGTCATATCGACTTTCTTTTCCCTAGGATGATATCCTCATATTTCCTTATTTTTATTTTTTATCTTACAGGTAAAGAAAAAGGAGGAACAACTTATGAAAGTGAAGAAAAATGAATCAGGTATATTTTTGAATTATTTCGTAATTTTGATGCTTTTGTTGTAAATACGACATCCCAAGTATCCACTCTTGTCAATCTCGTCTCAGTTCACGAGTTTATGATTTTCAACAGTCTCATTGCCTTTCTTGCTTTATATTCAAAAATTTCTGCATTCATAGGACATACATTGACTCATTTGTTGATTTCTCAACCATTTATTCGAAAATCGTGACTAAATTCATGCAGCTTAGTAGATTATTTTTATAAAAAGAAAGAAGATTTCCATTTTTAACTGTTAATATTGGATTGAAAAAATAGAATTGATTTTTTCAAAGTTCCTTGGATATGCAGCAAAATTCCTCCTTTTCAAATTTTTAAACTTTTTTTTTCAATCTTTATGGGGTCTGAGACAAAATTCTAACTAACATCATGAACTGCTTGCACGTACCAAAGTAATTGGCGTGCACAAAACTACACCAATTCTAAACACCATTAAATAATAACAATGAAGGTAACTGAGAGATGAAAGGTAGGGAAACTTTCTTTACATGAAGATAAGTTTTTTATACAAATTCTGTTATTTAGATGACTCATCAGCAATGTCATCTTCTAATACCAAATCCAAGTCAAAACTGAAGAAAACTCAGCATTCAAAAGAGGTGAGCTTAAGTTCTATTGGTAATCCTTTCTCCATAACTAGTTTCAATTTAATGATTTTTCATTTTTTTTTCTGTTGGACAGGAATGTCAATGAATGATTCAAATCTTTGAATTGATTCAAAATTATTTATATTCGATAATCTGAATTTTATAAAAAATTTCAAATAGTATCTTTTGAATAATAAAGTCTAAGAGTATAACCGAATTTCATTCCTGAAAGATGTGAATATAGAAAATCAGTCATAACATTGTTTATCTCAGGTTTCTTGATTTTCCTAATTTAAGCTCATTGGTTATAACTATCGGTAGAGGTTATATTTTTGTTAGTGTGCAGCAAAACTCTTGAATTGCACATCATTGATTATATATTGATTTCACATTTTCCTCGTCAAACACAACGCAATTTAGAGTATATTTAACATTCTAAATTCAAAAGTATTATTTTTAAAGTGTACTTGAAATAGTTGATTATTCGGATTTGACCATCGCTACCATTGAATGAATATTTATCTAAACATATTTGTAACTTTTATATTATAATATTTATGTGTATCATTCATTACTGTTATAGTATAGTATAATCAACATGCCCAAATTTGACAATACACAAATAAATCATTCTTCTTTGTGAAAATGATCACTCGGTCATTCAAGTTGGAACGGACTTAATTTGTTTGTTGTCTTGCGTGGTATCAGAAGTGACAGACTTTAGTACCAAGTTCAGCTTCAGATTTACTGTTTAAAATTTTGGTCTTACTCATAGTCGCCATTACTGTTGGAGAATCATCAAAAAAGAAAAAGAAAATCTGCGATTGTTTTCTGCTGAAGCATCAACTGAAAAAATCTTGCTTCTTTTATAATCTATTATTTGAGTTTGGATCCCATATTTACTTATTATATTTATATATAAACTTATCTTTTGCACTTCAATTTCATAGGAAAGTGAAAAAATTGAAGCAGCATTAACAGAGATGTATACTGCCATTGCAACATGCAAAGATCAGAACGGAGTATCAGTTGCAATTCCATTTATGAACTTGCCATCGAAAAAGAAGTAATTTTTATTTGATTATTTTTTTATTGCAGTTGCTTTTTGTAGACCAGGTTACCAGCCTGTTCAGTGCAGTAGGCCTTCTGATTGAAAGTTATGAACACCATTAAATGAAAGTAGTTAAAACAGTACAATTGGTCTCTAATGGAAGAAATGCTTTTCGTCATATAAGATCTCTCATTCCCCGTAGAAGTATATTAATTATTATATGAAAAATTGCGGGTATATTTTTCATCATGTAAAACTCACAGATCCCCTAATCATTCTGTGAACCCCTGGTTGGAAACCGCTGTCCCAGATTACTAATAGATTCAGAGTAACAAAGACTTCTTTTTTTCAGGAACCCAGAGTATTATGAAAGAATATCAGATCCCATTGATTTGAGTGTGATCGAACGAAACATCGTATCTAATCATTACAAAGATATTGAAACATTTAATAGTGATGTTCAAAGGGTCTTCAAGAATGCTGAAGTGAGGATTTTACTAGTATATTTTGTAATATTCTAGGCCAGAATGCCACCATGCTGTATAGTAAAGTTATTCTTGATTAGATAATTAAAAGAACACAATTGCTTTAATTGATATTCATCACTAGAGATGTTTATAAAAAAGCTCACATTTTTAGATTCTCCCTTGTGTCCTACTTTATATTACGTATTATTTCAAATAAATGAAGTAGATTTATTGTGTAGTAAATTAAGTTTCATTATGCAGTTAATTCAACAAAAATTTCATTTGAACAAATTAAAAATACAGTATAATTTACAGAAATTTTTCGTTTGATCCCATATTTTAAAATTTGAATCTGCTCTTTGGTCATTGAGAATTTTAAAATTACATTCATGGCTGTCTTTTTGTATATTTAGTATTTGGTAAATTGCATTACAATATTTAGAAATATCATGGAAGAAAATCCACACTGGGTAAAGATGTTAGTCGTCTGCGTAAAGCATATGCCAACGCAAGAGGTGCTGCCATGTTGCTGCTTAACGGACACAAAAAGGTAATTATTTCGAGTTCGATTAGTGATTCAGGAGCAGTCAACTTGCCACAAAACTTAAAGGGAATGATAAAGAATACTATATTTTTTTTTTCTTTAAAATTTGGAGCGACAGCGACTTAACTATGTTGACATCGAAAGGTAAAAATCTCAGGTGCAAAACACGTTTCCCCCACCCTACCCAATGTGTAATGACTGATGAATTAAGTAGATGATGCCAAAGCACAAAGATGCAGTTTCATTCAAAATTAGTAGCATTAATCAGTGTCAGTGTCTGCTTGTCTAATTGGCTATATTTGGTGTAAAAGGTGTGAAAACGCATTGTATGAAATGTTGACGAAAATTTGATTTTCATCTCTGATTTGAACAATCTAACTTCGTAAAATCACCCAAATTCTAATATTTGCCGATACATGCAGTATTGTGAAAATACTTCATTTTTTGCATAAAAATAAATATCACTTGAGCTCATCTATAATATGAATGTGGAATTTTCAAACTGTAAACCTAGAATTTCCTGGAATGTCTATATATTGTTTAGACTCAGATATGAACTCACAGCATTTAATTCAAATTCAGGTTGCAGCCTCGTCAGAACTATCGAGCGAAGAAGACATTGATGAGGCAGATGAACATATTCACAGGAAAAATGAAGATCATATTCGATGTATCTGTGGTATATACAAAGATGAAGGATTGATGGTACAATGTGAGAAATGCTATGTAAGTAGAAAGTTAAATATTATTAATCACATTAATATAATAGATGATTTATCAGAAAATCTTGGCTCTTCTTGGTTCCTTCCAAATCCTTCAAATTTGACTGACATCTTGTTTTAACATGAGTTAGTGTCAAAAAAGCTTTTTATTGCGACCCACATTGATCCCTTTCGCGACCCAGGGGGGTCGGACCCCCCAGTTTAAGGAATTGCGCTCTAGATAATTTAGACTTTAATCTGAATATTATTTCCAGTGTTGATGACCCCAGGGTTAGTTTATCAGTCCAGACCAAGTCGGTGTCACAGGTTGAAGATCTAAGGTTTAAGGCCTGAACACCTTACCTGCGGACGTTGCGATGTATAAAATTCGGTAGACAATGGTAGAGAATATAGCTTCGATTTTCCTGAACACTTAATAGACATTTACCTGTCAGTGGTCTGCTTTTCTAGAGCCTTGTTCTGAGCAAACAAATTACTGTCATTAATGTTTATATTGTCAAAGAACTCTCATTTTCAATGTCACATGAATATAATTGGACACGGAGTGGACATATGGATTGTTTTGTTTTTATGTTGCTGTTCTTGTTCTTATTGTTCTTTGTCTCAGAAAAATATCGCTTTTCTCTTCGATTACTGGACCAAATTGCTTTGAAATTTTCAGTGCTTGGAGATAAAATTTTTTGCTAGGAGGCTATTTACTTTTATTCATTTCAAATATTCCGGTGAGCTGTATGGGATTCGCTTTTTTGTGTGCTATGACGTCATCAAAATTTGCCATCACATGACGATTTCATGACAACATATTTGCCGATCACGTGCTCAGCGACCGATACTATTCCGTGTCCATATATTTGAGCATCGCTCTCTTGTTATAACATATATTTGTAAATTCATCATTGATTGTTTGATCACAATACAATAGGTGTGGCAACATTGTGATTGCATGGGTGTGAAGCCAGGCAACACAGACTGTTACATGTGTGAAGAATGCGATCCTCGACCTTTCTCAAGAGAAATCAAGGTTATTCCTCCACCGCCCCACACTCCAACTGGACATACTTTTTATATGACATTGCTTCGGGACAATCTTCTAGTAAAACAAGGTTAGTATGTTTTCTCTTCTTAACCTTCCGACCGCTCCAATCCCTGACCATTTTATGGGTATTTTTAAACTTGTTTTTTTTGTCAACCATTAAGCCCTTAAGCTTCAATCATGGCTTTTTAAAAGCGTCTGCTAGAGTTCTATTCAGCAATATATCTTTAAAACAGACACCTCGAAAAAAAAATTTTGCAAAAAAATTTCAAAAATTTCTAAAAAAAAAATTGGACTTTGAGATATTCTGTGTACAGTAGAGGGTTAATAATTAATTCCTAATTAATTAGTTTTTTCTTCAACGTTTTCGTCAAGTTTTTCCTAACATAACAATACCGAAACGACTATTATAGCATAAATGGTTATTACTCTGAAATTCACAATTGTATTTCCAGTATTGTCAAGTTCAAGGTCAAATTACCGATACTGATGACGTCACAGCTCTTATTATTACTGCACAGACCACCCCCAATGCAAAAAAATTAAATTTTTTCGACGGAAATGCGCGTAGAACGACGTAAACAATCTCATACGCGCATTCACGCGTTAAAATTACCATTAATTTTACGTTTTTTTTACATACAAAAAATCTCCATACCTCTGCCAACTATGGATCAGTCGAAATCATATTTATCAAAACAACACAGCGCCAGGAATGATCAGGGATAGTTAGTATGACTGAAAATACATGCTAAAGCAATAATAAGTCGTTATAAAGGAGTATTTTCTGTCTGAGCTGAGTCGACATTTTCAGACGTCTGACAGGCGATTTTGAAATCCACGCTATTTATACGATTCGCACTTTGCGTCACGGCTGGAAGGTTTTATCGCTTCTCTCATATCAGGGCATTACGTCAACAAACAGCTAAGAGCGATATTAACAGTAGGTTACCATGTGCTAGACTTAATAGCGTTGAGAATCCCATATGGACTAACGAGCGGCGAGAGAGTTTCAAATTCACTTAAACAATTGTGATTAAAGGAAGATTGAAATCATATAGATCAATATTTCCATCTATAGTTTTTTTGCTTTTACAAGCAATTTGATTTGAACAAGAAATTCATGTATAACCACTTGATATACCTGACCCATTTATATTCGTATCAAGGGAATTTCAGTATAATAAGTTGTATGTGTAAAAATTATTTTGTAATATTGTCTATCTGCGATAGTTCCTCATACCAAATGATAAGATTGATATGTCTCAACCACAGAGTCGGGAATGGGTAGGATTGTTAGGATATGAACCCCAAAATTGAGTTTCTGTAGAACATTTGACTGTGAAGAGCTGTGAGAATTCCAAGTTTTACTCTACCCTCGTCTTCGTGCCTGATCACTTTTCCCAGCTAAGTTTTCATTTTTAAGTGAGTTTCTATGATAGGTTATTGAAGCAAATTCAAAATTATCTCTAATTCATCATTTCAATTAGTTGAAATTTAATTAAAGTAGTCCATTTTTTATGCTGTTTACCCATATCCAGGTGATTGTGCGTATCTGATGAGAGATCACAGATTACGTCAGAACAGCAATACTCTTTCTATGCGAGCATCAAACAGAAAACTTACTAACATTCCACAAGATAAACTTGATATTTTCCGGATCGAGCAGTTATGGACTGATGAGAGGTACGACTTGTATTATGAATTATAGCATCTAGTTTATGTTTATTCTTTTTCTATTATTTTTTTCATGATATTTTCCTGATCAATTGAGGAATTTATTCTGTACTATCTTACCACAGTATAATATGGAGCACAATAGTTTAGAGCGAAGCTCATGAATCTAACCCTAGAGTTTGTATTTATTTTCTGGTAAAAGAGCCGGAGTCGAAGTTTTATTTTGAACTCTCATGTGTATTGAGCTGCAGCTCGAATTTGGGAATTTATGAATCTGACTCATGATTCCACACTTTCAAATTTTTGGTCTGATTCAAAATTTTATCAGAAACTTAAAAAGCATGGGGTTAATCCAATTTTTAAGCGAAACGAGTTAGTAACTTGGTCATATTTTTTTTAACTGGAAATGGGAGTCGGACACTAAGTAAAGTTTCTCTGTCAGAGTCTCTTTCAATAGTTCAAGTGTAACTTTTTCTTCGGCTCAGCAGAACTGTTTTCAAGAGAAAAAATATATTTAGACTCGTAGAACAATTGATGCAATTGATTGCTAAAATCAGCAGAAAGGTACTCAGGTACACTAAGGCAATAATTTTATTCCGATTTTCCTTATTTTAGTTTTATTACAAGTTCGGGGACTATCTGTGTTAGCCAAGTAAATATACCTCTGCCCATAGGTTTCAGTCCCTTTACACAACTTGATGTAAAGTAGGCGAACAAAATTAGTTACCTCCATATTGGCACACATACTTCTGGAGCGCAGGCAAAAATACATATAATGTCATTTCGGAATTTATTGCATATTTCACCTCCAAGAAGAAAAATACTTGCTAGCATAGAGACATGTTGGTTTGACCGTTATTTATCTTTTTTCCTTCTCTACAGAGGTGACAAATATGCATATGGTCATCATTTTCTGAGACCACATGAAACTCATCATTCTCCCTCTCGTACATTCTATCACAACGAATTATTTGCTTCTCCTTTTAATGAAATCATCCCATTAGAAGCAGTTGTTGGATTATGTTGTGTGATGGATCTTTATACATATTGCAAAGGAAAGCCAAAAGGTAAATCAATTTTCAATTTCATATGTAAGCTATATTATTATTAACTCCTTCACTACTGCTACGATCGTTGACATTCGCACAAGGTTACTTATATTTTTTTTGTGATAGGCAGCATGTCAATGAAATGTGGGGTATTTTCAGTCCTTTGATCTGCAGTGAAGGGTACATGAAATATGTAAGGAAATTCAGCAGTGGGTTAAGGGTTAAGATTTGTACCAAACATAGCTTGGCGGATTGCTGTGAAATCGCTTACTATTTTGAAACTTTTTTATTCGTTCTGACCATACTCAGTAAAAAAATTTAGTTTTATATTTATTTCGTAATTTCGATTATACGGTGTGCTTGTTAGATAGCTGCGAGATTTTTTGTTTTTTCAAAATTGCGTGAATTAAAATATTTCTATTCCACTAGATTACAAGATGTCTGACATATTCATTTGCGATTTCCGAGTGGATAAAGCAGCCGGTTTATTCACAAGGATTACGAAGAAACGTTTTCCTATCTGCACCAAACCCCATGTGTTCGACATGTATAAGCATAGAATATGTCCAAAGAAGAATTTTCAAGTATGTATGATTTTTCATATGCTACCATTTTTTACTCTTCCGTAGATTTCTATGTAGCCATGATAATGTGTGCAACCCTTAATAATGGAGGGCAAGATACAAATAACTGGGTAGAATCGCAGGCCGTGCTTTTATTTAACATAGGCTCCTGAATAGTTACAGCACAAAAATTTTGGTTATTGACCTGACATGCGTTGTTCGCTTTGCACAAGCTAGCTAGCTGTTAGGGCATTGTAACGTTATAGGCACTGATAAGAAATGGGACTAAGATACAGGCTTTGCAACACAAAGGGATGGGAATTACTCACACATACCAGATTAAACTAAATGAACACTTCGTTTCGCAGGCGCACTCTATTCAAAATTGGCACTTTTCCGCGAGCTGTACGATTTGTCCTTGTTGGCTGCATTTGGGCCGCAGGTTGCAAACCCTTGATGTAGCTCATAAATTTTCCATTTTCAATCTATGTAGCTTTAAGGATTGCTATAAACCTGTATATTTAATACCAAATGTTTTTCAACTAATTTTCAAACAGCCACATCAAGTTCCAGAACACTACAAAAAATCATCAGGGCGGCCACCTTCGAATACTGAATCATTACATGAAGGTATGAAGTTTTTAAATTTGTTTTCCAATAATTTTTCTTCATAGCTTCAGGAAATAGTTTCACTTTCAAGTAAGTTTATTCATATTGGAGCAATAGATTCAAACAATCGTATTTGTATTGTAATTCATATATCCTCTGAAAAAATTTTTCAATTTTTGCCTTTTTGGCACCGCCTAACCGGTGCTCCCGAAGTATGCGTACCAAGATGTCGCACAACCTGAATCCTAACCGGTACACACATTCTATGTTCAGGTTGTGCGCCATCTTGGTGCGCATACTTCTGGAAGTCCAACATTTTGCCCTTTTGGCACCGCCTAACCTGTCTCATGGACAAATTTACAGTGCACTATTGGTTATCAATTTCATTTTATTCATAAATCTACCCCAACCCATTTCCTTTGCTTTTACTTTACAATATAAGTTTTAAAGTTGGTTTTTGCGTTGAAAGAACCATAAAGAAATCGAATTGTACCCAAACTGGGGCGCCCAATAGATCTCTTCTTCTCCGGCATAGGACATTTTAGTTTTATTAAAGTACCGGTACTGGTATATTTTATTTGATGTCAATTATACAATGGAACACTATTTTATTTACAGATGTACAAACTATAGATTCTGAATATTGCCACGTAAACAATAACGAAACGGAACATGAAGATGACAATAGAGATGAAATACATGTTGGGTCTTCTATTTGGAGAAAAAGACAAAGATTGAATAGAATTGCTCATCAGCTCTTGAGTAAACAAGGTAATAGTTATATTGTTTATTTAAATATAGTAATCGAACAAAAAAACATCGTTTTATTGATTGCATTTTATTGATTTTATTTATTGTTTTGACAAATGCTTAAATCTTTACTGCTACTGAAGCCAAAGGCAATTTTATATGCTCACACCTTGATACTCATGTAGTATGTGAACCAAGATGGCGGACACCGGAACGTAGTATGTGTACCAGGTTAGGGTTAGGCCATAATTTCTGGTACATTTACTACGGGAGTCACTTGGCTAGTCACCGAACTCTTAATAGAACTAAAATAAGGAAAATTGGAATAAAATTATGTCTTAACCCCAACCTGAATGGTACACAGACTACGTGAGTACCATTTAATGAAGTGAGATTTTTAGGAGAATTCATCCAGAACAATGTCACACATCTATTCAGAAATAAAAGAGACTCATTTCTAAGCGAAGTTATGCAATTCTACTCAGAAGTTACTCATTACTCAGTAAAGTTACACACACTCACTCATAAATTTATAAGACCCATTTCAGTGACACAGGTTTTATTTGTGTATATATATCTAAAACATGTCCTGATGTAAACAATTTTGTACAGTATACTTGTAAAATTTAATTTAATATCATCAAAACAGCTGATGTCTCGTATTCGGTGGAGCCCGGGAATACTAAACGTCAGAGAAAGAAATCTCAGCTATCAGTGTAAAGTCTCAGTCAAAAAAGATGGAAGGACACAAACTTTATTTCATGTGAATGAGGGTTACGCAAAGAATAATAATCCATACAAGATAACCTGGAGATGTGTTTGTATAATATTGAAGCTTCTTCTGTGCAAAGGCCAAAATTGCTCATTTTTTTATTCTCGCTTTGACTAAATATTTTGGGAAATTTCCCTAAAGTTCACAGACTATTTTATAATGTTGAATTTATGATCGACTTCTTGGGTATCTGGAGTAGATTTGAATGGAACTTGCACGCAGTCTGTACTTGTCTGAACTCTCCTTCTTTGGTAGTTTCAGTATTTTTTCTTTCTTTTTTTTCAGCAGTATTTTTTCTTGTAATCATCCTGTTGTTCGCGCACTTAATCCCCTGCATGTCAATTACTCATCTTTAGATTGCTAGCCTGGTACTATGTGATGAATTGTTGGCAAAGTAGATTGAAGCTCTATCCGCCTATATAGTTCGTCTACCTGAAGTTTATCATAGCTGGAAATCCTACTCACCATACATAAATGACTTTCTGATTGATGGACATTTTTGGTGTTCCTGAAGTATGCGTACCAAGATGGCGGACACCGGAACGTAGTATGTGTAGAGCTGGGCCATAATCTTATTCCAATTTTCTTTTCTTTAGTTCTATTAAGAGTTCAGGGACTAACCAAGTGACTCCCATAGTATTTGTACCTGAAACTATGGCCCAAACCTAACCTGATACACATACTACGTTTCAGTGTCTGCCATCTTGGTAATCATACTTCATAAGTACCCATTTTGTTATGAAAACCTTTCATTAACCTTGTTAGATTACTTATGATTAGACAATTGTGCTGTACTACCTTCAGATTCTGCGAAGTAGAACTATGTTACAATACTGTTTTGAATGCCAATTCTATTGTGACTGTCATGGAACTTATACGCTTTACTAATATGCTACTTGTCCCTTTGCAGCATCCATGAATATAAATATATTATGAGTCACAAGTACCAAAAATAATGAATGATGAAATATTAGTTTATTGTTATGGAATCTGATCTTTGATGCAAGAAGATCGAAATGCATCAGAAATTTAGATACTTTTTATGATTAAAGTTGGCTAGTCGACCAAAGTTGTAAATGCAAACTTTTGCCTGAAATTGATATGTTTGAAGGATTGTGTATGTTTGTAATGTGAAACATATTTACAGAGATTCTGGTTAATATCTGTACTTAGAAATGGTGTGGTCTCCAGTTAAGTTGTAATGTTTCATTTTAGTTTGGAATCTGCCATAATTATTTGTTGATTATGTCAAAAATGATTGGTTCCAAGATTTTAGAATTCTAGTGGAGTGAGGAAAGAATTTGTTGGTTGCTCCCTCAACTGATCTATTTTTACTCGTGTATCAATAATCAAATTTGCTGTGTGGTGTATCGTATCATATGGAAGAGGAATGTAACATGTTTGAGCTTAAGATCCAGTTTAATGATATACAATTTGAGTGATACTTCTATGGATAATGCCAGTTACCTATGCTGACTTTTCAGTTATTGTTAATCATGCTTTCAGCTGAACACTTTTCTGTATACTCCAATTATTATCATCGCTAGCCTCAATGCTCTGTTGCAATTTTGTTCCCCTTGGGATTCCCATATGCTCTTCACAAATATCTTGTATACACGTTTTAAATCAGTCTTTCATGTTTTAATCATTTTATGGTTCTTTCATGTTCCCTGCATAATTTTATGAACTTGCTCTGATCATTGATTAAGCTTTTCTTTTGTGCTATATTGTATAATGATTTTCATGCAGCTTTTAGAGATGTGCGCAGTTCTGCACGATCATAAATTTGTAATTTAAATTTGTTGCTTTCAATGCTCTGTATGAGTGTGATGTATAATATACATATATATACTGTATGATTTTCATGATTTGCAGCGGTGTATATGCAAACCTCCGAAAGAGAAAAATGAACCTTTGAAGGTAATGAAACCGTTTCTCCAAGCACAAATAAGCCTACAACAGAAAAAGAAGCATGTCGGGCAACCTATTTCAGATTATTGGCGTGTGTCATTTTTCGAGACTTCAGAGGGTGCTTGATTCTCAGTCTGCAATATTGTTATTTAAAAAATTGATTGAAGATACAGAAAGGTTGAGATATAGACGGTTAAGGTAACATTTTGAGACGCGACTTGCAGAAATGATTTCAACTAATATTAAGACGAAAACCGGGCACAAATACGGGAAACCATCTAATTATCGCAGACTCTATAAAGGAGAACATGTTAATGTATCACCAATGACTATCTTTAGTAATTTATTAACAAAAGAAAACATGGTTACCAACAATAAAATTATGTATAAAGGCTTCGGTATTTAAAATCTATAAATATACAAGACAAAGTTATAAGCGAGAAATGACGTTTAGATGTGTAACCAGTAGTTACACAAACAAGAGTATTCATAGAAGTATTTTGCGCCCATGGTATAACATAATGTTAACTACATACTGGAAAAGATACAAGATATTATAAATAAACGATAAAAAACATAAATGGCCAATCCAAGAAAAAATGATAACCGTACAAATACTCGCCACAAAACACTCCCATTTTTGCGCGTAGGAACTATAATGGTCGATCTTTCTGGAAAAAACGTTGGCCATGTTATGGACTCGAAATACTAACGCACGTTTCGTTGCGATGCGCGGGTTTCGCGTACTTTTGACTGTCATGTGCATTTCTTGTTTGTAAGTTTGCAGTGTACATCGTATTTGTGTGTAAATCTCATTATTTAGGGCCACCAAAGCAGTTTAAGTATGTTTTGATACATTAGCTATACTGATATATGGAACGGGAAGATATAAAAATAAACGGGTTGGCAAGCGATTTTTTGACTTGGGGCTGTGCAGTCAGTCATGCGGTACCGTAGTTAAATGCCAGTTAAATTGTAAATCCAGAAAAAAAATATTGAAAAAAGGGGTTGGCATGCATCAGTTGACTACATCTCTGTATGTTACAATATACAGATATAGGACACCCACGGCCACACATGCAGACAGTGAGACAACAGAGGCAGAAAGGGGCCAGTCTGGATTTCATGGCCTTTTCGAACGAGAAATCGGGCGTGCAATCAGAAATTCCCGCGTGCAAATGCAAATAAGAATTTCTGGCGTGCAATTATAGCTCACGGCGTGCAAAACAACTGCGCCCGCTAAACTGATTTCGACCTAAGATACCTCTCAATACATCCGCGTAAAATTACCAGTATTGGATAAAAAATAAGTTGAATCATAGCAAAAATGGACGTTTGACCTTTGACCCCCAAAACATCATTTCTATATTTTGTCACTAATTTTGAGAGTGTTTGTGCGACTTTAGATACCGGTACTGTTCAGTACATCCGTGTAAAATTATTGTATTAAAAATACGCTGAATCAGAGCCATAACTGGCCAGCGTCGGTGAGGAGGCGATTTTTCTCACACATATTATTATATTTATTTATTGTACCAATTTTTTGTGCATTTGATGTTTTTGTGACGACGAATAAATGATTGATTGATTGATTCTCACGGGATTCCTATCATTCAACACGATATGGTGATTTTTGCTTCGCATTTTTCGATCAGGCCAAATCTTGCAAGCAAGTATTGTCGACAATTGTAAAGTTATAATTTTTTGGCATCTTTATATTACTAGATTATTGATTAAAAAACTATTTAAACCGATTTACATTGGTGAGCAATTGCAAATTTTCGGCGTGCAAAATTGAATTCGCTCGCGTGCATTTTTGTGGAGCGCTAGCGCCCTCGGGCGTGCATCTGCCATGGAATCCAGTCTGGGAAAGGGGTGTGGTTATATCGTACATTTGGATTTTGTTGCCTTGTGTTGACCTTGGTCCTACAGTCCTGGTCGTCGGAAGGAGATTTATGAGCCCACAGTGTCATGTTCTATTCTAAGTTATTAAAATTATGAAATTTACCATAATTCTTAATACAGTAATAACTGAATAATGTAATATGTTGGCCATCTGGCCATCCTCCTTTCCCCACCATTTCTTTAAAAATCTTCTGTTTTATATTTATACTACTGTACTAGCCCACTTACATCAGTTAATCGAGTCCTCTTTAAACTTCCAATGTTTTTCATAGTCAAAAAGGATACTCACTTCATTAAATTTGATCAACTATTACTGTATTAAGTTGATAAAGGCTTATACATATCATAATGACACAGTTTATATGTCAAAAGTAATAATTAATATTTTCTTCATTAGAAGGCTAAAACTATACTGCACTGTATTAGGATAAAATGGCTTTTAGAATTCCAAAAGCGCCGGGTTTTGCACAGATGATGAAAGATGGCGCGAAGCATTTTCATGGACTAGAAGAAGCCGTATATAGAAATATAACTGCTTGCAAAGAATTAGCAGCAACTACCAAGTCTTCATTTGGGCCTCATGGTATGAATAAAATGGTCATCAATCACTTAGAAAAACTTTTTGTGACAAATGATGCTGCTACTGTAATTAAAGAATTAGAAGTTCAACATCCAGCAGCTAAAATGGTTGTACTTGCCTCACAGATGTGTGAGCAAGAAGTGGGAGATGGAACAAATTTTGTTTTAATTTTTGCTGGGGCTCTTCTTCAACATGCGGAAGAATTACTTCGAATGGGATTGTCAATACCTGAAGTGATTGAAGGATATGAACAAGCAGGAGAGAAAGCTTTAGATATACTAAAAGACCTTGTTCACCGTGAAGTAAAAGACCTTCGTGATCGAGAGGAAGTTGCAAAATCTCTGCGCACAGCAATCGCTAGTAAGCAATATGGAAATGAAGATTTTCTTGCTGGTTTGATTGCGAACGCATGTGTTTCAATTCTGCCTCCTGAAAGTCTAAGCTTCAATGTAGACAATGTTCGCTCAACTAAAATTCTTGGTGGAGGAGTGGGCGGCTCGAAGCTGATCCATGGCATGGTGTTCCAAAGAGAATGTGAAGGAGATGTCACAAGAGTAACCGGAGCAAATATCGCTATATACAGCTGCCCTTTTGATATGCTGGCTACCGAAACCAAGGGTACAGTTTTGATAAAAAATGCCGAAGAGTTGAAGAATTTTAGCAAAGGCGAAGAAAACCTTTTTGAAAAGTATGTCAAAGAGATTGTTGATAGTGGCATTAACTGCATTGTTACTGGTGGAAAAGTGAGCGACCTCGGTCTCCATTTTGCAAATAAGTATAAGTTAATGATTGTCAGACTGCAATCGAAATTTGATCTAAGAAGACTTTGTAGAACTGTAAAAGGCACTGCTCTACCAAGACTGACTGCTCCTACACCCACAGAAACGGGCCATTGTTCCAGTGTTTGCACAGATGAAGTAGGAGACACAACTGTTGTAGTATTCGAAAAGGCACAACAAGACAGAAGTGCTGTATGCACACTTGTTTTGCGTGCAGCTACTGATAACATAATGGATGACTTGGAGAGAGCTGTAGATGATGGAGTAAATAATTTTAAAGTTTACACAAGAGATCGCCAGCTTGTTCCTGGAGCTGGAGCCACAGAAATAGAGCTTGGCAAGAAAATTTCTTCATTTGGTGAGTCATGCCCAGGACTGGAGCAATATGCCATTCAAAAATTTGGTCAATCTCTGGAAGTGGTCCCTCGTGCACTTGCTGATAATGCGGGCCTCAATCCAACTAAAATAGTGTCAGAGTTGTATGCTGCACATCAAGAAGATGGCAACGCAGCCATTGGAGTTGATATCGAGGAAGGAGGTACCTTGAATGCTTCTGAGGCATGTATATGGGATTCCTATCTGGTGAAATATTGGGGAATACGTCTTGCTACGAATGCGGCGATCACTGTGTTACGAGTAGATCAAATTATTATGGCAAAGCCAGCAGGTGGCCCGAGAGCTCCCAAGAAGCAAGGCGACTGGGACAAGGATCCAGATGAAAACTAGACATTAAAACGTGAAGGGTCAAGTGCTACCTGTGTCATCTACCCGAAGCTGGTCCACATCGAAAGTGTTTGTGAATTATATTCTGGATGTTTTTGCATGAATTTTGTAGAACTTTTGTAGTATCGGACTGCTCAAATATAAATCAGCTCCATCCATTTCTTCGAATTACTAGGGATGTTTGAACTTGACCTACTTCATATTTGAACAAATCTTGTTAGTTATTTTGAGTTTTAATTGGATAAGTTCTGTGGTAGTTTGAATAGGGTGTTAAAAGTAATATTTCAACAGGGCTGTTAACCCTTTTCGTGCGGTGGGCATGTATACGTACCTTTCGCTAGATTGATAAGAAGTCTTCTTCGAGATTAACATAAGCGACGGTAAATCTCGCTTTCGTTTACGACGGGAATTTTATTCTCGGCGGAACGAGGGAGTGTTTTTGAAATTTATGCAAATTTTGGTGTTTTTTGGGTGGTAATAGAAGACATTATCCCTTCCATCTACCAAAGTATTTTGAGTTAGATCACGAAATTGCTACAGCAATATTATGCCAACCACGAAGCGGTAACAGTAAAGGATTTAGCGAACATTTCTATTTTTTATCACGGTTTGAAGTTTCAACTTCCAAGAAAAAAAAAATGCCTTTTTTCTATCCGGTTTGTGACTCAGACGTCAGTGAGCAGCAGAGGATCATTAGTTTTTCGTTAGTCGATCGATTAGTTGTGGGGGTACAAATGCATAAAATTGGCGTAGCAAATACGATTAAGTGTTAATATATAACTACGATTCCAACCAGCGTTTCAAAGATGAATTCTGTACCTGATAACTCATCTCACACCTGTCTATGGGTATCTTATTTCTGATGCTTTTGATTGTATTGTTCAGATCTGCTGTTGTTACCACAAAGCTCATATAAGGCATTTGTCAACCTACAAACATGTAATGACAGCGCAATCTTCAGATAGCCAGACTGGGTCAAATAGTGCTCCCAGCCTCCCATGAATATTTATTGAAATACTTTCACATCAAATTGTTCTAAACACAGTAGGTTATAATGTCTGCATAGAATACATAAAATTTCGGCATCAACAGTACCTATATTCAACAGGAAGTCACTAGACTTTGTTGTAAAACAACACTCTTAAGAAAGTGCGCATCACTATCAACTCACACTATTATTAACGGGTGCACTATCAGACAAAAGAGTTGCAGTTTTTAAAGTTGCTGCATTAGTTTTGCTTGAGAGATCGGTTCGCTTTTGTTTTGTATAATCGGACACAATCCCAATCAGAATATTTATAATATGTGATGTTGCAAATATGCCGCCGACAATTCCGCACAACCGTACAAAAAATCTCCCAAGTGGCATTGACTGCTCTTGAATCTTTACTGCAATTGGTGAGAAGCTATACTTGAAAAATATTCCAGCAATTCCCATACTATTGTCAGTCAATGTCGATTGCTCGGACACAGAGAATTGATAAGTGTTCGTGTTGAATCGCCTTGAAGATATATGCGTTGCTACAGCATTTATGTAATACTGGAAAGTAGCACCTGGAAGGATTTGATAATATCATAAGATTGTTCAAAATATTAATCCAATCAATAAACACACAATTAAAGTCACCTTGAACATTAGTGAGATGTTCATCTCCATCTAAAACATTGATAAATCCGACTTTCATATCCCCAAATGAAAAATGATTGATTCGATGCGAAAAGTTGTAATTTACATTGTTTGCTAAAAATGACAAGTGAGCATGTCCACCTCGCAATGGTATAGATTTTCCAGCCACAATATGGAAATTACCAGACACTTTGTTCACCAATACATTTCCATAGAATCTGAAATTATTAAAATTATTTTGTTTACAAAAGTGAAAACAGGCCTGAGAATTAAAAAAATATTGTGAGGTTTAACATTTTTAGTTTAGTAAAGTAACACTGCGAATCACTCAAAGATGGACAGTGAAACACTATTACAAAGCTTGAAAAAATGCTTGCTTGTTTGTTGATTTAATTAAAAAATAAGTAAATTTATGAAGCAAATTCTACACCTGCATGCATCAAATGGTCCCAAAGAGGAATCCTTCTCTGCCTGAAAATATATCTGTGTAGCATTGAACCCATGTTTTATAGCAATTTCACTAATTTTAGTTCCATCATCTTCATCTAATAGCACAGCCTTTTTCTTCAATAATGAATCTCTCAAAAATGATTCCTCTGGAGAAAGTTCAAAGTTTACTTGCTTCTCTCTTATTTCCTGAAATAATATATCAATACATAGTGGAAATATAACATGCACCGTGAAACTTTTAGTAATGCTTTTTCCAGGCCACAGACATGTCAGATAAAAAATGTTGGTTTCAAACAGAATTTAATTGAAGTTGAATGCACTCTTTCATAATGAGATATCAGAAATGTCCAAAATCCTATTTTACAATCTAATTGATCAATAGACAATAACCTATTTTTTCATGCAAGAAATCACAGATAATTCAGTCAGACAAACACAAATTAATATGCATTATTGACAAGAAGTTGCTAAGGAACAGAGCCGATTACCAAAAATCTGCGACACGAAGATTTAAAACGAGTCAAAAACCAAACTTATGAAGTATTCATATCATCATTAAAAATAAAGCTATTCATACAACCAAATATGCATATCAAGTTTATTTCGACTCTATAATAGTATAACACTAATACAATGACTTACTTCTGTAAAGACCCAGGCTTGGCCAGTAACGTCCACAACATCAGCTCCTATTAATCTGCAATCCGATGCTACAGTGATGTCAAAATTGAGCCAAACTTTTTCATTATATTCCACATCAACTTGGTATTTGAATTTCAACCTGCAGAACAAAAACATTTATATTAATTCAAGGCCATATATCAAGTATAGATCTGAATATAAACAATTTACCTTGTGTCCAAAAAAAATCCAACTTCAGAGATGACCAATATGAATATAAGCAAAAATGTGCATATGGATATGGCTCCACCTCTCGCAGATGTTTCCGAATAAGATTCTGGAATCTTGGGAAATGCATCAAGCTCCTTGACTGTAGTCAGAACAGTACGTGGACCTCTGTGACGAAGCATTACGTACAGACATAGACAACACTATATTATTCAGATATTCTGAATTGTGGAATTATATACTTTCTAAAAATCCGTAGTTGCACCATAAATGATAGAAATTGTAAGTTCTAGTTTAGAATGATTGCTAAAAAATTACTAGTCTTAATTACTATCCTGTCAACTCTGTATCCATCACGGCTAAATATAAAATAGTCTTGTAACGATAAGTAACGCTAGCAGCGCAACTCAGCTTCAACTTAATGTAGTGTACCGCCCGTTTTCTGTTCACTTAGCTTATACCCAAAGGCCGGCTTTATGTGTATGAATCGGATTCTATATTACGCACAACATTATCGTACTTGATCCATCGAAGAGCGTTCTCAGTGATTAGGTTCAGTTTAGCAATGTCTTTTATGCCATAAACATAAACTATTTAAATAAAAAAAATTCGCAGTCCTATTTTCTCCCAATTTTATCTCCCCATATTCTATGAATGCAGTCAAATTCAAGAATTTGTCAATTTAGCTACTTATACTATTACATATTATGTAAATATCGGTTCCATTACATTTGAACCCACGTACATTTGAACCCATGACAATTGCACCTGTATGCTATTGCACCTATGGAATTTTTTGAACGCATGGGTTCAAATGTACATGGGTTCAAATGTACGGTCACCGTAAATATCATATTTTTTGCCGGGAATTACCTTTGTTTAGGAATAAAAAATTTCTCATATTACAGTGCTCGGAAATTCTTGTTTACCAATCCACGTAAGTTCTTGGTAAGTGCGGTATTTTAGTCGTTGGTAAGTGTTAATGCCCTTAGTGTTGCATTTGCATGCGGGTTGTAGTTTATAACGGATACTATCCACATTTCGGCATGATGCGCCTATTTAGTTACATATTTGATCATAAAAGCTATTTACGTCACAAACTTAGTGAGAAAGTTTACTTCATCCCAATGCACTAGTTTTCTTTGGTGACGCGAACCAATGACATATCAACAGTGGCGTATCTACTTAAAATGGCGCCCATAGCAAAGTCTAAAATTGCGCCCCCATGATACTTGTATGACGATTTGTAATGATTATTAATGGTTTAGGATACTTCTACGTTAATATTTGTTATTAAGTTTCAGTTATTCCCAACTAGAAATTATTTTATTGAAACGTTTTATTAATAATACTTTTCGCCTTTTTTGCACCCTTGTTCAAACGGCGCCCATGGCACGAGCCATGGCTGCCACACCCTAGATACGCCACTGCAAATCAACTGCATTAACATGTCATTGGTTGAGATCACAATCCGTCGTCGGCAATTTGCTGGCTCTAGCTAGCGTGTACAAACTGTTTCCAGGAGTCTAGTACTTCTTTGGCTGTACATCAAGGTTGAGGGCAAGGCACTAAGCTCTAGAATTATGTAAATATGGATTTTGGATATATAGATGAAGATTCTATGAAGTTGTGCATAGCTGAAATGTATGACAATTTCGAGACAAGACAGCAAAAAATTATTCAACAACAAGTGTTGAAAAAAGATTTTCTGTCAATGGAAGAAAATCACAACTTATTAACAACAGCAACTAGTCAATCCTTTTTGACCCAGAAATCGGTTTCTGCTAAAAGTTGTGCACCAGAAGTTCTAACTTCAGGCAACGCAGATCTGGCATGCACTTTAGATTTATCTTCTTTAACAGAAGATAAAGTTGAATTGGATGGAGTTCTTGTGGTGAAGCAAACTTATCCAATTAGAGAGGTGTGGATACAAAAAAGAAAAGCCTGGATACCAACTGCCATGATAGTGGTTTGTGATGCTTCCGCCAATGAGAAGGAGCTTATTATGTGGGGAAAGCAATGCAAGAATATTTTACTCTTGACAACAGGCACTATATTATATGCACGAAATCTGATTGTTAAAAAATTTAGAGAAAACTGTGTGTTGAATATGACTAAAAACAGTGTGTGTTCTGTAATTGGATCATTTGATGATGTTCCCAATGAAACAAAATTAGATGATTCATTACAAGCATTTGTTAACCGCATTGAAGCTCTTAAAACTCATTTTAGTTGGTATAAGCAAAAGAATGTGGCTTACAAACCTAGGGCAATCAGATTCTGCGTTTACAATGAACTTAAGCCAGGCAGTCTCACACATACACAAGCAGGAATAGTTTCAATAAGTTCATCTAGCAAGTCAACAACTGACCATAATCCTATGAGAATTACAGTATCATTGCCTGAAAATACACAACCGTGTGCACTATTTTTACACGGAAGTGCACAGATCTGGAGAAAAAAACTTGTTTTACTGAGAAAATATATGTGGGAGTTCTTTTACTTGGCTTGTAGCTGTTCTAATGATGGTGACACAATAGAGTTGCACACAACAATCATTTCTACTGCTAAACCCATCTTCGATGATATTTCGGACACTAAAACTTCAAACATTTCTATAACCAGTGTTAAACAATTTGATAATTTAACTAAATTTAAAGAGTTACACTGTGAAGTGCAGTTATGTGGCATAGTAACGAAATCAGTAATTTGCCAACTTGGTAGTAGACAATTGTTATTGACAAATGAAACACCAATTCATTTGATAGAAAGGGTGATAAATAAATGCTTTAAAGTTGGACATAATGATGATACCTTTACAACACAAAGCTTCTTTGAAAATGGAGAAAGTGCAACTCCTATTAATTTAATCATTCCAACAAATGAGGTATGTATGTGAAAAATGGCACGATATCTTTGGCAAGCTAAGCTATTCTTAATCATTTATAATTTTGTTCTTTATAGATTGGAGTTCTCACTATGCAAGTAAAGAAGCTTCTTTTTCAGAAGAACTCTATAGAAGTGAAATTAGAAGACACAGTTGTTATATTCACTGGTTTTGTCAGTGATGAAACATCTAAAAACTGACTTCTGATTTACTAAATGATCGCCATATTTCAGACAAGCTAGTTGGGAATATCGGCACTCTCAGTGAAGTCCTATTTTTTTTTTATTCTGTTGTCTCAGCTTGATATAAATATTAGGCGAAACCTCTGAAATATTTATTCTAATCCTGAAATGATTTCAACCATTCCATTTGTAGATAAATGCTATAAATATATTTATTGCACAACATATACTATTTGACATTAGGTATTTCACAATCACGCAGACACAGGCAGATGAGCATATTTCACTATGGAACTTTGACAAGATGTCATTTTTACACTGGGGAGAAAATAATACATCGCATTGCGAGATATAGCCATCTAATACTGGGAAGACTTGCCCCAAAATGGCCAGTCACAGTGTACAGAGTCTCACCAGTAATATATTACATCAGGGGTCGGCAACCTTTTGTCGCTCGCGGGCCAAAATTAAGGGTTTCACATCACTGGCGGGCCGCACATATTTTTAGAAAGTTGAAACCGAACGGATGATATTTTTTATAACCAGAATCAAGCAGTGACACATCTCTCGAATAGAATATTATAGCCTTATTTCCTCATTGCATTGCATCTCAAAAAATTCCAATCGAATATTTTCGGCACCATTGAACCCTTTGCACTTAGCATCAACTTTTCTGCGCTTCATTGCCATTTGTCTAATATTAATCAAATTATAGACTCATTGAATGAGTAATTGTAAATTTTATACCTGTTAGATTATAATATAATTTAGTCTACATGTGTCACACAATAAATTCTGTTACGTAAAGAATATAATCTTCAAACCACTGTTTTGTTACTATGATTCAGTGAAGTGTCGCGGGCCGTAGGTTGCCGACCCCTGTATCCTGCTCAACCCTTATGAATGAGATAGTTTCATCCGAATATTGAGTGTTAAACGACGATTAGTATCAGAAACAAGGAGAAAATACTTGTGCCCTTGGAGTTTAAGCAAACATTTCGGACAGTGTTTAGATACTGTATGAAATGGATCGATGTTATTTTAATCATGCACCATCTTTCTGTCTCGGTGGCCTGTAAGGATTTCTTTGAACACATTTCACCATCCATTCAATGCCTTCATTCACACCTTGACTGTGAAAAGCAAAATAGGTGAGTTAAGTGCATTATGTCAAACTGAGAGAAAGTTACATTAATTATAAGATTTATTCGGCATCTTTGTGATAAGAAAACCGTTATTAGGATATATCATATATAGTGAACAGCCACTAATAATAAAATTAGAATCCTCTCACCCTGTTAGAGCAGATACAGATCTTATCATACAATCTCGGTTGCCAATATGAGTGGAGGAATCATGAAAAGCCTTCTTAATATCCAAGACTGTAGCGCATGATAATACATCTTGCTTGTTTGCCAACACCAGTAAGGGAACAGTATCAAGTGCTTCACTCCGCAACATTTTGTCTGCGATAAACAGATTTAGTTTTAACACATAAATAGACTTCTGAAAGGATACAAAATCTTAAGCTTACAAAAGGTCCGAATACTTTTCATCCATTCCCGAAATATTCTACGAATAATGAAAGTTTGTAATATGTTTCTATTCAACCACTTACCGAAAGCTTGTTTGGATTCTTGTATCCTATCAACATCGACAGAATCTACAAGGTAAATGATGCCATGTGATTCCGCAAAATATTTATCCCAAAGACTTTGTAATTCTTCTTGTCCACCAAGATCCCAAAACATAAGCCTTGATCCACTGATGTCAATCTTTCCAACTAGTGAAAATATATATAAATACATGTTCCTGAGGGGCTAATGGCCTCGAATAACATATACCGGTAAGTGATATGATTGGAAAATTGAATACATCGAAATATCTAATGTTTTAAAATACTTACTATTCAGGCCAACTGTTGTTGTAATTTTCCCCAAATTCATTCCTTTGTAATTTTTTGTAAATTTTGTTTTGGTTTGCTCCAAAAATGTCTATTAAAATATATCAATGCATAGTTATGTACAATGAATGGTACATTTTCTAATAATAATCCAAAAAATATTGGGCCAAAACGGAGAAAATTAAAAAAAACAAGCAAAAATTTCCAATTTGTACTTATTACGTTGCAGTGAAATGAATCTAGCTCAAGTTCAAAAGTTATTCAATACCATGAGAGTCATTTATGTCAACAACATCTGAACATGTATCATAATACTTTGAAAATATTAGAATTGCAAATACTGAAACACTAGCAGTACTGTGATAATAAGTATCATATATTCTCTACACCAGGGTTTCACAAACTGGGGTTCGCAACAATATAAAAAGAGTCTGAAACATATACCAATAGATCATAATCCTATCGAATTGCAGTTAGTATATAAGTTTATCTGGGTGTCTCTGCTCGTTAACCAATTTCGGTTTCTTGCGCCACCTTTCACCCTGAAATGCCATATTCCTTTCTTTCTATTGTCCGCATCAAGTGTATTTTCTTTATAGTGTTAAAATATACACTGATTACTGATTTATTTCGACTCCATAATCAGCATAACTGACAATAAAATGAAGGATGAATTAAATGAGCACAGATATTAGCGATAAAGCTTACCGTTTTTCCAGCATTGTCAAGTCCCAGAATTAAGATACAATATTCGTCTTTCTTCAGAGCATGTCGCAGTAATCCCGAAAGCAAAGTGTACATTTTTAGTTTTGAAATTCTGATCAAATTGGTAATATAGGAAAATTAGTGAAAAGTATTATATAAAAATCATATTACAGTATTATCGGCCATTTCTTCGTTCGTTTTGTTTTATAACTGTATAATCAAAAACTCTGGCATATAACGAATCGTATACGAACAAATCGAAATATACTCATACGTTTAATAGCGATACTACAGAAGTAATTATAAGCGCACATCTCAAAAATATGTATGTAAATCCTAAACGGCGTCAAGCCATCTATCTGTCTATAGATCACTAGATCAACGTCTATGGACCTTTCCCCGACCTTTGACCCCCGGAAAATTCTTTCCATATTTTACCATTGCAAAATTTTCAAGGCTATTTTAGGAGTGCTTTTGCGAGTTGGTGCCTGTAAAATGGGGTATGTGTTTCAAACCATCATTATGATTCATCGCACACAACAATCTGTTTTTTAAAAGGAAGGAAGTCGATGCTCGGGGAAAGGTCCATTATCTTATGCCTGGACATGATCAGTATCTAGTATATATTTACGTCAGTATTTATTTATGGTGAAACTATGATTGTTTTAGGGTCAAAGGTTGTGGTAACATCCATTTGTAATACCAGACAATAATGGACCTTTCCCCGAGCATCGACTTCCTTGTTTACTTTGTGACATTGGCCAATCAGCAAGATGCAAAAAGTGACGTAACAATGCCCCCTTTTGGCATCCGCTCAGACACTTTTCTCACTCAGACAGATTTTCAAGCGTGGTTGTAAACATTACCTCGTTTTCGCGTTTTTGAACTATATTCGTTAGTTTTCAGTTGTGTATCGGAAACTTAAATAAAAATCAGATAATTTAATGATCACTCTGTCTTACTGGGAGTTTTAATTTAATTGCAGTAATAAAAATGAGTGGAGAAATAGCTGTGATAGACTAGCCTGAAACTCTTTACCGGTACTTTTAAAAAAACAGATTGTTGTATGTGATGAATCATAATGATGTTTTGAAACACGTACCCCATTTCACAGGCGCCAACTCGCAAAAGCACGCTTAAAATAGCCCCGAAAATTTTGCAATGGTAAAGTATAGGAAGAATGTTTCAGGGGTCAAAGGTCGGGGCGAGGTCCATTGGACACGTAGTGGACATAACGATCGTTTCAAAACTTTGTTGTTATTGTTATTATTTGTCTCCGTCAACACCAATTGCTTTGAAATTTTCAGTGGTTAAAGATAACAATTTTTTCCAGAAGGCTATTACTTTTTTTTTTCGCTGTGACGCCATCAAAATTATGTGACTCTACGTGTCCATATATTTGAGCATAGCTCTCTTGTTCAGAAAATATTCTAGTCCAGTTTATTCCAGTGAGTTCCCTCACTGTAGGTGAAGTTGGAATTAGGCTGGTTTCATTATCAATTTTGTCACAGAAATATCAGTATATTTTACATTGATTCGTGAATTGACGGGTGCAATGAATTACATCCGGTATAAATTGAGTAACATAAATGAGGTGTCGCAAAAAAGACATGTTTTGATTGCGAGTAATAAACCTGTATTAGAGACTTCGAATAATGTGTGTCTGGTTACAAACACACAAATAACTAAGAAAAACCAGCCTATGTCACCACAAATCGCAATATCTCTGGAGTAATGCTTGCCCGTCCTTGCAAATTTTCGTAGAATACAAGCAAATTGTTCCTCGAATATATTGAAATTTCGTAATAAAATTTCTGTTTTTCCCATTGATCAGTTGTGAAATTAGGGGAAATAATAGCACAAATTAAACGAGGTTCCATTGTTTCCATGTAAATACAAACATTTAACTAGGGAATGTATGTAACCTACATTGTATGCTGAGACGTAATTTCAGTATGTTATAGTTGTTATTTGTGCTTGTATTCTACAAAAATTGGCAATTAAGATTAGAAAACATTAAATCTTCAGATTCTCGTATTTTAATTTTTTTCGGTTAAAATTTCCTGTTGGGGTGGGACAAATATCAAAAGTGTATGTTTATTTTACTTACCTAGCACGGTCATGTTTGATTGTCCATAAAACATCACCTAACTAAACTTGCTCAAATCTACGACTTACTACTTATCGATTTTAATCGGTAAGTATGTTGATAGGTATTGTCTGTCGTCTGTAGATAGGTTTGTCTGTCTGTTTGTCTGCCTATCTGTTAGATGCACGCGATATCTCACGAAAACGAAATTGAATCTGCTCCAGATTTTGCATGTGAATTCATCATATGTCGTACCAGAAGCCTATTGATTTTGGATGAATTAGGTCGTACAATTAGCGAGTTATTAATTAATTAGTGATGGGACACAAGGTGTCACTATGGAGTAAGAGCGCTGTTTTGGGTGATCCCCTAACTTTCGATCGATAAGTCTTCGTTCTCTGACCGATATTCTCGTTAATGTAATTGTCGAGTTGAAAATCTAAAAAAGGCTTTATTATAGTTATAGCTTTATCTAAATTTTGGTAACACTTAGTAGGACGGTTCCGCACATAAAAAAAAATTGGAGCCTGGCTGTCACGATAAAGATGAATAAATTGTGTTACGTTTGTCTGCTTTTCATTGTGTTCACGTAAGTAAACGAGAATATCGGTCGGAGACCGAAGACTTATCAATCGAAGGTTGGGGGATCCCCCAAAACAGCGCTCTTAATCCATAGTGACCCCGTGTGTCCTATCACTAATTAATTAATAACTCGCTAATTATACGACATAATTCATCGAAAATCAATAGGCTTCTGATCCGAGCTATGATGAATGCACATCTCAACCCCGCTTTCGTGAGATATCGCGTGCATCTAACAGACAAACAGACAAATACCTATCAACATACTTACCGATTAAAATCGATAAATAATAGGTATTATATAGTATGAATATTAAATATATATGGCGGGCTATTTGCAAGTAATAGTGATTGTTCGCCCTTGATACTATACTTGCGAGAAAGACAAACTTCTGTTGTATGATCAATTCAACATTTGAATCTTCCATAACGCAGTCTTGTAATTTATTCGGTGCAGGTATGATATAACCATAAAGTTCAAACAACCTTTCGTTACTATTGAAGTTTTTAGTATTCCTATCGTAACATGAAATATAATATGGCAAACAGGCGAAAACGTTTACAGTATTTTAATTATTCAGATTGCAAGCGTCGTCCGAGGTACAATGTTGACCCGACCAAGCATGTCCCATCGCTTGCTGCGAAGATAGATCTCTCGGCGAAATTAAATATTTTTGTCATTATTCATCAGTTTTGGCAAGTGTACATCTAATATATATATATATATATATATATGTATGAATATTGTATTATTATTAACGAAATCTCTTCACTTCAATATTTATACCAGTTTGTGGATTTAATGCACCGTCGCTATCCTCGAGAACTTTCGTTAAACGCTACGATTTTCATTTTTAAGGGCTATGAGATTCTGGACAGATTCCTAGTGTGTTATGACGATGAGTACATTCCTCGGTGAAAGAAATGAGTGTTTTCAATAACTCAAATGTAATAAAGCATGTGGAGAATAAAAATAAAGAAAAACAATAGCATTTGGTTTTCACTAAAATAGCCCGGGATTTCGTTCGAGAGTTGTAGGTCAAACCAGTTAATGTCAAACTCCAGTGTTGATATCCGCCCAAGAAAGATATATATATCAACAAATTCATAACTGTGTGGATACCAGACGCGTCCAACTGTATTTTTCGATTACTGCAACTGCGCTAAGACACTTACGATAACAGAATAAGGGCTGATTTATACTTTTTACATATAGGCTACATTTTGTAAACCTAGCTAAAAATAGCACTCAAATCTACAGAAAACAAGCAAATGTTTCAAGGTGTCCGAGAATAGGTTTACCATATATATGAAACAATAAAAACCGGAAACTAATACGACAAACCTTGGTTCGATTCCTAGTTTTAGTAATATTTAACACATATACGAGTATTAGTAAACCAAACCACTGGAAAATGTGTACTTTTTTTCACAGTATATAGATATTTTAACGGCAGTGGCGTTAACGTCAGGTGTTAAATTGATGTATTAAACATGAGTTATTTTGAAACAGCAATTAGGCATTCCTCTCTGTGAACTCGTGAAGCGAGTCGCAAATCAGTGATAAATGAACTGCCTCCTTTAAATTAAAAACAAAAAAAATTTTCACGAATTTTGAATAAAAAATATCATTATGAATGCCGTACTGCATAACCATTCAAGTCTACCCGACCTCACTTTCGATTGCTAGACCAGCGGTTCCTAAAGGATGCGCCGCGGCGAGTTGCTAAGTGCGCTACGAATATCAATTGAATTTTGTTAATCCCTGAAAGGTTCTCTCTATACTTCATCATTGCAAAATTTTCAACGCTCATTTTGAGAGTGTTTTGGAGGGTTGGCGCTTACGAACTGGTTCACATGTTCAAAACTATTATTTTTATTTAAAAATATAAACCACGTGCCGCTTATAAGTACTAATAGCTTTTTTCAAGGCTAGTCTATCGCAGCGTTTGCGGTATCAATTTTTGATTATTGTAACTACACTAAATGTCATCGGAAGACACAATAGTAATTGAGGTATTTGATTTGCAACTATTCTTTGGAAACACAACAAAACAAGAGAGCTATGCTAGTAATACAAGTATTATCGTAAATATATAGGTATTATTACTATAAAAGTAATAGCCCTCTAGCGAAAAATATAATCTTTACTCACTAATAATTTTAAAGCAATTAATTCAGTAATCAAGAATAAAAGCGATTTTTTTCAAAACGATACGAAGAAGAATAAGACCAACAAGAAGTTAAGAACAAGAACAAGATTACCAAAAATATGAAAACGATTCATAGGCCCACTCACGTGTCCAACAACAAAAACGAGGCATTGTTTACAGCCACGCCTGAATATCTGTCTGAGCGAAAGAAGTGTCTGAGCCAGGGATTCCCAAGCTTTTTTCACGACGACCCACCCCAAAGACAACTTTCAAATGTGCAGTGCGACCCCAGGTCAATATCTATATATATTCATGAAACTTTAGAGCTCCTTTCACTGGAATTTTGAGTTTGATCATGTGGTGGTATTAAGTAAAACAAGCGAAAACCAAACAGTGATGTCACAATAAGCACCTACATTGTTTATAGTAAAAGCATAGAGAGATGCCTATGGGCCTGTTTTATAGTAAGCCATGGTACAAACTGTTAAATTTATCATGGTTTGTAAAATCTTAGATGTGTTATACATCTATACTCTACAATACCTCAGCGACCCCACCGACCCCATGACCTTTCTGCGACCCTACCTACTTATCACTCCGACCCAATTTGGGGTCGCGACCCCCGGTTTGGGAACCCCTGGTCTGAGCGGTGGCATAAATTCTAATTGTTACGTCATTGTCAACTCATTGCTGATTTGAAATTGGCACTAAAATAAATAAGGAAATCGATGCTCGGGGTAACATCCATAGCAGCATTTTTTTGTGTCTTTCCCAAAGTCTCAATACGGACAGGAAGAACTCTCCGGGTTAGAGGTCAGAGAAACATTGATTGCGTTTGCAGGTTTGAAGATTTTCATTTTTTTCATATTGTGATATTCTTGATGTCACGGTATATATTCAGTGGTGGGATTCAAGTTTTTTGTCAGCCGGTTCCATCACAAAAGTCATATTTTTCAGCCGGTTCTGTTACAAAAGTCATGTTTTTATTCAGTAATGCTAACGGGTTCGCTGATCTTATAAAATTCCGTTTGACGGTTCTATAGAACCGGCAGAATCCCACCAATGTATATATTGATACAAGTTGCACTAATCTACCTACTACCTTTCAGTATTATGCTCTACTGTAGTCTATCTCTCAATAACTTTGAAATTTTTCTGTTATTCTGTATGTTCGAGGCCCAATCTCGATTCTGTGACTTGAAAACTCTTGACTTTAAAAATTGCTCGGAAATCAGATGGGACCGTACCAGTACCTGTATTTCGCCTGGTTTTTGTGTTTTTGGCTACTGGCCTATGTCAGCCTGAGATGAACATATCGACAAGACAGCTTAAGCTTTATATTTCAATATTCAGATATTTGAACTCCACAACTTTATCATGCTGTCATAGACATAGAGAAATAGACAAACTGTCTCATACAGATTACGTACCTATTTCAGTTCCAAATAAGTACCGTAACTTAGGCCTAGCTGTTTTTGTGTTTTCCAATTTGTCCAAGTTTTTTAAAAATAGCTAATACATCTTGCTGTCTTTAGCATTCAGGCATTGCCTATTTCAAAGTTAGCCCATATTCATTTTGTTTTTGAAGTCGTTCTGGAAGTTTACATTTCAATAAGAATAATTTTCTTGGTATTAATATTTTCATGAACAGTTGCATGTAAATGTCTGAATTATCCAGGGAATGTCAGAATGTGGTGGAAATGATTGTACATATTCAGATTTTATTATATTTTTGGAAAAAATTCCTGAATATCTCCAGTTTTTAGTTACATTTTTATGCAAATATCCATCTTGACAATAAAAGAATTCAATGCTGCAATAAGAAAAATACAATTTCAACCTCGAACCGATTTAAAACATACAGAAATAAAATTAACATTGTTTTTATATTAAAAATTTGGGAGTCATACTCCGATCACACTAAGGAAAAAATACAATTTACATTTTCTATAATCATTATGTGTAGGCTACCTTATTTTTCGTTTGATCATGAATATGGTTTTGAGTATGGCCTGGAAGATTAAAGAATTGTAAAATAACTATTACCAATTGGACCTGCCAGTATCTAGTTGCTACCTATAATAATTTGATTCTAACAATTGCTTTCTATTATCTATTACAGAGTTTCCCAACCTATGGGTCGGGGTCGCTATGGGCCGCCTGCAAATTTTTTTGGGTCGCTTGTTTTTTCAACAAAATTAAGTTTGCGGCCATTAAAGTACTACATGCCGTTAATAAAATTTATTTTTCAAAATATTAAATTTTTTAAATTTTGAAATAATTTGGGTCGCTCAAAAAAAGTTGAATACCACTGATCTATTACAAATTACAATAATATCGTTTAACAACAGGCATCGTTTTTAAACGTTGACTTGTTATCAATTATTTTAATTTTACCAGCATCCTTGCTCGCATACTTGTGAATCCACGTTTTTTTTATTTTGGGGTGTAGAATTGAATAAAAAATTAAATCTGGATTATTCTGGTATGTGTTTTTGAATTCGGACTAACGAAAAAATTTCATGACATAGTTATTTTGAAACATTCAGACTCAATAATATAACAGTTTTATTTCTAGTGGTTTTTAATGTTAATTTAAGCTGCTGAACTTCACTTCTTTGCTGAAAAATGTCTTACAACAATGATGGGCTATCATCTATGGGTGGAGGAGGAGATGTTGAAGTTGAAACCGATCCATCTGCGGGAGGACTTTTCACTATGGATTTTAAGAAGTGAGTTGCTGGTTGACATTTTAACAGAATCTTCGACTCTTGGTACCCAAGCTTACTCATAATAGTAGGCTATTCATAATTAGTTCGTCCATTACTATATTTGGTCCTCCCATAGTGTGTATACCAGGTTAGGGTTATGCTATGTTTTAAATCCGATTTTCCCTATATTTTTTTTTTCTATTACAAGTTAGGGGACTGTCTGTGTTAGCCAAGTGAATATAGCCCCTACCCATAGGCTTCCGCCCCTTTACACAACTTGATGTAAAGTAGTCAAACGTAGTTAGTAGCCTCCATATTGGTACACATACTTCTGAAGCACCCTGTAGGTCAATTGAAAATAATTGTTTTTATATTCACTGTATACACTGTATTGTGAATGTGATGATTGAGACATTTTTTATTCTTCGAATATTCTTGCAGTTCAAAGTTAATATTATGTAAACAAAGACCATGGTGACATAGTAACTTTTACCTGGTATTTATTTCCAGGCACGAGGATCTGAAGAATATGTTGGATTCCAATAAAGATGGACTGAAACTGGATGCCATGAAAAGAATAATTGGGGTAAGTAATTCTAAATTGTGTTGTTCAATAAAGAAGTACAACATGATGTGTATTGCGAATTTCTGTGAGATTCTGTACAATGTTAATTACTTTTGGCTCAAATTTATCTGAATTATTTTATATTTTGTAATACAGTAGGCAGGGATGTCCAAAACGATTCAAATATTTGAATTCATTCAAAATTCAATTCTATATTGTAAATTATTGAATTTGGGAATAATTTAGAACATTTTTATTTAAAGACAAGAATATGAAAATGTACGATGTCTCAACTTGTAAAAAACAAACAGAGGAAACAATCACCTACATATTTGTATCATTTTAATTCAGTATAATCACCATGAAGATATAGTGATTTTTGCGTTTTCCACATGAATGTGCCCCTGGTCTGAAATTTATTCAAATTTCATATAACAATGTATTCGAAATAGCGAAATATTCAGTTTTTGCTTCCTGACAGTGGGATTGGAATGAGCCATGTAAAACAGTATTGAACACAAGGTTTTGTAATAATTTCAGATATAAGCTTCATCTTCCTACAAGACTACTATTCTTTATTTCAGATGATAGCTAAAGGAAAGAATGCCTCGCATTTGTTTCCAGCAGTTGTTAAGAATGTCGCATCAAAAAATATTGAATTGAAAAAGTTAGTTTACGTCTATCTGGAAAGATACGCAGAAGAACAACAGGACTTAGCTTTGCTGTCAATATCTACTTTTCAAAGGGGATTGAAGGTATTTTCTTGTTCCTTTGTGTTTTACCACAATATTATACATTTGAACATACATTTCTATGTTATATTGTTATCCTATGAACTGCTTTGCAGGACCAAAATCAACTTATTCGAGCTAGTGCTTTGCGAGTGCTTTCCAGCATTCGAGTTTCGATTATTGTTCCTATCATGATGCTTGCAATCAAAGAAGCTGTTAACGATATGTCACCATTTGTTCGGAAAACTGCAGCACATGCAATTCCTAAACTATACAGGTGAGTTGAAAGTTTAATATGGGAAATCATATTTAATAGATTTTTCGAATTATTGATTGTCTAATCAAATATTTTTACTTGCTTTTAATGCTAAAGTTCGACTATTAGGTACAATTATGGGTAGTTGTTATTTCCTTTAAGCAGGGCTTATAGGAAATAACCTGGATCCATGGAACTGTGACGAAGCCAAGCTTCATACAAATAAATTTTTCAATATTCCAAAATTTGAAATCCTCTGATCATGATTTTGATCATGCGGGAAGCCCATTTCTGAGGTAAAAATGACGGAGCTGGAGCCACAGTTTGAATATACTGGAAGCTGTAGCTGTAGCCATTGTGATCTCAAACTAACTCTCCAGCTCTGCCTAGAAAGCAGTTGTAATTTGTATGATGTTTTCCTAAAATGAATGTTTTATAATTCGTGTGTTTGTATATTGTTATTGACTGAAACATTAGTTGATTTCAGCATTAGAAATTACAAAATTGAGCAGCATATATGAGCAATAATTTTGTTGCCAGTTAATGAAAAGTTTTTGAGATAACTTTCAATATTCAAAATACAATAAATCAATATACATGATAGTGGAATAAATAATTTGTAGATTATCGCAAATTGGTTTTTACTGATAGTTCATGGATACTAAATTATTTACTTGGAATGCATACTTATGTGGAGTTTTGTGAGATATCTCATACAAATAAATAGTCTCCTTTCACACAAAAATCAGCCTACTATTTGTTCAATGTTTTCATTGTTCAGTTTCCCATGCAAACATTAATAATCTAAGCTGACAGATAAGAAAGCGGGCAAAAGGTTGTGCGAGATTTATTCATATTTTTGTATTTGTTTACTACTCATGTTTTATTAATTTATATTTTTTTTGAAGTCTTGATCCTGAGCAAAAAGAAAATTTGATAGAAGTATTGGAGAAGTTGCTCAATGATAGAACAACAGTAAGATCAATAATATTGATATTATATATTGATTTATGACATATTTATTGGAATTTAAAGAACATATTGATAGGCTACCTTATAATTCCATATCCTTACCACAGTGCATATATGTATATATACAATACCTTCTATACTTTTGAATCATATATATGATATTTATTAATTTTGGCATGGCAATAAAATTATCTTCCCAACTTTGGTACAAAGACAACAACGACTCTGACTGACATCTCTTACAATTGGTTGAATACTCTTTCAATTGAAGATGTGTTTATATAAAAAACCACAAATGTATTTTATGATGTTGATGGTTTTATGAGATTATTGGCCGATCGACCCATGAAAATCAAATTTGAAATCCAGTTTAGATTTTCACAAGAATCAAATTATGTAGACAATTTTACTCCGCAAAGTATGATTTGAATTACTATATTGTAAATTAAAAAACAATAACTGTTCGAATTCATGAAAAAAAATTTCCAAAATTTATTCAAACCAACTTCTTTGGACATTTCTAGTTATGATGCTGTTGTCTTTTTTTTATATTCACTGAAGTTTCAAATGTTTTATATTTTTTAGCTCGTAGCTGGGAGCGTAGTGATGGCATTTCAAGAACTTTGCCCGAATCGCATTGATCTCATGCACAAGCATTATCGAAAATTATGTGGACTACTGGTTGATGTCGATGAATGGGGACAAATTACTATTATAGATATGCTCACTAAATATGCGAGAACTCAATTTCTTGATCCTAATAAAGGAGTGAGTAATATTGTTTTATTTTAGGGTGGTTTTCATAAGTTTTAAGAGGAATAAAAATAGTTCTTGATTATTGATACTGATGCTGGACGCATTGTAGTCGTATATTTTTAGACTACCTGATACCTGAGCTGAAGAAGTTTTAAATCTGATTACAAGATTAGGTATTTCATACTTGCTCTAATGGTGTCTACTGTGGGGAATATATTATGACGAAAATTGAAAAGTTGACAAAGTATTCTCAATGTATAATTAACAAGTTTTTGTGGTCAACATTTTCATCAACCAGGGGTCTGAAATCGTTTTTCAAGGGGCTGTAAGTGTTGCGAGAACTTTCCTGCTCCACACCCAGAGGCTTCCAAGAAAATATATTGATAATCGTCAGATATGAGCTCTTCAGTATTGTCTATACCAAGCTGCTTGACCATTGCATTTTACACTTATTCATTTATACTTGTAGCTCTTCATGGAAAAATGTACAAATGTTTACTTTAAACTAGTTCTTTTTATCATCGTATATATTAAATCATATAAGCTTTGAAAGAAATTTCCTGATTCCGAACTTTTCATATCTTTCAATTAATAAAATTTCACTGAAACTCTTCAGGGATATTATTTTTTATAAATCTAGTATCTGATGACCTAATACTTTTGCAAACTGCAATGTTTCAATTTGGAGTAAAAAGTAAATACAATTTATTGGAATTTCACAGGAAGAAAGTTTACTAATTTCGAATGATTTTATCACTACAGGAAGCTGATATGGAAATTGCAAATAGACCTTTTTATGAAGACGAAGAGGAGATAGAAGAGAAGCATGATACAAAGCCTAAATATGTGATGGATGAAGATCACCAACTTCTTCTTAGATGTGCAAAACCTTTGCTGCAGAGTAGAAATGCATCTGTGAGTATTTGCTTTTGTCATTAGTTCCATGGAGATATCTGCGGTTGACGCTCCAGAAGTGTATGTACCAATATGGAGGTAACTAATTGTATTCGCCTATTTTGCATCAAGTTGTGTAAAGGGACGGAAGCGTATGGGTAGGGGGTATGTTCACTTGGCTAACACAGACAGTTCCCGAACTGGTAATGGAACTAAAAAAAGTAAAATCTGAATAAAATTATGACCCAGCCCACTATGGGAGTACCCTGCGGTTTACATCTACAATTTACTATATTTTTAGTTTGTTTTATTCCTCTCCTTCAAGAACTTTTCATGCCCAGTTATTTAATGAAACTTGGAAACCAAAATGCCAAAAACCAATTATTTAAAATCTTATGGTATAAAATGTTTTCTAAAAAGTAGTATATGGGGGCATGTTATTGTTGGAGCCTGACAAATTTGTAACTCGGATGACTATTACATAAATGAAGAACTTGTTCATCCAAGAGAGCTCTCTTTCAGTGTACTCCCTGACAAGAAATTTTTACGGAAAAAGGTTTTTTGAAGAATTTCAGTTGTGTGAAATTGACTATTGCATTGCTGTTTTCTTGATTATATTCATTGGATTGCTTCAAGTCTTTTGTCCTTTGACATCTACTGGTGCATGAATGTTTTCAGTGCCTTGGTATTTTAAACTTTGCTCAGAGCTGAGTCTCTTCGAATTAGTGTGTGTGTCCTTTCTTTGAACAAATGATCTTAATAAAGACATTTTGTAATAGTCAAAATTCAATATGGAACAAATTTCAGATGCTTTATTTTGAATCTATTCAAAGACATGCAACAGTCTATGATAAATTGAATTTCTAATTCTAGGTTGTGATGGCCGTTGCTCAGATGTTTTATCATATTGCACCGAGATCAGAGTTAGTTTATGTCGCAAAACCTCTTATTCGTTTACTGAGAGGACATCGAGAGGTTCAAGCTGTTGTGCTGCAGAATATTGCAACAATGACTTTGAAGAAAAAGGTAAGTTTTATGAGAGTTCAGAAAGTAGTATAAATTAGGTTATTGGGAAATAACAATTTTGAAGGGTTTCAAAAGTTTGATGGTGGAAAGGAGCCATACATTCAGAACTGAATCAAATAATGAATGCATCTGAGAATTGTTATATTGAATATAGCCTAATCTTGCTTTTAAGAAATATTTAAAGTATTTCCATTAGAAAATTTGTCAATTGTAGCATTGGACATCTGAATATATTTGATGTGCCCTATATGAAAATATTATTTCAGAATGGTGAATTATGAAATTTCAGCCATCCCTGCCATATGACTTCCATAATATAGAATACCTTATTGAAAGCAGCATTGTGAATCTATTGGGGTACAGTATCAATCATAGAACCATACCTTGTTATGTACCTATAAAATATTAATATTGGAAAGGATTTACATCTAAGGAGAGTAAAGAGTAAGACGATATCACGGCTTAATCATATTGATCTGGTGATGTTTTAATAAAAGTAAGATATGAAAATTTTTATGAAGAACTAAAAGTTTAATATCAATGTGTTACTGTGTTCGCTTGCCGGACGATCATTTCATGTATGTTGACAATTTTTTCAGTTATATGATTTTTGCAAATTAGGTACATGAATTGTGATAGTGAAATAGTATGTACCGGTAGGTTACTTGGCAATCATCTTAAGATTAGTTACGGTATGTATTTAATAAGATGCAATTCGGATAGCCTTTTTTGTGGAAAGCTATCAGACTGCCATATAGTCAGCAAGTCTGACTTTTAGATCAGCTGCACAAGATGTGCACTGCCAATTTTGATCACTAGGTGTCACTATTGAGTCATATAATCTCTGGTTTATTTTTGTTGTTGTTACTAGTGAGACAGCAGTAAAGTACCAAGTCCCTTGGTATTGGGAGAATGTACTATTCTACCATCTGCTGTCTCTAACGATTATTATATACTCCCTAACTGTTTGTAACATGTGGTATGCAATGTAATGTCACATTCTGAATATACACTTGAGATGCTTCAGGTTTAAGAATAGGTTGAAGCTAGGATCAAAACTTGCTGTTTATTTGTTTCCGTATTCTCATGATGTATTTGTGTTGGAATAATGCAGTTGCGGGAAAGCTGTATTTTCCTTCTGATGAAAAAATAGGATTTTTGTCTATTGCATCAACAGACACTATGACTTTGTGGTGGTGGCCTCTGCTGCTCTTCTACCTGTTTATTAACTCTAGAGAGAAAGCAGCAAATTTGTGATGCTTTTGAACAATTAGCAAAGTTTCTCTATTCATTACTCTCTCACTATTAAAATAATAAGCCACCTCTGAATTATTACCTAATTTAAACATCACATAGAAGTGTTGGTTCTACAGCATAATAATTTATTTTGCTATTAATAGCAATAACTAGGATAATGAAGAATCAAATCGTGATCTGATCATTCCATAACGAACAAAACATGGTTATGTCAGGATCGGCATATGTAAGGCACAATCCATAGCTATCTTGACTTTTCTTATACGCACAACGTCGTTTATTGGGTTTCCATCTCCGTCGTCTATGTAGATTGGTGTGTCTACAGCTATCTTCACTTGTCCACAATTCATTCCTGACATTGATAAAGTCAAGCAATTCATTTTATAGAATGTCTGGAACAATTGACTGTCTGAAATTCAAAAATTGCAGAAGTGTTGTATTAAACTGACCTGATAATAAATTTTTTTGATACACAACTTTGAGACAACAACCAGTCCATATCAACTAATTGATTATATATATACATGTGTGTGGGTAGGGCTTTTCATTTCTAATCTTGTATTCGAATCGAATAGTTGAATATTTGAATCAGTTCAAACAAAAATTTTGAATAGTCGCCATATTTTTTGTTGTTTGTAATAGGTCGAGGTGACTTAGTCAATTTTTTTTAGGAAGCCATATTTTTAAAATGCAGTGCTAACATATGATTTTTTCTTTCAAATGAGTTATTGAGAAAACATGTTTGAAAACATGTTTATCTTTGTGTATGAAGATTGAACTGTCTGAGTAACAGATTCTATTTTTTTCAAGTAATTTATGTGTCTGGAGGTTTCATAGCAATAAAAAAAGGCACAAACAATTTTTTGTATTCAAGATTCAGTTCGAAAAAAATATTAATTCTGTAATTGAGCTAGGGTTAAAAAAAGCTAGACAAGATGTTACATGAATAAGTTTCTGTATTTTTGATTCACTTACCTATATCGTGGAAGAGTTCTACTATATTTCCGTTCATGTCTTCTGCTTCCAATGTCTCTACAGGATGTTCTTCCTCAAATCCTTGGCATGGATTACCATGTGTACCTGTTCCTACAAATTATAAAATTATCTTATTTGTTATAAGGTCATCGCACAATGATTTTTTTGTGGTATGAGGACTATTTATAATAAAAATACAACGTTAATCATTTAATTCTTTCAATGTTCACTTTGAATCTGAGTAACATTTAACAGGGCTATGTAGTCATAGTTTTGTTATCGATGTCGGAGTTAATAAAAAATTTTCAGACTTCTTATGATGATAATTGAGGTCAAAAATTCTGATAGGCACTCAAAAAAATCATTAAATTGACTAAGAATTCTCAATACACAATTAAATCTAAGTTTTTGCGTTCAACTTCTGATTTTTTCGGAGTTCAGAGTTAGAGTCATAGTCAAAATTTTTGTCATTCTGGAATCGCAACCAAGTTCGTTTTCTGAATAATCTGTAGTTTGGAGCTTGACTAACCAGCGAATCTTTTGGAACGTGATCCTCTACTCCATTGCTGTCTTCTTTTTTGTTTCTCATTACACAAATATTGATCAATATATGTTGGTATTATTCTGGGCTTCCAAGCTGGGTGTAGGGTGTAATAGCAGGAACGTAGATGCCTATATTTTTCTTCGTGACATGTATATGCATTCACAGGACCAGTCTGTAAAACAGAATATCATTGAAATATAAAAACACTATGTGTTAGTATCATTATCATGAATAGCCTAACTAGGAATGTCATTATCTTGTAAGTTTTGTTTTCAAAATTTTCTCGTGCAGTTCTTTAAATCTTTTTAAAAAAACTATGCGAACTTGAGAAATACATGAACACGGGGGTTCAATGAATGACTACGGTACCGGTAGCATATGTGACTTTAACTAGAATCTGTTATCTGATCTTTTAAAAAGCTTCAAACCAAACTTGCAATTGTGCAAATTCAATTTTGAAGGCCAGATTGTTTTAAAATATCGTCACTCATTCCAGAACTAGCAATTAACATCAACTATATGCTGACACCTCGATCTCGTAACAAAAGTTATCAATTTAAAGTGTATACATACAGCATATAAAATAGCTTAGCTTCTGTGACTTAAATGAAAACAGCAAAATTTGGGGTGTAACATCGAGTCCCACACGACTTTTGAGGGAATTTAAAATAAAAAATAATAGCCTCTGGTGGAAATTAGGAATTCATAGATTCATTTGTTCTAAATAACAACGGCACTTCTTGTCCAATGAAGAGAATTCCTCCGAAAAATAGTAATTTGAAAATCCTAATTTTTAGTGATTTTGAATTTCATTTCAACTGGATTTCATGCCATTGTTGTGACTTCTATATTCACAAAAGTACTTACCACTGGTGGATATTTAGGAGATCTCTTGGGCCATGGTGGTCTTCGTCTTAATTGTGATGAGATCTGTAACATAATATTATTTATTATAAATGTATTTATAGATTCGGATGTCGAAATTTCACACTTTTAATGGAGTCAAAGTTTTCTACTGACATTCGAAAATAGACTTGCATAAGCTAAAATATAAAAGGGCTCTGTAGTCGAGTCAAATTCAAACAACACAAGAATGAACTTGTCCCTAACAGAACAGCTCTGTTTTGAATGCAATATGAAAAAATATTTTTTGGTATAGACTGTCAAAAATGTATTCCTAATTTGGTTCTGTTTTTTAAAAATATTTTCCTGATAATTATCCAATTATTTTTCTATTTTGTAAAATTATCACAATTTTGAATGGGTTTATTTGAAAACTACAATTAGAAAATATTTTAAATTTGGAAGAGCAGATAAATGTTATTCCAATTGATACTCTATCATATTTCAAACAAATTGTGAAACCAAAACTTACCTCTGCGAGTGCCAATGCAGGAAATATGGTGCTTGGTTTGATTCCTGGTGTTTCTGTCAATCCCGTTTCTTCCGGATAATCATTTTGTGCCCTCACTTTACTGAAATATGATAGAAGGAGTAACACTGCCAAATTGGTTCTGGTTGTATTTCTCAATTGAAACATGTTACCAATTCTATGTGATAGACTAAAAAAATCCATAATGATTTTCTTCTGTTTGAAGATAAATTTCAAAAATATCTTTTAGTTATCAACCTGTGCTTCTCACTTGAAATATAAAAATAAAATTCATACTTTTGTTTTCTAACATCATCTCTATAATACTATACCACACACTGGCTTGTGTCCATTCTTTATATGGTTGGATTACTTTTATGCTCATAACGTTTGCAGTTCAAGCCTTTCATGCTGTAAAATAGCCCCAAGCTATTTATTTAAGGATTGTTTGAGCCTAAAAATTTTTTTTTTGTGGTGATATGAAGAAGTTATGTTTTTCAGAAGAAGACTAATAACGCTATGTCAATTTGACTCAATTTGAACCTGCTCAAAAATAAACCGCTGTCTTTCACGTCACACATCCTGTTGCATCAACACACTCTATGCCAGGATTTTTGTTGTACTTATACTGTCATGAATATTGAAAAGAAATCTTTGTTTCCCAAATTTAATAGAAGTTTAATGTCATTACCAAGTATTTCTCTGAAAATTCTTTTTCAGCAATGCAGCATTTATTGTGGTTGTATTGCTAAGTTAGTCATAATATGTTGTCTCCAAAATATGTTAAGATGTGTGCTGTATATACAATTTCAACGTATCTGATCTCTAGGAATTGCAGCTAAGAGTAGCCTTTGCACAAGACAATGGAATTTTAATATCTAAGGTTTATCGGGATAAGGAAACTTTTTTCCAATTTGACAAGTGATGAAATCAAATACGCAAAAATAAAATATTTAACAGAATTTTGAGAGAACTTCAGAGAAATTTTTCGATATCAAGATATGATATATTTTTTCCGCATTCGGCAAGAGATGTCATGCTTCTTAGATTGTTATGGCTGTTTATAAATCAAACCCTATCTTGTCCATTGCTAACCGAAGAGGGGATCAGGAGTGCACATTTGAACAGGTTAATCACATATTATGTGGGTTCAAAACTACTTGGAATTTTATCATTAGCCCTCTTATGCATTTGATTTTACTATATAATTATTTTAACTGCGTCGGATTCCCTCACAGATTACGCAAAACAGATATTATTGAGGTTCCATTCTCAATGATCCTTACCCACTCAACCAGCACACAAAAATTGACTAAACTAATCCTTTATTTTCGAAAAAATAGCACTTTATTAATAAGCTGCTGTTAAATTTGATGAGTTGTTATAGTTGATTATTATAATATATACAAGTAGGCCCATCTTTTACTATTCTTCTAAATTTTTAAGAATTTATCATTGTTTTATTATATACAAGAATATTGCCTTATGAGAATCTTTTACTATTCCATATATTATATTGAAATTAGACATTGAATTTTAAACAATTTGGTATGCTTTATTATCACTTCTTGGATGAAAGATCTCAATCAGACTTAGCCATTGGATTAATTCCAAGATATTCTGTTGACAGTCAGACAGCATGACAGGTCAACATCCACTGTTTTGGTGATATGATCATCATTGTTCAAGTCATCGTTGGCATACACGAGCAAATTCATCCGAACACAGAGTGCATTGCATGATAATCCAGCCCATTCAAAGTCTGAATCGTTGTCGCAATTTGTGTAGTAAACTTGAATGATGTCTTGAGCTGAAAAGATTAATTTTAAATTATGTTAGAAATAGTACATATTATGCAACATTGAATAAGATGCAATTACCGTTATTTAAATTAATTTATTTGTCAAATTTAGAAATGTTTGTAAGAAATTCTAAATTTTTAATATGAAATTTTTCATTATAATTAAATTATGAAAAATTTGGGCGACATGAATTAAGAACTATGAATATTCAGTTTCAATTTCATGCCAAACATTACCAATATCAGACCTTAGACCAGTGTTTCACAAACTTTCAATATTCGGGGCGCCCTTATAAAATCTTCAAGACCTGTGGTTATTCTATGAAAAAATACCTAATTAGGCTTCTACTGCGTTTCCATCAGTTGTTTTATGTGCGACTCCTAATTAATAAATAAAAAACCATAAACGAACAAGAGGAATAAATATAGTGCAGTCGAAGAATTGAACAAATCGCAAGCAATTTACTTTACAATTTAAATTAATGTAGTTATCCTGAACGACACATAGTGGCTTCGATCATCTCATGGCTCACTAGGAGGCCGAGGGTCCACTTTGAGAATTCCTGCCCTAGACTATGCAGTTGTGGTCCAAGAGGATATGCATTGTTATAAATACTAGAAATTGGGGGAAAAAATTGAAAATGCTCAAAATTATTCAATTATCTGATAATATAATATTTGTATGAAATACTTACGAATGCATTGATATAATGTCCACGTTTTATTAGGGTTGAATGAATCTCTCGCTTCTACCACTGTGATTGGGTTTGGTTGGCTTGATGTACATTCAGGTAGTGGGGTCAATGATCTTTTCGTTCTTGTATGAGGATGCTGACCTATTTGGTATAAACCATTGGATTACTAAATAAAAAAAAGTTGTATGCGACTCTCTACTACGAGATATTCCAAAGGCTGCCCCCAGAATCAGATTTACAAATTTCTGTTGAAATTTTATGTTCGCTTCTTTATTTTAGAATGCTTAAACTTGAGATTTTGACTTTTGAAACTTTGACACCGGTTTCAACTTTGAGATTTGGTATAAATTTCAGTGTAAAATAATTAATAATGTCATTTATTTTTAAAGAATAAAACATTTGGTACTATCTCTAAATAAAGTATGCCAATATCGAGATGTCTAGGTGACCTCGAAAGCTGTAATAATAAGGCAGTTGTGATATGTAGTTTTCTTATCATTTCAAAGTATGATATAAATTTATAATGATTTGACTTGTATTCGACGGCCATCTGTTGTTATCAGATAACGGGCAACTGGGTAGTATTCTCCTTTGCATGTTCTGTATTGCTCTTGCACATGGTTTGAGTCTTCGTAGCTCACTGTATTTTCTGCATAAAGCCATAGTTAATGGCACATTCTGGAAAAAAAAAGTGTTTAAAAATTAAAATTGTTTGTTAGAATTGAGAGAGATCTTTGTGAATTGTTTTCAATGAAACTCACCAAAAATCCTTTCTTTTTAAAAAGATTCTTGTCATATGGAGGTGGGTGCACTGGAACTTTAGTACCTGGATAATAGTAAGGTGTTGATGGGCTGGGGGGATTGAAGTGGTATATCTTGTTCCCCGATGCCAATCCTACAGTAAAGCTGAGGAACATCAAAATTCGTATCATCTAAAATTAAAAAAAATTATTCAGCATTGTTTTTTTATACATCGCTCCATCATTCCTTTTGTTCCTAAGAAGGCACTGTGCAAACATCTAGTGATATTTGGAGCTACTATTTTTGAAAGACGCAAAATTTTTCTGGTTCGGCATTGCACTTTTTATAACACTCTTGACATGAGGTGTCGAGGGGAGAACTTAAAACCTGAGATTTGTAGCCTTCGATGTCAGCAAGTTAAGTTTAACGCTTTTACTGCTAGACTATCAGGCCCACTAAGCTTGTATCAAATTAGTTTTATTAACGCAGTAAGTTAAAGAATTCTGGTTGATATAAATAACATTACCTCCATGTCATATGGATATTGTAAAGAAATGAATTGTCAGAGAGACATTTTTTATGGTTAATTTTTAAATTATATTAAGTTGTTATACTTATACTTGTTATACTTATTGATTATTGAAGAGTTTCATTTCTTACTTTGTTAGCCTGAATCACATTAACGAAAAAATTGAATTACGCCATACTTACCGTACTCCAATCTTGTCCCATTATCATAGATCTCTTTTGAATGACCAAATGACTCTGCTTCTGTTGAATGCTAATTTATTGACTAGTTCAGGTCATATATATATATCACTCTTGATCTTATCAGTATCACGATTTTAATCCATATTTTTTTTCAAATTGGAATTTGTTTATGAAAATTTTTAGGTACTTTCACGTTCAAAAATATGCTAAATCTGAAAAAGGTTCTTTCTTGTTTTCGATTCGCTATTTATAACTTGCCTCGGGCATTGTTATATTAGCAATATTGCCGTGTCATACTGCTACTAGTCTCGCTGCGGTTTTTTATCCTCTCCACTAAAGAGCTAAATACCTGTGACATTTGATTGGATTAAGAGTATTTATTAAGACATAATTACAAATTTATAAAGTCTTTTTCTAAATAACAATCAGTTTTGGTTCAAAATACTCATCTTCCTTCTTATTAAACAGCTTATTCAATTATTATTTAACTGGCAAGCAATGGTTAATTCAACTCACATAAAAGACTTGGCTAACCATTGAATTCTATGTTAATAGTTTGTAACTCATGTCTCCTGCGTGTTATTCCCTTAAGTTAATATTGAACACAAAGTCTGATATTGTTTTTTTCAATTCTTGATATTGTCAGGGTGATTGTTGTTGTTGAAATACTTTTGACTAACTAATTGACTAATCAATTTCAAACCTTCAGAGCCTAAGATGGAAAAGTCGCTGGAAGGTTATTGTGGGACCCAATATTTCACCCTAATTTTGGCCTGAACTTTTATTCTGGCACACCAGCATATTTTTAGCAAACTCTGTGCTTTAAGTTTCAACTCTACCAGTACCGATACACGACCTTCACGTCCTGAGCATAGTTCTCTTGTTATCATTCATATGTATAAGCAAGAATTTAGGTCTCTTGCATGCTTGCATGAAGAGCAGATAAATGTTATTCCAATTGATACTCTATCATATTTCAAACAAATTGTGAAACCAAAACTTACCTCTGCGAGTGCCAATGCAGGAAATATGGTGCTTGGTTTGATTCCTGGTGTTTCTGTCAATCCCGTTTCTTCCGGATAATCATTTTGTGCCCTCACTTTACTGAAATATGATAGAAGGAGTAACACTGCCAAATTGGTTCTGGTTGTATTTCTCAATTGAAACATGTTACCAATTCTATGTGATAGCCTAAAAAAGTCCATAATGCTATGCTGGATTTTCTTCTGTTTGAAGATAAATTTCAAAAATATCTTTTAGTTATCAACCTGTGCTTCTCACTTAAAATATAAAAATAAAATTCATACTTTTGTTTTCTAACATCATCTCTATAATACTATACCACACACTGGCTTGTGTCCACTCTTTATATGGTTGGATTACTTTTATGCTCATAACGTTTGCGGTTCAAGCCTTGCATGCTGTAAAATAGCCCCAAGCTATTTATTTAAGGATTGTTTGAGCCTAAAAAATTTTTTCTTGTGGTGATATGAAGAAGTTATGTTTTTCAGAAGAAGACTAATAACACTATGTCAATTTGACTCAATTTGAACCTGCTCAAAAATAAACCGCTGTCTTTTACATCACACATCCTGTTGCATCAACACACTATGCCAGGATTTTTGTTGTATTTATACTGTCATGAATATTGAAAAGAAATCTTTGTTTCCCAAATTTAATAGAAGTTAAATGTCATTACCAAGTATTTCTCTGAAAATTCTTTTTCAGCAATGCAGCATTTATTGTGGTTGTATTGCTAAGTTAGTCATAATATGTTGTCTCCAAAATATGTTAAGATGTGTGCTGTATATACAATTTCAACGTATCTGATCTCTAGGAATTGCAGCTAAGAGTAGCCTTTGCACAAGACAATAGAATTTTAATATCTAAGGTTTATCGGGATAAGGAAACTTTTTTCCAATTTGACAAGTGATGAAATCAAATACGCAAAAATGAAATATTTAACAGAATTTTGAGAATTACAGAAAAAATTTTCGATATCAAGATATGATATATTTTTTCCGCATTCGGCAAGAGATGTCTTGCTTATTAGATTGTTATAGCTGTTTATAAATCAAACCCTATTTTGTCCATTGCTAACCGAAGGGGGGGATCAGGAGTGCACATTTGAACAGGTTAATCACATATTATGTGGGTTCAAAACTACTTGGAATTTTATCATTAGCCCTCTTATGCATTCGATTTTACTATATAATTATTTTCACTGCGTCGGATTCCCTCACAGATTACGCAAAACAGATATTATTGAAGTTCCATTCTCAATGATCCTTACCCACTCAATCAGCACAAATTGACTAAACTAATCCTTTATTTTCGAAAAAATAGCACTTTATTAATAAGCTGCTGTTAAATTTGATGAGTTGTTATAGTTGATTATTATAATATGTACAAGTAGGCCCATCTTTCACTATTCTTCTAAATTTTTAAGAATTTATCATTGTTTTATTATATACAAGAATATTGCCTTATGAGAATCTTTTACTATTCCATATATTATATTGAAATTAGACACTGAATTTTAAACAACTTGGTATGCTTTATTATCACTTCTTGGATGAAGGATCTCAATCAGACTTAGCCATTGGATTATTTCCAAGATATTCTGTTGACAGTCAGACAGCATGACAGGTCAACATCCACTGTTTTGGTGATATAATCATCATTGTTCAAGTCATCGTTGGCATACACGAGCAAATTCATCCGAACACAGAGTGCATTGCATGATAATCCAGCCCATCCAAAGTCTGAATTGTTGTCGCAATTTGTGTAGTAAACTTGAATGATGTCTTGAGCTGAAAAGATTAATTTTAAATTATGTTAGAAATAGTACATATTATGCAACATTGAATAAGATGCAATTACCGTTATTTAAATTAATTTATTTGTCAAATTTAGAAATGTTTGTAAGAAATTCTAAATTTTTAATATGAAATTTTTCATTATAATTAAATTATGAAAAATTTGGGCGACATGAATTAAGAACTATGAATATTCAGTTTCAATTTCATGCCAAACATTACCAATATCAGACCTTAGACCAGTGTTTCACAAACTTTCAATATTCGGGGCGCCCTTATAAAATCTTCAAGACCTGTGGTTATTCTATGAAAAAATACCTAATTAGGCTTCTACTGCGTTTCCATCAGTTGTTTTATGTGCGACTCCTAATTAATAAATAAAAAACCATAAACGAACAAGAGGAATAAATATAGTGCAGTCAAAGAATTGAACAAATCGCAAGCAATTTACTTTACAATTTAAATTAATGTAGTTATCCTGAACGACACATAGTGGCTTCGATCATCTCATGGCTCACTAGGAGGCCGAGGGTCCACTTTGAGAATTCCTGCTCTAGACTATGCAGTTGTGGTCCAAGAGGATATGCATTGTTATAAATACTAGAAATTGGGGGAAAAAATTGAAAATGCTTAAAATGATTCGATTATCTGATAATATAATATTTGTATGAAATACTTACGAATGCATTGATATAATGTCCACGTTTTATTAGGGTTGAATGAATCTCTCGCTTCTACCACTGTGATTGGGTTTGGTTGGCTTGATGTACATTCAGGTAGTGGGGTCAATGATCTTTTCGTTCTTGTATGAGGATGCTGACCTATTTGGTATAAACCATTGGATTACTAAATAAAAAAAAGTTGTATGCGACTCTCTACTACGAGATATTCCAAAGGCTGCCCCCAGAATCAGATTTACAAATTTCTGTTGAAATTTTATGTTCGCTTCTTTATTTTAGAATGCTTAAACTTGAGATTTTGACTTTTGAAACTTTGACACCGGTTTCAACTTTGAGATTTGGTATAAATTTCAGTGTAAAATAATTAATAATGTCATTTATTTTTAAAGAATAAAACATTTGGTACTATCTCTAAATAAAGTATGCCAATATCGAGATGTCTAGGTGACCTCGAAAGCTGTAATAATAAGGCAGTTGTGATATGTAGTTTTCTTATCATTTCAAAGTATGATATAAATTTATAATGATTTGACTTGTATTCGACGGCCATCTGTTGTTATCAGATAACGGGCAACTGGGTAGTATTCTCCTTTGCATGTTCTGTATTGCTCTTGCACATGGTTTGAGTCTTCGTAGCTCACTGTATTTTCTGCATAAAGCCATAGTTAATGGCACATTCTGGAAAAAAAAAGTGTTTAAAAATTAAAATTGTTTGTTGGAATTGAGAGAGATCTTTGTGAATTGTTTTCAATGAAACTCACCAAAAATCCTTTCTTTTTAAAAAGATTCTTGTCATATGGAGGTGGGTGCACTGGAACTTTAGTACCTGGATAATAGTAAGGTGTTGATGGGCTGGGGGGATTGAAGTGGTATATCTTGTTCCCTGATGCCAATCCTACAGTAAAGCTGAGGAACATCAAAATTCGTATCATCTAAAATTAAAAAAAATTATTCAGCATTGTTTTTTTATACATCGCTCCATCATTCCTTTTGTTCCTAAGAAGGCACTGTGCAAACATCTAGTGATATTTGGAGCTACTATTTTTGAAAGACGCAAAATTTTTCTGGTTCGGCATTGCACTTTTTATAACACTCTTGACATGAGGTGTCGAGGGGAGAACTTAAAACCTGAGATTTGTAGCCTTCGATGTCAGCAAGTTAAGTTTAACGCTTTTACTGCTAGACTATCAGGCCCACTAAGCTTGTATCAAATTAGTTTTATTAACGCAGTAAGTTAAAGAATTCTGGTTGATATAAATAACATTACCTCCATGTCATATGGATATTGTAAAGAAATGAATTGTCAGAGAGACATTTTTTATGGTTAATTTTTAAATTATATTAAGTTGTTATACTTATACTTGTTATACTTATTGATTATTGAAGAGTTTCATTTCTTACTTTGTTAGCCTGAATCACATTAACGAAAAAATTGAATTACGCCATACTTACCGTACTCCAATCTTGTCCCATTATCATAGATCTCTTTTGAATGACCAAATGACTCTGCTTCTGTTGAATGCTAATTTATTGACTAGTTCAGGTCATATATATATATCACTCTTGATCTTATCAGTATCTCGATTTTAATCCATATTTTTTTTCAAATTGGAATTTGTTCATGAAAATTTTTAGGTACTTTCACGTTCAAAAATATGCTAAATCTGAAAAAGGTTCTTTCTTGTTTTCGATTCGCTATTTATAACTTGCCTCGGGCATTGTTATATTAGCAATATTGCCGTGTCATACTGCTACTAGTCTCGCTGCGGTTTTTTATCCTCTCCACTAAAGAGCTAAATACCTGTGACATTTGATTGGATTAAGAGTATTTATTAAGACATAATTACAAATTTATAAAGTCTTTTTCTAAATAACAATCAGTTTTGGTTCAAAATACTCATCTTCCTTCTTATTAAACAGCTTATTCAATTATTATTTAACTGGCAAGCAATGGTTAATTCAACTCACATAAAAGACTTGGCTAACCATTGAATTCTATGTTAATAGTTTATAACTCATGTCTCCTGCGTGTTATTCCCTTATTAAGTTAATATTGAACACAAAGTCTGATATTGTTTTTTTCAATTCTTGATATTGTCAGGGTGATTGTTGTTGTTGAAATACTTTTGACTAACTAATTGACTAATCAATTTCAAACCTTCAGAGCCTAAGATGGAAAAGTCGCTGGAAGGTTATTGTGGGACCCAATATTTCACCCTAATTTTGGCCTGAACTTTTATTCTGGCACACCAGCATATTTTTAGCAAACTCTGTGCTTTAAGTTTCAACTCTACCAGTACCGATACACGACCTTCACGTCCTGAGCATAGTTCTCTTGTTATCATTCATATGTATAAGCAAGAATTTAGGTCTCTTGCATGCTTGCATGAAGAGCAGATAAATGTTATTCCAATTGATACTCTATCATATTTCAAACAAATTGTGAAACCAAAACTTACCTCTGCGAGTGCCAATGCAGGAAATATGGTGCTTGGTTTGATTCCTGGTGTTTCTGTCAATCCCGTTTCTTCCGGATAATCATTTTGTGCCCTCACTTTACTGAAATATGATAGAAGGAGTAACACTGCCAAATTGGTTCTGGTTGTATTTCTCAATTGAAACATGTTACCAATTCTATGTGATAGCCTAAAAAAGTCCATAATGCTATGCTGGATTTTCTTCTGTTTGAAGATAAATTTCAAAAATATCTTTTAGTTATCAACCTGTGCTTCTCACTTAAAATATAAAAATAAAATTCATACTTTTGTTTTCTAACATCATCTCTATAATACTATACCACACACTGGCTTGTGTCCACTCTTTATATGGTTGGATTACTTTTATGCTCATAACGTTTGCGGTTCAAGCCTTGCATGCTGTAAAATAGCCCCAAGCTATTTATTTAAGGATTGTTTGAGCCTAAAAAATTTTTTCTTGTGGTGATATGAAGAAGTTATGTTTTTCAGAAGAAGACTAATAACACTATGTCAATTTGACTCAATTTGAACCTGCTCAAAAATAAACCGCTGTCTTTTACATCACACATCCTGTTGCATCAACACACTATGCCAGGATTTTTGTTGTATTTATACTGTCATGAATATTGAAAAGAAATCTTTGTTTCCCAAATTTAATAGAAGTTAAATGTCATTACCAAGTATTTCTCTGAAAATTCTTTTTCAGCAATGCAGCATTTATTGTGGTTGTATTGCTAAGTTAGTCATAATATGTTGTCTCCAAAATATGTTAAGATGTGTGCTGTATATACAATTTCAACGTATCTGATCTCTAGGAATTGCAGCTAAGAGTAGCCTTTGCACAAGACAATAGAATTTTAATATCTAAGGTTTATCGGGATAAGGAAACTTTTTTCCAATTTGACAAGTGATGAAATCAAATACGCAAAAATAAAATATTTAACAGAATTTTGAGAGAACTTCAGAGAAATTTTTCGATATCAAGATATGATATATTTTTTCCGCATTCGGCAAGAGATGTCATGCTTCTTAGATTGTTATGGCTGTTTATAAATCAAACCCTATCTTGTCCATTGCTAACCGAAGGGGGGGATCAGGAGTGCACATTTGAACAGGTTAATCACATATTATGTGGGTTCAAAACTACTTGGAATTTTATCATTAGCCCTCTTATGCATTCGATTTTACTATATAATTATTTTCACTGCGTCGGATTCCCTCACAGATTACGCAAAACAGATATTATTGAAGTTCCATTCTCAATGATCCTTACCCACTCAATCAGCACAAATTGACTAAACTAATCCTTTATTTTCGAAAAAATAGCACTTTATTAATAAGCTGCTGTTAAATTTGATGAGTTGTTATAGTTGATTATTATAATATGTACAAGTAGGCCCATCTTTTACTATTCTTCTAAATTTTTAAGAATTTATCATTGTTTCATTATATACAAGAATATTGCCTTATGAGAATCTTTTACTATTCCATATATTATATTGAAATTAGACATTGAATTTTAAACAATTTGGTATGCTTTATTATCACTTCTTGGATGAAAGATCTCAATCAGACTTAGCCATTGGATTATTTCCAAGATATTCTGTTGACAGTCAGACAGCATGACAGGTCAACATCCACTGTTTTGGTGATATAATCATCATTGTTCAAGTCATCGTTGGCATACACGAGCAAATTCATCCGAACACAGAGTGCATTGCATGATAATCCAGGCCATCCAAGGTCTGAATCGTCGCAATTTGTGTAGTAAACTTGAATGATGTCTTGCTCTGAAAAGATTAATTTTAAATTATGTTAGAAATAGTACATATGCAACATTGAATAAGATGCAATTACCGTTATTTAAATTAATTTATTTGTCAAATTTAGAAATGTTTGTAAGAAATTCTAAATTTTTAATATGAAATTTTTCATTATAATTAAATTATGAAAAATTTGGGCGACATGAATTAAGAACTATGAATATTCAGATCCAATTTCATGCCAAACAATACCAATATCAGACTTTAGACCAATGTTTCACGAACTTTCATTATTCGGGGTGCCCTTCAAGATCTGTGGTTATTCTATGAAAAAATACCTAATTAGGCTTCTACTGCGTTTCCATCAGTTATTTTATGTGCGACTCTTAATTAATAAATAAAAAACCATAAACGAACAAGAGGAATAAATATAGTGCAGTCGAAGAATTGAACAAATCGCAGGCAATTTACTTTACAATTCAAATTAATGTAGTTATCCTGAACGACACGTAGTGGCTTCCGTCATTTCATAGCTCACTAGGAGGCTTTGAGAATCCCGGTACAAGAGGATATGTATTGTTATAAATACTAGAAATAGATAAATTTGAAAAAAAAAAGAAAAATGATCAAAATTCATTCAATTATCTGATAATCTGGAGTTGGATATAATATTTGTATGAAATACTTACCAATGCATTGATATAATGTCCACTTTTTATTAGGGTTGAATGAATCTCTCGCTGTTGTGACTGTGATTGCGGATGGTAGGCTTGCTGTACATTCAGGTAGTGGGGTAAATGATCTTTTCGTTCTTGTATGAGATTGCTGACCTATTTGGTATAAACCATTGGATTACTAAATTGAAAAAAATGTTCTATGCGACTCTCAACTATGAGATATTCCAAAGGCTGCCTCCAGAATCAGATTTCTGTTGAAATTTTATGTTCGCTTTTATATTTTAGAATGCTTAAACTTGAGATTTTGACTTTACCGGATCCAACTTTGAGATTTGGTATAAATTTTAGTGTAAAATATTACTAATGTCATTTATTATTGAAGAATAAAACATTTGGTACTATCTCTAAATAAAGTATGCCAATATCGAGATGTCTAGGTGACCTTAAAATGCTGTCATAATAAGGCAGTTGTGATATGTAGTTTTCTTATCATTTCAAGTATGATATAAATTTATAATGATTTGACTTGTATTCGACGGCCATCTGTTGTTATCAGATAACGGGCATCTGGGTAGTATTCCTCTTTGCATGTTCTGTATTGCTCTTGCACATGGTTTGAGTCTTCGTAGCTCACTGTATTTTCTGCATAAAGCCATAGTTAATGGCACATTCTAAAAAAAAGTATTTTAAAAATTAAAATTGTTTGTTAGAATAGAGAGAGATCTTTGTGAATTGTTTTCAATGAAACTCACCAAAAATCCTTTCTTTTTAAAAAGATTCTTGTCATATGGAGGTGGGTGCACTGGAACTTTAGTACCTGGATAATAGTAAGGTGTTGATGGGCTGGGGGGATTGAAGTGGTATATCTTGTTCCCCGATGCCAATCCTACAGTAAAGCTGAGGAACATCAAAATTCGTATCATCTAAAATTAAAAAAAATTATTCAGCATTGTTTTTTTATACATCGCTCCATCATTCCTTTAGTTCCTAAGAAGGCACTGTGCAAACATCTACTGATATTTGGAGCTACTATTTTTGAAAGACGCAAAATTTTTCTGGTTCGGCATTGCACTTTTTATAACACTCTTGACATGAGGTGTCGAGGGGAGAACTTAAAACCTGAGATTTGTAGCCTTCGATGTCAGCAAGTTAAGTTTAACGCTTTTACTGCTAGACTATCAGGCCCACTAAGCTTGTATCAAATTAGTTTTATTAACGCAGTAAGTTAAAGAATTCTGGTTGATATAAATAACATTACCTCCATGTCATATGGATATTGTAAAGAAATGAATTGTCAGAGAGACATTTTTTATGGTTAATTTTTAAATTATATTAAGTTGTTATACTTATACTTGTTATACTTATTGATTATTGAAGAGTTTCATTTCTTACTTTGTTAGCCTGAATCACATTAACGAAAAAATTGAATTACGCCATACTTACCGTACTCCAATCTTGTCTCATTATCATAGATCTCTTTTGAATAACCAAATGACTTTGCCTCTGTTGAATTCTAATTTATTGACTAGTTCAGGTCATATATATATATCACTCTTGATCTTATCAGTATCTCGATTTTAATCCATATTTTTTTTCAAATTGGAATTTGTTTATGAAAATTTTTAGGTACTTTCACGTTCAAAAATATGCTAAATCTGAAAAAGGTTCTTTCTTGTTTTCGATTTTGGTATGCTATTTATAACTTGCCCCGGGCATTGTTATATTAGCAATATTGCCGTGTCATACTGCATACTAGTCTCGCTGCGGGTTTTTATCCTCTCCACTAAAGAGCTAATACCTGTGACATTTGATTGGATTAAGAGTATTTATTAAGACATAATTACAAATTTATAAAGTCTTTTTCTAAATAACAATCAGTTTTGGTTCAAAATACTCATCTTTCTTCTTATTAAACAGCTTATTCAATTATTATTTATCTGGCAAGCAGTGGTTAATTTCACTCTCATAAAAGACTTGGCTAACCATTGGATTCTATGTTAATAGTTTGTAACTCATGTCTCCTGCGTGTTATTCCCTTAAGTTAATATTGAAGGCAAAGTCTGATATTGTTTTGTTCAATTCTTGATGTTGTCAGTGTGATTGTTGTTGTTGAAATACTTTTGACTAACTAATTGACTAATCAATTTTAAACCTTCAGAGCTTAAGAAGATGGAAAAAGTCGCTGGAAGGTTATTGTGGGACCCAATATTTCACCCCAATTTTGGCCTGAACTTTTATTCTGGCACGCCAGCATATTTTCAGCGGACTCTGTGCTTTAAGTTTCAACATTACCAGTACCGATACACGACCTTCACGTCCTGAGCATAGTTCTCTTGTTATCATATGTATAAGCAAGAATTTAGGTCTCTTGCATGCTTGCATCCTGTGTACATATGAATCTTCCGCTACCACTTTTTCATTACGTAATTGTAACAAATTGGGCTATTTAAATATATATTTAATGTGTTTGCAATGCAAAATGTTATCTACAACAATGCTACATCTTGCATAATTTTACATTCTGAATATGAGGATAATTCTTATACTGCTGCAATAGTGAACAGTAAAACCTGTTTTTTTTTTGCTAAATGAGAGTAATATTTATATACCAAGCAAAATAACATACTGAACACATATATGAGCACAAATTATCAAATGAATCGCAGCTCAGTGGTGCAAATTTACAACTTCAAAATCTATATTTATAGCAAAAATAGATCCAAAAATAGCCAAGAAAAACTGAATATAGATTAAATATAGTTTCTTAGTTAATGCTTCAAAAACTCAATGAAATTTTTGAGAGAATTGGTCCGGTAATTGAATAGGGGCAATCATTGTCATCATAATTATTGTGCCATTTAGCAACTACCAATTACCGGTATAATCCATAATCGCAAAAAGCAATATGTTTATTGATCATTTTAGCTTTCTGTCAAGGGAGGCTCGTATATGCTATAAGTTTTTGTTATCAAGATTTGTTCTTCTCTGAGAGAGGGGACTAAGTCGAATTTTTTTCTAACCCGGAGATTCTATTTATTCTTCAGAAATGACAGCAAGACGCCAATCTCCATTGATCAACACAATATTTTGCAAACCTCTACTTAGCTTAGAAATCTGGGTGCCTTTACATTTGACTTTGGCAGATAATATATGATACTGAAACATTATCAAATGAAATTGTATGTATATATATATAATACAATTTTATTATATTTTCTGACTGGAACATGTTGAAGAGATAAGGTATTTCTAATAAATATACAAGAAGTATATATTAATGTGTACAATTAGGAAGAATAAAAGAGAAAGTTGCAAAAATTCAACGTAGGAATGATAAACGTTTTTGTTAATTTGTCTCTCACAATATTGTTCTTTTGCTACTTTAACGCAAACTACTAAAAGCATACAAATCTGAAATATACAATCCTTATTAAATGAAATTTTGTAACAATAATTCTGAAGTTATTTTAAAATCCTCATTTCATGTTGTAAATGCAAAGTCTACTCTACTTCTGTGTTTTCTTCTGTGTAAACACTCTCTTGATATTTGTAGAGAAGTGTTTACTAACGCATCAGCACGCATGTGGCTGGAATCCATATATTTCTTACTTCAAGTGTGTAGGAGTCGGGTGGAAAAACTGCAGCCTTGTGCATAATGTGTTGTAATCTGCATTCATATCCTGTTGTTGATAACGCTGGTGTTATACATCCAAACAGATAGAATGTTTTGTAGAGATGATTGTCTATAGAAATTTAATATATTAAATAAACTTTATAATAATATATAAATTAGGTACGGTTCAAAGGCACACATCATAAACAGAATTCAGGGAAATTTTAGAAAAATTCTGTGATATCATACAGAATTACTGATATCACTAACATTCTCATTTTTTGAATTTTTCATATAATGGTTTAGGAGAGAAAACTTGGTCCTGTAGTATATGTACCAGGTTCGGGTTAGGCCAAAATTTCATTCCGATTTTCCTTATTTTAGTTCTATTTTGAGTTCGGGGACTGTCTGTGTTAGCCAAGTGATCACCTGTCCATAGCTGTCATTCCCTTTACACAACTTGTCGGTAAAAGTAGACGAACAAAGTTACCTCCATATTGGTACACATACTTCTGGAGCGCCCAAAGAAGTCTAATGAAGGGCAATTCTCAACTTGAGTACTGAAATACTTACTGACGTCCTGGTACACTTCCACTTCATTACCATCAGTATCATTAGCATAAACGATTACACTTGACGCTGGTGAAGAAGCTGTACAGGGATTGTAAATAGAGCTTGAACGTTTTCTTCTTTTTTTTGTAACAGGCTCATTTTGATCTTCTTCTTTTACTAAAAAATTTAATAGTCACAATGAAGATTTCTAATTATCATAAATTTAACGCTTATCTTTTGCTCTAAAATTTACCCTGAACAAGCGACCACTGTTATCTAACAATATGTAAGGAGGAGCCATCATTTTTTGGGGGACCAAAATCTTTTTATTCCGGAAGTGTGTATCTAATTTAAAACACTTTAGGTGAGGTGGCGGGAATGGGATTTGAACCCGTGAAATTTATTTTTTCTATTGTCTTGTTTTATGATAGATGAGCCGGAATAGAGATTATTAAGAGTTCCATCACATTCAACATTGGAATGCTTAATATGACTATCCAGGATAACTTTTTTTACCAAATAACAATGCACATTGGGTGCTTTTTAAACTCTATGTTGTGTAGTATTATGTAGAATTTCATCAAAAATTTAAGAATAATTTTGTCACCTTATTAAATTTACTATCCGACGCAAGTATGAAAAATCTGTAAACAGTAAGCAAGTGTGCCTAGTAATTCAGAGTATTTAAATTACTTTCCACATAATATTGCCAACCTAACGTATATATAAGCTGATTGGTCTTATCAAAGGCAAAACTGTGTACACAACTAAATTAACTATGTTTCGTACACAGTTTTGCTGCTATATAACGAGAATAAAGAATGTGCTTTGAAGTCAAAATGTACATAATTAACAAAGCTTCATGCATCAATCTAGCAGGGAAATGTTTATCTGGGTAGTATTTTGCGGTTCCCTTAATTGAATTAAAAAAAAAGTTGTTTTTCAAACAGTATTATACTCATTATCTCACCATTTTCAGCTGCCAAAACTTCCTGAGTCAAATCTGTTAGTTCGCCACAGTTCTTGTTTTTGATATCTACACTTGCTGTTGCCACCATTTGTATTGTTTCATTGCAAGCTACTATGCAGCTTTTTAACCATGGGTGTTTTTCACATATATGATTCAAAGCTTTCAATTGAGTGCTGTTTTCAATCTAAAGAAAATTTATTTTGTTTGAAAACGTTAATAAAATGTCAACTTTCTTATATTTTATTGTTCAGAACAAGAATGCCAAAACCGAATAATATACTCAGGACGTGTGGCACAGGGCGGAGATAATAATTTTTTTTATCACCCGGAACCGTGTGTCCAGTGTAAAATACTTGTTATTATGCGGCCATCAGCGACGAGCCCCTAAATAAAGATTATTGAAGGAGTAAATCCACAACTCAAATTTTTGACTCAAAATGATGAAGTGAATACTAACACTGAAAAACGATGTTAAAAAATAACAACGAAAAACATATTAAATTTTGTTTTATGAACCCCACGGACGATAAAAAAAACAATATTCTAGAGTCTAGACACTGTAAATCGCCAAAAAACACATTACCGGTAAGTTAGGTTGACAATTATGTTATGTGAGTTACCACTGAACACAATTAAAATAGGATGGCAAGACATTTTAAATGCCCGTATCGGTAATGGAATATATTTTTGCGAAACAGAAATATCCCTGTCCACTGAAAAAGTCTGGTTTTTTAAGGAATGGCATAAATCGTGAGTCTAATATATCAGAAAATGAAATGCTGGACACTTACATATTTGTAATTGTTCTTAAACGTAAATTCCTTCATGTATAATAATATTTTTATGTACCGGATGCATTATAATTTGTGTAACATAATTTTGTAGCAATTATAATAGCACTAAGTTTTAGAATGATTTTTATAGTTGTTATGAAAGTTATATTTACATTAAATGAGTAGTTTTGCCTCTTCAGTTCGTCATCTTTTGCTTTTTTCTCTTCCAATGATTTACAGGTGGTCATGCTCGTAGAGATTGTGATGATGAAAATAATCCAAACAATCTAAATTGAAAGAAAAAATCGTTGGGAAAAATATAGCAATTGGAATTTATTGTAATATGATATGTACAATATGTGGAAAATGCTATTTTTAACAAGAAAATATATTTACAAAATATTGAAGAAGTTAAATTTTACTGAACATGGTAGCGATGGCGTAGTGGATTAAGTCATTAGACTCAATTATGTCGGCTTTAAACATATTAGCTGACCTTATGATATTTAATTTATATATTACCGTTATATTAATTTAAAATTGTATACGCGTGCGTACAGTAAAATATATGTAAATATATATATATACTTGATCAAAAAACTTCAAATTAAATTTATATTAAAATATATATGTTTATGAATAGTATATAGCAGGAGTGTGAAACAGGCGGCCTGCATGCCACGACTCGGCCCACCAATCCATTCAGTGCGGCCCTTGCCAAAACTCAAGATTTTTCCCCATCGAGCATCAAATCATAATTCGACAGTTTATGATATAACTTATATATAAGCTGATGACAACAAACTGTGCACAAATACAAAATTTCAAATGTTCCACTAAAATGTTATTTCAATTAAAATTGTGCATTGTGAGAATTTTTTATTTTGTTGTGTATGTGGAAAAACTAATTTTTTTGTGTGGCTCAGCTAAATGTCGTAAGTTTGTTATATGGCGCACCGTCAAAAAATGTTGCACACCATTGATAGAAAACAAACATGAATTTTGTTTCAATCCAATAAATTTCTTACCTTCATTTTTATATCTTGTAATACCGTATATGTCGAAGAAATATTCAAGTTTAATATAAATCTGAAAATATTAAAATTAATATATTTATTTTGTTTTTTACAGGGAATTTTTGAACCTTTCTTGAAGAGTTTCTATGTTAGATCAACCGATCCAACTCATGTCCGAATCCTGAAGCTTGAAGCTTTAACGAACCTTGCTTCTGAAACGAACATTTCGACTATATTACGAGAATTCCAGGTAAATTTTTTAAATTGAATTTAAATCGTAAAAACCGAATGTTTCATAATTATAAAAATCATATTCATGCCGCTTTATATTATATTTTTTTATGCTCTTCAAGTATTCAAGGGCAATATATATCTCCTATTTCGACGTATCGGCTAATCTTAATCCTCAAAACTTCCAAATTTTCTGTCCTACCCCTATCTTTCTATCTGCCTTATATATAATATTCATGTCTGCAGCATTTTGATTTAGATATTTCGCGCTTCAGATGTCCCCTCGTTCGTTTTGGATCATTGACCAAGCGTCTGTTGACAAAATAACTCATTACTACATTTTGGAAACATCGTGCTTTTAAAAATACTGGTTTTAATTTATCATCTCTATTGTAGAAATGTAATATCAGTTCGGACTTTTAATTCTATCTATTTTCGTTTCATGTTTTTTTTTCGATTTAAGAATGGTATTAGTCACACTTTATTTGGGGAAAAGTCATTGGATAAAAAGAAAGATGTTTTCTAGAAAATTCCGTCGTGCAGTTTACACCTCGCACGGCGAGTCATACCGTGCCTAACAGTGAAATAAACTTACTCCCACATAAAGGGTACCTAAAGATTCATCACACTAATGACTACTATTTTTTGACTCAAATTTCAAAATATTTGAAATATTTGTTCTCCTGCAACCACTTACTGATTTACTGTTTTAAAATGTATACTGGTAGTGGCTGAAATTTGTCTCTTATGACCAATGTTCTTACTCAAGAGCCAGCACATGTACTTACTGTATTGATATCTCATATTGTGGTATTTTTATATGCGTCATATTTTGCGTCATTCCTTTAAAATGTAATGCCTGTGTCATGAATGCCATTTTAATGGGAAGTAATATCTTTTATCACTCTTTGGCAAACACTACCTGATGTAACAATTGCAAAAAGTATGATATTAATCCTCCCTTTTGTTCCCATCTATTCATCACATTGCTACTTTCTCTCAGACAAGTTTATATTGCACCACATTTATTGTTATCATCACGTCGTTGATGGACTCCCACGCCTCTCTACTATCGTGATCTAAAACCCCATATTGGTCCTAAATCACGTTATACGACAAATCCGATCATCCGTCAGCCCATCTGTTCTACTCTATTTTTAATCACTCCATCTACAAGTTTACGCAACACTTATCTAGTGAGTTATGAATCTCATTCTATTCTTTCAGTTGACATATAATTACTGACACTGTGACAACAACCTGCTGAGGTTTTTCGCTGGGAATTTCTGCCAACGCCTTTTCATAAATCCCCCTATTGTCTCCTTTGTTAATTTATCTAGAAATTACATTTTATTGCTTCTTTTCACACCATATTTTCTATTGTTTCCGCTTCTTAAAAATGTCAAATTTCATTACAGACTTACGTAAGAAGTTCTGACAAGCAGTTCGTGGCTCACACAATACAGGCGATCGGAAGGTGCGCTACCAACATTGCAGAAGTGACAGACACGTGTTTGTCTGGTCTTGTCGGCTTGCTTTCAAATAGAGATGGTCAGCACATTTCTTGTTCATATTATTTTTAAATATGAATTTTTATTTGAAATTGACTTTTATTATAAATTTTTCACTTCACAGAAAGTGTCGTTGCCGAAAGCATTGTCGTCATCAAAAAACTACTTCAAATGAATCCATCGCAACACAGCGAGATAATTAATCACATGTCAAAATTATTTGACAACATTCAAGTATGTTCTTTTCAACGCCTTTTATTCATCCGTTTGTAATAAAATACTTTTTTGAAGTGCCAACACCCAGTTTACCCAAGATTTCCTCACAATGAAACGGTTTATGTGATGATATTTAATAGGCTTATGGGATATTTAAATTATTTTTTTGGTTTAACAATTTCATTGTCGCCTTTAACCAAAATGTTTCATGGTTGATCGAATTTTTAATAACTGTATCGACCCGGTTACTCTACCTTTGTTTACTTTTCAATTGAAATTGTAAATCTTATACACTGTGAGTAAAATATGTCTAAATCGAAAAAAAAAGATTTATTTCGAAATTATGTCTTTTTTTATGTTAATACTTTTTTATTTTTTGGACATATTACTAAATGGAGAAGTTCTTCAATAATAGTAAATGTTCATGATTTTAGGAACAATATATAATATTTTACTTTCAAATCTCATCTGTTTGTGTATGATTGTAGCTGAAACTCCCATTATTCTTGGACGCCTTGCACAAAAGTTATGTAAATTGAATATTGTATTTATGTATTTTTGATTGTACGACCCAAAAAACAGAACCCAGTCATTTTTTAACATATTCAAGAAAGAACATAACTTGTGGGCAAAGCGTCCCAGATTACTGAAACTGAAAAGCACCATTAAACATGAATTCAATGGCTAATAAATTAATTCATTTTCACAAAAGTAAACAAAATATTTGTTTTAACTTATTGAAAATGCTTATTCATTGAGTTCCTCTTCTATTTTTTTAGGTTGGAATGGCCAGAGCTAGTATATTGTGGTTAATTGGTGAATACAGTGAGTACGTACCAAAAATTGCACCAGATGTTTTGCGAAGAGTTGCTAAAAATTTTACTTCGGAAGAAGACATCGTCAAGCTTCAGGCTATTAATCTAGCGGCAAAACTGTTCGTGACTAATTATAAGCAAGTGGGTGATTAAAATGCACAAATTAAAAATAAAGTTACCGCTATTTTGAATTACTGATTACTTTCATTTTTCCATATGCAGGATTTACGGATTTAATAATGCCTGAGGTTATTATTATTGTCTAGAAATTCAAAAGTACCTCGGCTTTCGAAAATATGCTCGCGTGCGATACAATCACGATCTTTTTTTTCGCCTTGTTCACGAATAACCATAATTGCTTAATTATTATGTATATTGCATCAGCAAAAAATGTATTTTTTAATTTTTCTACTAGTAAATATAATTGCCTACTTATATATTTGAATAATTATTTTAAAGAAAATTTACACCACTAGAAAAGCTCAATTAAAATGTTAGATATCAAGTGGACTCGTATTCATTTCTTCTTTGTAATATTTAAAACTTCTTTTATTAGGATGACGGAAAGAGTCTAGGATATTACTACTAGTAAATGCGTTCAAAAAATATTTCATTTTTATTGGCATAAAAATACCTGGACATATTTGGTGAAAATTAGTCTACTAAAAGATTTAAAGATAGTAGTATATTTTACTATTTTAGACTAAATATTCGCCATGAAGCTAGATATCATATTTGAGGTCAGAATAACCTTTTTGCAAATAACAAGATGAATCGCAAGATTGATATCTATGTAGATTATTTTGACTCAACCTTTTAGCCAGTAAACAAAATTGGTTTTTCGAGTTCACTTAATCGCTTTAAGACTCGAATATGCTATCAATATTTATTTTAGCAAAAACCATGATGCTTATCTATAGTAGATGAACCTGAATACCCATTCATCAAATATTCAATAATGAAGTCGACAAAAGTTTGAGGTTTTATCCAAAAATGGATATATGGAGGTTACACAAAGTCTTTTTTAAATTACATAAATTTATCGGTACCTTTAGTTGGTTGATCCCCACAGGTGTATAAATGAACTGAAAAACTCAAAGAACACTGATTAAAATAAACGAACCAAGTTTGAAAGATATATTGAAAAGAGACTCCATAACAAAATTGAAATCGTAACAGGATTTTATAAGGATAAATAACATTGCAAAGATAAATTTTGTGTGTGAAATGCTGAAGTCGTATTATTAAAGTATTATCCAACACCACAAATATTATGGGGAAAATGCGGCTGACATTTATGTCATCATGAAAAGTCCTTCCAAGTATACTTACGTATTATGTATGAATGGCTGCCTATGTTAATCATTTTTTAAAAGCCTTTCATTGTTAACAAAAATCTGTACAGACAACCGCAGATAGGTGAGGGTATACTATAATTTGGAAATACCGGAACCTCCCCTTTTCAGCATTGTCTACCCAATTTGTTACATCCCGGGTGGGGTGGTGGACATGGGTTATTAAGTCTAATGTTTTAACTACTAGGCCACTTGCTTAGAGAGAAATATTGCTGCACAACTTTCAAAAAAAAATTTTTTTTTCGACTCATCTATTTGCTTCTGCAATAAATTTTTGCAAAAAATGTGTCTCAGTCTAATCTGTTTATTTTCAAAACATGTTAATACCACAATACATCGTGCATCAGATCTGAAAATTGCCGTTTCCATACCATCAGATAAGATTTTAATAAAATGCTTTTTTTTTTAGCTCAAATGGATTGCAAAAACCACTGTTTGGTGCTATTTATAATTTACTGCAGTGGTGCCGTCCTGTGTTTGTCAATGCCTGAAATATCTTTATCTGATATATCTAGTCTTTGTTGAAGTTTCAATCGTGAATGACCCTTTTTGGTGCTAAATATTTACAGTGATGAAATTTTTGTATTTCAACCTAATTTTTAATTGTTTTTTCATGATTTTGCTGATTAAATTTTTGTTTAGATAAGCATGTGTTTCTATTTGACAATGCTTTATTCTTTTACTGGTTATACTTTTCGTAAAGTTGTATGAAATTGTTCTGGCCATTTATATTGGAATATTGATAAGCGTTATTTAATAACAAGTCATGGAAAGTTACATCTTTCTTAAATAAAAATGTGCCTTTGTGAGCTATGTTTGGAATTTTTTTTCTTATTTTAGTGTTTATTGTCTCATTTATTTCCGTCATGTTCTCAAAAGGTCAAAAAAAGAATTACATTTTAAATACCACATACAATAGTTCAGCATTTTGCAAGCTAATACCTAATTCTATCGCTAGGTAACCATGCGTATCATTTCATATCACAGACCAAACTTTTGACGCAATACGTTCTGCAACTTGCTAAATACGACCAAAATTATGACATTCGTGACCGTGCACGCTTCATACGACACCTAATCCTGCCAAGCTCTGAAAATGGAGGTGTCTTGCAAAAACATGCCAAGAAAATTCTACTCTCACCCAAGCCAGCACCTGTTCTAGAATCACCGTTTAAAAGTATGTTGATTTTATATAACAGTACGTTACCTTCGTATTTTTACTGTTTCATAAAATTTAATGATTTCTCGTAAAATCTTTTATAGACAGAGACCAATTTCAGCTTGGCTCGCTATCTCATAGTATCAACACAGAGGCTAATGGTTATCAGAAACTTCCGGATTTTCCAGAAACTAAGCCTGATACTTCTGTTAGAAATGTTGAGGTAACTTCCATTTTCTAACATCTCCTTTTTACTATAATATGAGCTATTAAAAAATATCTTGCAGGCTTTTCAAGACAACTTATGCCTTGAAGACCAAGTCCGCTTGCGAGACGATTTCACTTGATGAAAGAATAAGAATGCGCCCCGAATTAATTATCTTGACCAAATAGTCTTTCGGATAAGTTTTGCAAAGAACTATGATTTACTCAATTTAAGCAGCTTATATATCAAATAGATCAAATCAGAGCTTCCAACTCCTTGGCTTAACTCTACTCAATTTAGGTGCTTTTTGCGCAAGAAGTTTGTTAGTCCATCTTCGCCCCATTTTTTAATTTTTCAAGTGGTCAATGTGACCACATTAAAAGTTAGTGTCGGGCAGTACAGCAATTTTAAATTGATAAAGTATCCAAATTTTATCGTTACAAATTTTTAAATTCATTTTGCCTGATAAATTCCAATACAAATAAATTACCAGGTTCCTACATGGACAAAGAAATCGAGACCAGGACAAACCAAGAAACCTGCCAAAGTGAAATCATTTTATTCTGATAAATCAAGCGAAAGTGAATCTGGAAGTGCAACTGAAGATTCTGGTCAGTAATAACTAGTATTCAGATATTTTGATTTTGGAATGTAATTATTATTTGGAATTTCAAGCTTGAGTCACAGTTAAAATACTTAAATTACAACATACATACATTCTAGGCGCTCCAGAAGTATGTGTACCAATATGGAGGTAACTACTTTTGTTTGCCTACTTTACACCAAGTTATATAAATGGACTGAAACCTATGGGCCGGGGGTATCTTCAGTGGTGGGATTTAGCTGGTTCGTACCGGTTCTATAGAACCGTCTCGCAGAATTTTATGAGATCAGCGGACCGGTTAGCATTACTAAAAAAACATGTAACAGAACCGGCCGAAAAATACACTTTGTTGATGGAAGCGGCTGACAAAAAATTTGAATCCCACCACTGGGTATCTTCACTTGGCTAACACAGACAGTCTCCGAACTGGTAATAGAACTAAAATAAGGGAAATCGGAATAAAATGATGACCTAACCCTAACCCGGTATAAAACGAGAGTACCACATTATGAACATTCCTGGCCCACCCTCTGTAATCACATTTGTAAACTCAATGCTATGAATTTTGCATCATATTTAATATAGATAATTGCAATAGCAACTTACAGTACCCAAAAAGAATTTTACTTTACAATAACACATTGTAATATCATTCTTATTGTAATTTCATGAGTTTAATAGAAGTTGTGCAAATATTAGAATCGGGATATGCAAACAGATCCATATTACTTTAACAACTGCTATTCCAACAGGAAGACATTTAAAATTACGTTATTGGCATGTTATTCTGATATAAAACTTAATGAACCCATTTTATAAGCTTTCGGCATATATTTTTATCAATAAATTGGTCATTTCGAATCAAATGTATATGGAAGTGTTAGATGTCAAAATTCATGTTGTGATACATTACCTTAAAGTTCAATAAAGTTTAAAGTTCACTATTCACTAAAGAATTGCCCACGCATTTTTTACACCCAAAGGGGATGATTATTTGTTTTGAACCCTTAGTCCTCAATCTGATGTCAAAATAGTTGAGTCTAACGATCTAACACCGCAGCATTTTTTGTCGGTGGGCCATATAACCAACTCCAGACATCAACCCGGCCACACAAAAAATTTACTTTAGCTTTTGCTTTGTATACAACGAATTAAAAAATTTCCACGATGCAAAATTTTATTTGTTTAACATAATATTGGGACACTTGAAATTTTGGGGTTTTATAACATTGTTTACAAGAGAAGAGAATGCGGCTATCGCTTAGCCATACAGTAATAAAGGCAGCGCGCAACGTGGCGAAAGATTCAATGCAGCTATAAGAGCAAAAAACATGTATTTTCACCCATGTTAGCACCTTTTTAAACTGTCGGATTAGGATTTTTACTGGAGTATTGACAAGTGCCACACCAAATGGCTTGGCGGGCCGGGTTGTGGCTCGAGGGCCACCTGTTCTGCACCCTGCAAAAAATTATCGCCTAACCCTAACCTGTTACCCATGTTACGTTCCGATGTCCGCCATCTTGGTTCGCATACTTCGGGAGCACCTTCAAATCAGTTCATCGCCTACTATTTAACAAACATTCTAACTGAAGTATTTTTTACTGTTAGGTTGGCGCCGTCACTCTTCTATAGTAAATTAGTTATGATTTACTACCATTAGTTGTTCCTATTTGATTTCCCCTGAATATTTTTTTACATTGGAGAATTACAAAAATTGAGTTGAAATCTAACCTTTTGCTATCGCCTTCATTTCTAAATTAGGCCGCAAAAAGCGCAAGCATATTACTATCGACCATTTCGATTCTATATGCCAATGACTAAATATCGTTTGACTGTAACTTCTCTATTCTTCAGAATCTGATTCAGGCTCAGGAAGCGAGTCAGGGTCGGCGTCGAGCGACGAGGAAAGCACGGAAGGACCTGATTCAAGAGTGAGTGACTCTGATGCATTGAGTCAACCACCTCGAACAAAAGAACCCAGCTCTGATGAACAGTCAGATTCTGGTAAGCACCCAAGATTTTTCTGACTCAATGTTGAGCAATTTGAAAGTTTAAGGTAATTTCCATTGTTGTTGTCAGCATATCTGGCAAATAAATATGTGATAAACCTATAAATTCTGAAAAACATTATGACTAACCTGTAAAAAATTTTCTATTGCATTTTTTATTGTTTTTTAAATAAGAAATTTAGAGATTTTCATTATAGAGATATTGTATTTTATGTAATTTCTGATTGAATTATTCCTTAGATGATAATAGAAATAAAAAAATAATGAAACCATTTTTTTGATACAGATGTGTGATTGATTTTTTTTTAAGTATTTCTTATAGTGCATATAAATAATATACTTTTTTAAGTTCTAATTGAAACTTCGACAATTATTGTTATTGAGACCAGAATTGCTAAAAAATTAGAACATTAAAATTTCTTGATTGTCCGCAAGCTGGTGTAATTTACATGATTCGTTCCTCACATAGACATTTTGTGTGGTGATGCCAACAAAATTAAAAATTGAAATTACTTGCAGTGGTTTGGCAACCGGATGTCAGCATTGTTTGTCTGAATAAGTGGTTAAAGATTGTTGTTGTCGCTAAAAGGCCGTTACTTTTATTCAACTCAAAAAATTCTGTGGACTCAATATGATTCGTTTTTCACTTTGACATTTTGTGTGGTGAAGTTAATAAAAATGAAATGTAGGGGTCCCGCAACCCGATGTCATCATTGCTCTCTTGTTTGTCTGTATATTCCGTTTAGCATTTTGTCTAAGTCTAAGATGTGGTAAATATTAACATTCAGGATCATCTGATTCATACTCTGAGTCTAGTTCAGGAACAGATTCTGATTCTTCGTCCTCTCCACCTCCATCTCCTTCACCAACAAAAAAGAAAGCAACAAAAAGTGTCGTAAATAAAAAGAAAGAAAAGAAACCAGTATCATTACTTGACTTGGATGATTGTAAGTTTTGGAACAAAATTTTTTTTTTTTAATTCACATGTGTGCTACGTGCAGGGTTGTTTAATATGGAACAATTATTTGAATACATTCTAGATTTATTAAATTCTTGATTTTACAATTCTTCTGAAAAGTTTTTTTGCCCTCAAGGCATATACACATTTACAGGTGTTCTGTTAGCTTGTCACAAACTGTAATACACATCACCAAAGCAGCACCATCATAGAAACATGTAAACAAATAATAATTAACAAGTAACAACAAGTAATGGCACAAATGATTACAATTGTGTGGTAAAGTAATCAGACCAAAACATTCACATTTTTTTCATTTGGAAATGTGCCATATATGGCATTAGGGCAAATAGACTTATTATGAGTATACATTTAATACTTCCCCATTATGCTACATTATATGTTCAGAAAGATTCATGATTCATACAGATTACGATAACTTCTGACCATGTAAAAATAGGACCAACGACTACCGACTTGGTAGTCGTACCGAGGTACTACTGTATTCAAATTAATTCTAAAATGCACTCGGGATAATAGGTTATTCGATTTTGACTATCCATAGTTGGTTTTGTTATCTTTCGTAATCTTATTTTTCAGTCGGCGGATCCCAAGTTACTAACTCAGTGTCATCAACAACCCCAGCTCAGATCTTATCACCTTTGACAGCTGATTTGCAAGGACTTTCGCTCGATAATACTTCAAACAATACATCTGGAATGGTAAAGTGCTATAAATTTTAAATACAAAATCGTTGAATGAAAGGTTTTGTTACTGTACATTTAAATTGAAACCGTAGAATTGGCGCTTTCGTTAGAACCATCTTGATTGTATTGTTGAATTATGCCCATACCATTTTTTAAAACAAAGTTTTATATTACAATATCTAGAATTCATAATGTCATTTAATCAAATTGGTTGGGCTTAGGCCATCACTTTTTTCCCATTTTCCTTATTTTAGTTCTATTATGTGTTCGGTGACTGTATGTGTTACTGTTAGCCAACTGAATATAACCCCTGCCCATAGGTTTCAATCAGTCCAGTTACACAACTTGATGTAAAGTAGGTGAACTTACCTCCATATTGGTACACACATTTCTTGAGCGCCCTCGAATGAATTCATTCAATGCAATGGTATAGCTTTCCATGTTTTGACTTATTTTCCTTAAACCCTTACTTCCTGTTCCAAGAAAGCTATTTTGCATAAGATAAAAACCTTATTTTTTTTTAAACAATTCAATTGATACTACAGTTTTAATAATAATTTTGCGAAGTTTTTTGATAAATCTGCAACATTTGATCTTGTACTTCTGGGCTTTAACATAATAAAAAATTGCTACAGGTTCAGATAAGTTTTTGTTTTCCTTGTAGAAGTTACAGAAAGATTCCTTTTTTCAGGATTACTCATTCAATTCTCATACTCCCCAGAAATATGAGCTTTTACATAGAATGACTGGAGAAGGATTATCAGCATCATATAGGTATTGTAGTACATACCGATAATTTATTAAGATATTAGAAAGTACTTTAGAAATTGACATTTGTCAATTTTTCTTTTATAATCCAAATTCATATGACATTTTCCAATTTGATGTTATCTATCATATTGCTGTATAAATTATATTTTTGTATAGAATATTTAAAATATAAATAATTAGCAATGCAGATTTTGGGAGTATCAAGCCAATCTTATAAGAACATTGTCAGTTTACTTACCTAAGTCAATGAAGGAAACAGGGAAAACACTTTTTTTTTGTTGAATGAAATCTGTTTTTTCTGAACAAGTTTTATTTATTCCAGGTATACAAGACGACCTTGTATATACAGCAATAAGATGGTTTCAATTGAACTCATGGTAACAAATCATGGTGATGCTCCAATTAATAATATTCATATGGGGAATAAGGTCAGTATTTAGAACTATTTAATCATGATTCTTATGAACTGGAATCTTGAATCTGGATGATTATTATTTAAAAGTCAAAATTAGAGACGGGGAAGTTATCAGGTTATTTGATTCAAATAGATTAATCATTAATAAATTAATATCAAAAGAATTTTTTTGCAAATGATGGCTATTTTGAATTAGAAAAAAAGTGTTACATTCCAGTGTGTATCTATCTACACAATAGCACTTTTCAAATATGTAAGGGCTGATAACTTGCTGTCTGTTAATTATAAACAAGTAATTGTTCAAATTTTTAAGTATTCAAAAATGTCCACCATAAGCTTAAATACTGCTATTTTTGTGAAGTTAAATGCCCTATTAATATATTTTTAAACAATTATTGATGCGGTGGGCTTTATTAATAAGACCTTGAAAATCATGAACTCTTTTTATATGAAAACTGATTCCTATATATCTTGGGGGAGACGAAAGAGTTAATAATACCAGTTCATGCTCAACAAGGTGAAAACACTCAGTGAAACAACCTTATCAAGCAATGAAACTAGGAAGAATGGGGTTTTGGGTAAAGTGAAAAGTAAAATCAGTTTTGCGTCTAACATTGTGGTCATCAGTTGGCCACCGCTGCTCTAAGGAGTTCAGCAATCCTCTTGCACGTAATAATCCCACCAAGCTCAAACAGAGGTTTGATGGAAAGTGTGTTCATGAACCATGCATTGCCAGCCAACCTACAGTAAATAATTATTATCGTTGCATTTTTAAAGTCGCAGAATCATTATAGAATATATATAACACACAGAAGGTATAGGAGTTCTGTCATTTAACTTTTTTTCCTTCTTTCATTTCACCAATGCTGGACATTATGGATTGGAACAAATGCAGTATATTGATGTATGTAACTTAATGCATATAGCATGTCAATCGGCTGGTCAGTAGTCTGTCTGTGCTTTGAAGTGCAAAACTGCAGCACTGCACCTTTGCTGTGTTTTTTTGTTTAAGCTTTACTAGTCATTGATAACTTGCTTCAAAAACTTTTCTAGCGAAATAATCACTACTTGATCCGTCAGTATATGGGTATCTTCATAAATTGTATGTTTATCGGAATGGATAATTGATAAACATTTAAAATTTATTATAGTCTAGGTCGGCAATTCTCAAACTTTCATGATCCGTAGTCCCTTTTAAAAGACCTTCTACATTTGTGACCCACTTGTCCTTGTATGAAAATATCCAATTTGGCTTTCAACACATTTCCATTCGTTATTTTATGCACCACACTTAATGATAAAATTAAACGAATCTCTGTCAACTTCTTCACACTAATGCATCATGAATGATACCTAGTGAAGGCCCTTTCTCAGGGCCCCAATAGAACCGATTTACGGCCCTGGGGAGCCAAGGGTCCAGTGCGAGAAAGTCTGGTCTAGGTGGAATTATTTTGTCTGATGTGTAGAAGATAGTTGTGATGAAAAAGCAATTGGTCGAGTTGATTTTCTTTAAAGTTGATAACTTGGGAGCAACTCAAACAATCCTGTCATGTAATAATTCGAATGCTGTCTTTTACAACATTGATTGAATGAAAAAGGGCAATTAATGCATTACTTAAGACTTTATTTTGCATTGCGTTTCAAAACTTTTTTTTAACTAAGCCAGTAATAGATCCCTTCACATAGTGCAAAATAGTATAGCTCAGCATTTAAGTAGCGTTTGAATATCATCTGTCAAATGTTTTAGGGTAGATTTCTACTATAAAGTTACCAGTTATGATTCAATGTCTAAAAAATAATTTTGATTGATGTTATCATGAAACAAAGTCTTGGTTTATAGCAATAATTTCAATAACAACCAAATGTCTCACTTAATTTTTGTCCATGCACTCTTTGGTGTTAGTATAGTTTCTGATAGCTTACTAGGTAGACACTTCACAAACATCATTGAAGGCAAACAACAAATAATAAGTTTGTAAATTCGCAGCTGTAACTGTATTGTATCTAAAGTTCATTTATTCTTTGGAAAATTTAAAACAAAAAAATACAGCAATAGCATCAATATGTGCATCACTAGTTTTTTTATTCACTCATTTTTTCTAGAGTATCTTAATTTCACTGACTTGGGAACGTCATTTACCTAATACCATTCATTTGCGTTTGAAGAAACATAAATGATATAGATTCAAAAACGTTGTAAGCTATAATGTGTGATCAGAAAAACGAAACCGTAATCAACTATCTGAATGAAGCTGTATGTTTACCAACTCGCTCATGTCAAGTCACTTTGACCATTGACTGTTTAATATGTTCAAATGGAAATCGTGCTCTGTTTTTTTTACAGCAGCGATTTTTGAGCCATATACAAATTCTGCTTTTAGGTTGCAATTTTCTAATTATTGTTTGTTTACTGAAATTTGTTGTTAAAAAACGGTTAATTTTAGGCCACATTTGATTGAATAGTTGGACATGGTATTGAGAATAGAACTCCGTCAAACAGCTAACATTTTAAACTTTGTGATTTTCCATTTCTCACATTAAATATTGTTGTTGCTGTGATTGCACAGAGCACATTGAAGTTGCAACCCTTTGCTATGCTTGTGCTGTTTGAAATTTTCTGTATTTATGCAATATAACCAATATGCTTCCAGTGTTACTGCATGGATGTTCTTCTTATGGATGGTCCCACGCTAATGTTAATATTGGCACTTTTTGCGCCATTTGATTTGCTGAGTAACTTACTTATTTTTTGTTTACAGAAATTGCAAGGTGGATTACAGGTTCATGACTTTGATCAAATTGGTGAGTTTTTCTCTGGTATTTTGCGCTCAAACAATATTTTCAAACAAACTGGCTCATGAATTTTCTGGTATAAGTGATCAAATAGGTCAATACTTTATTTTCATTTGTGTTCAAGTTTTTCTTCTCTACTATGGATTTATGTATCACACTGTTTGTAGATGTATTTTGTAGTTTATTATTTTTTTCAACCGCGTAGAGAGCATTTTTTAGGTAGCTTTTCCGTTCGTAGTATTACAGTTTAAGTAGGGAAACTTTACAAAACTGAATGCAGTATTGTACGTTGCACGCATGTATATGGGCATTATTAATTCCGAGATTTTTCAGAAAAATCCAATTCGTCCTCATTCTGTTATTATGATTTCGTTTTAAGATGTGCTTGCACCTGGAGCATCTTTGTCTTCTACGATGGGAGTTGATTTTTGTGACACTACTCAACCACTTATATTTGACTTATGGTATGTATTGGTAATATATTGTGTATATGGGTACTCTTGAAGTCTGTGAAATAAAATGGCAGACACCGGAACGTAGTATGTGTACCAGGTTAGGGTTAGACCATAATTTCAGGTACAAATACTACGGGAGTCACTTGGCTAGTCCCCGAACTCGAATAGAACTAAAATAAGGAAAACTGGAATGAAATTATGGCCTGACTCTAACTTGGTACACATACTACGTTCCAGTGTCCGCCCTCTTGGTTCACATACTGTCAGCAGTAATTTAAATAATAATATAGGTCCTTTTTATTAACAGTACTGAGACGAGAAAATTCAATGTTCAAATCAAAATACCAGTCGGTGAACTTGTCAAACCAACAACAATGCATGAAACAGAATATATTAAGCAACAAGGTAAGTTAATTTCACCTTACAATATTCAAGGGAAATTAAATAGTTGTTAATTTGCCACTATTTTTCATCCTTGCTTTAGGTAATAAGGCCATATACATGGATAGTTAATGAATTTGTCATTATGATACTCTTTATATATCTGTTTCTCCAAACAAGGCTCTCCACAAGTCCACTGCTATATAGGAAGCTTCCTATTTTGGAAAGACTGGAATTTTTCTGGTTCAGCATTGTGTACTCAATTTTGTTACACAGGTTTTTTTTCTTGTTATGCCATCATAGCTAAGTCCAATGCTTTAACCACTTTGCGCCCCTATACCACTGTATACCATGTATGTACTTTTCGTTTCAACATACTTTCTCCGTAATATTATTTGCACAAAAGTTAACAGAATACTAGATCATATTCAACATATCATTCCAGGTAAACTAGGGGGAATGAATGAAAACACCGGTAAATTGAATATTCCTTCTTCCCTCGATGACAAAGAAGTTTGTAAACGAATCACACATGTACTGAACGTTTGTAGAGTTCCATCAACACAGGATAATATATACAGGTAATGTTGATTTTTTCTTTGTAGATAAGCTGTTGTTTAAAACAATTATTTTTTGTATGCTTCGCACCTATAACTCACTGAAAAACTTTGTAGAAGAGGGCACTCTGGTCAGGAAGCATCTTTTAGTTTTGCAATGACCAGAATTTTTTGCTATGCGTTGTTGAATCACATTACACTTGATGCATTATTTTTGAATTTACCTCAAAATCATGTTGTGAATGAATTAAATTAGCCCAATAATATACCTCAATAAACTGTTCTATTCATGTAAAATTATAGTTACTTTTAATGTTCTTTTCGGAATTCATGAAAAATCAATTTCTCAAGTATATGCCCAAACAAATGTCTGATTATATTTTTACTCTACTTAGATTTGCTGGTAAAACAGCTTCTTGTGAATCTGTTCTGCTGGTTTGTTTTGACCAATCAAGTGGAGATTCTACTTCGAAGCTTCAAGTCCATTGTGACAAGATGGTAATTGGTTCAATGATATTCAAGCAAATCAAAGAAAAATTATCTGAACAATAAAAGGATAGATGGAGAAATCAGTGCAATTCAAATAGGCTGTATTTTGTTTCTTGTAACAGTGAATGTCTGTCATTATACTTTGTAATATGTTGATGTGGGTCAGGGGTTCTCAACGTTTATTATCTAACCCTTCGCAAAGTGAATTTGATTTCTACAAATACTCGTGATGACTCATTAGGACAAAAATGTACTTGAAGAATGAAGATGTTTCAAATTAATTAAATATGTTGAATTGAGTAACCAAAATGCAATTTTTTCATTCATAACCAACAAACAGATGGGAGAGCGTAATAACATTTATTTCGCAATCTGTTATGTGCTCAATGATACATTTGATCAAGTAATGAAAGGAAACGAATTGCATGTAGCAGATAAAAGTGCTAGTTTCTTGCTTCTCTCAAAATTCCAATGCAGGTCAAATCTACCCGCAGTCGAGAACCCCTGATGTAGATGTTATAGGGTGCTAGGAAGCAGCTTTAGTGTTTTTCTTATTATCTCTTAACTATATTTGAATTAATAATATTATGCTTTCTATGTTTATTGCCAGATAGGGACATGTCTGTCTCTCACTAGAATATTTCAAAATAATTAGTTTAGGCAAGTTTGAAAACGCTATGTAACTTTGTGGTTTGAGGTAAGCAGAGATACATTTCTTAATGTGTATGTTGGTTTTGATGTCAGTTGCCAATCATGCTTTCTTGAAGTGTTTGTCCCTATATATTACTGTATATTAATCCTCAAATATATATGAATGCTGCTATTAAAAATGGCAATAATTTTGCGAAGGGTGGTGCATCTTGCAAAGTGTTAGAAAAACTCTTGCTATCACACATATGATTATCCTACATGGGCTCACGGGTTCGAAATCCTGTGTGAAACTTCTTACCGGTGGGTCATGTAACTGCGGTTTCCTCCACCATCGAGCCCACGCATTGACTAATCCCATATCTGACATGTACTGTCAACTGGATGTGGGGCTTTGGCTTTCCCCTCAGGATAAAAACACCACAATGAGAGCTAATTCTGGAACTTGCTAGGAGTATATACTATCCTAACTGCAGGGACATTCGACAAGATATGTTTAGTTGTGATTGTGACCCTTTAGAGCAGTGGTTCTCAACCTTTTATGACTCGTGGCCCCCTTTCGGAGGCTTTTAGCACTCATGGCCCCCACTTTAATATTTCAGAGGTATTAATAGGGTTATTTTCATTGATAGATTCCAAATCCCATTATGTTAAAACAATTTGCACAAAAGAGAGCGAAAACACCCTGCGAAATAACCTTGTTGAGCAGCAAACTAGGAAAAACTGTGAGATTTCTTTTAAAGTGAAAAGTAAATTCAGATTTCAGCCCATCCTTGTGGCCCCCCTCCAACTCCTCTGTGGCCCCCTTAGGAAGCCGAGGGCCCTTAGGCCCCCGGTTAAGAACTTTAGACGTCAGTAATCCCAACAACTCTGACTTCTTGCAGTCAGATCCAGTTGTTCAAATACCCATGCTATTGTACAGACTTTTTCCAAGCATCAGGTTAGATACATACACAAGTCATCAGAAATACCTGGGGCTGCTATATACTGCTTACACCTCCGCTAGTGCTTTACTACTGGTCTGGTCTTCACTTACCAAACAAGACTACTCAATTTGCTATAACCATTCAGAAAAAATTCTTTAAAGCTTTAAAATCTGTATCAGCCATGTTATTAAGTTGAGTATGATTGAGATATATGAAAATACTTTAGCATCAGGGGCGGACACCCGGGGGTGCGAGGGGGGGCGGTCGCCCCCCCAATAATTTCGTAAAAAAATTTAATACATGTTGTTTCCGCCTTACAAAATTATCATTTCCGAAGAGTGCGATAGTCAAGCGCAATTAAACGGTTAATAGTTAGCAATATTATAACTGTTTTCTTACAATAATGTGGACCAGAGCGCCTTCGGAGCACCTCACATTTTCGTGAAACATGCGCGTCCGCATGGGTAATACTCCGTCTTCAAACGCACCGCCGACCACGCCCCACGGTTTTGCACAACTAATTCATTTTTGTACAATTTAATATGATTTTCTCATTGTCAAAATCTTTCAATAGTGTTATTGTTGGCACTTGCGAGAGAAGTGAAAGAGGCAAACTGTGTTTCATTACAACAAAGAATTATTAGCGCTAAAAAATTAACTAGATCTAAAGTTAATATAAACAATTTTCACCGCTGGACGTATCTTTTCTCGTTATGGATTTTGTGCAAGGCCCAGCATAATTTGCGGGCAAAGATCAAAGCATTTACTATGTCGAAAAGTTGAAAAGCGGCAATATAAAATACTAAAAATAAAACTGTAAATAATATAAGTTTTGTTGAGGCCCGCGACAGTCTAAAAACGCTTTTCTAGGCATCGAAAATCGCAAAACTTCGTGTGCTTACGGCACAAATTATGTTTGCTTGACCCTTAAAAACATTTCGTTACTAAATTCGAAACACGGTCAATTGTGAGCGGGATTTGCTTTTTTATCCATTACTTTTAAATTGACGTCGAAAATTTTCGTGTTAACAAACAAAGCTGAGAACGCGACTTTTCCCCGGTTTTTGATGATATATAAGATAAATAAAGTATATTCGATCACTTATTGTATTTATTTATGTATTTTTATTGTACTGAAATAACTTTTACTACGTGAGAATTGACAGAAAATTTACGGATTTTTCGAAAGGGGTTATCTTTAAAAATGTGTGACAAGTACATCTCAAATTTATCGAATTCGCAAAATAGCGAAAATACGGATCAAAACAATATATAAACAGGCAGTTTACCACACATTTTTATGCCCGCGGATTGCCGTCGTGTTTTAAGGTGGCTCTTGTTTTGTCGACTCAACCGCAGTTTAAATTGAAGACAATTAAATCAATAAATCAAGACATTTTGAATATGCCCGTATCGGTCTTTGATTGATTACTTTGCACAAGTGAAAAATCATTTTTCGTTGATGAAGTCTGCTCTTTTAACAAGTGGCATAATCGCGGCGACTGTTCCGCGTGGATTTCGAGGCGATGAATTTGTATTTTTGATTTACTAGTATACTTTATAATTATTTTCATTGTATGAATTAAAATTGTACTATATGGGATTTTATATCAGATATCGAGATTTTTGTAACGGCGATAACGAGTTCGGAAGATTGCAAAAATAGGTATAAAAATTAAATACATCAGGCAGCTTATCTCATATTTTTATGTCCACATATCGCCGTGGTACTTTAGTTTAGTAATATTTTTTTTTTGACTTAAGAAGTCGCAACCGCGAGTTCCGTTGCACACTATTAAATTAATATATAAGGACATTTTAGAATCTCGTGGCTGTCATGGATCGACAGAAAAATCATTATACGCTTAAATAGGCGGCTCTTTTAACGAGCGCATAATCGCGGTGCTTGTTGCAGACGGCAATGGGAAGTTCCGACTTTGACCCCCCCGCCTTTTTTTAAATCCTGGCCTCGCGCCTGAACTTGTGCCTGTTTATTTTCGTATAAAATTATAAATAAAAACCCTGCAAGGTCGAATCCTGAATGTTATTTCGAGTTCAAATGATGATTTAATAAATCGGCAATAATGGCAATTCTACTAGTCAAATGATAATTCCTTGGTAAAATTTAGGAAAAAAATTCGCACAATAGCTTGTTACCTTGTTTTGGATTTCTAATTTTACGAAACGGCGTTAGTGCGCTTTATGCATGACTAGCAATTGAAACAATAACCTAATAGGACTCCTCAAATATGTTATTTTCTGTTTGTTAGCAAGAGCCGTGGGCTAATTCTCGCGGAATTCAAGAAATTGGTTCAGTGACGCGCAAGTTCCGTGTCCGATCAAAGCAGCCTAGGTACTCGATATATGAGTAGCAAAATGACATGCTAATACTTAGAGAATGACATCGACAGGTTATTGTTACCGTGACGATACACGGCGCGGTGTTTTTCGGTAGGCGATCCAAGTTCGCCCCCCCAAAATTATGGAAAGTGTCCGCCCCTGTTTAGCATGGCAGTTTCGAAATGTCATTGCAACAAGAAATTATCACGAGATCTGAAAACTTTCAGTTCGGACTTCGCATCCTTGGGGCCACTGAGCAACCGAGCAAATCTGACCTGCGAATCAGGATTTTACAGTTAGAATTCTGTTATAACCTATATAGAAATTCATCATCTTCATTATAAAAAGTTTTTCCATCATTTGTTTTAACAATATTCAAACTGTCGGTTTCTTCATCGAGATCTTCAATTTCCTCATATTCTTCATCTTTCTCCTCTTCCATGTCCTGCCACTCATCTTCTTCATTGTAGAGGTAAGCATAAAATTCACAATCGTCATCATCAATCCAAGAGACGCCAGAATCTCCTTCCGAGTTAGCAGGCCGCCTTGTTAACTTTTTATCACTCAATTTGACTGAACCTTTTTCATAGCCATCAAACCATGTACTGACATTCTTCCAGTCAGGTAGACCCCATGTTTGTTCTTTGGGGGCAATATTCTGATTCTTCTCATTTTCAAAAAGCACCACTGACTTATTGTCAGTATCAGTTTTATACAGAGGTGATGGTAATTTCCCAATGCCACGATTCTCTCGTACTTTTGCATCCAATCTCTCACGTTCCTCTGGGCTTAAAACATTCTTGCTGTGTAGAACTTTTCTCATCACCTGTGATGAATAGGTATAGCTGTTAGGAATGCTACAAACTGCTTTACCACAAGAATAAAATACGCTGTAATAGAGGTGCATTTAGATACTTATCTTCTCTAGATTACTTATATCTAAATATCAAAATCACAAAACTGTTGGCAAATATTCTCTCCCCAAAACTGGTTTTGCATATTAATATTACAATCAAAATTTTCCAAGTCAGACAATGATATTCATGTCGTAATTAGTATTTTTCAAGTAGTAAAGCCAGGTTTTAACTTTCATGCATCCAAAAAGGATGGAAATAAAAAATATATTGTTTTCTTGTGAACCAACCTCTTGAGGAACTTGGAATGAGTATGCTAGTGTCTCTACGTTCCATTCATCTGGATTAGTTTGCCGCAAGAAACGAGCATGTTCCATCTGCTTCCATGTAAGCAATCGTGGACCTGGTCCCTTATTAAAATCTTTTATTTTTTTCCAATGTTTATATGCACTTCTTCTTCTTTGAGCTTCCCTGTAATAACAAATAATCAATCTTTAAACCTTTTGCTGAACATTTAAACACAATTATTGCTATTGTAAAGACCAGGGGTGTCAAACTTGTGGTCCGCGGGCCTCATGCGGCCCCAGAGAACTTCCAATGCGGCCCTCAAATGCTTAACCAGAATTGTGATATTTTGTGTTTTTTTTATCTAAATGTAATACATTTTTCAAATCCTTTAATGTGAATTTTTTTTGTTTTTAATTTTTCCAATTATGGATACACCTCAAGCTAGCAAAAGAATACTTGAAAAAAAATACTTCATGGATTGAATGAAACGCAAAGTATATGAAAAAGTTGCATTTTTGAAGAAAAATGGGAGTTGCAATATTTTTGCATTTATCAAAATTATAAAGCACATTGTCAGAAGAATCTCAGCAGTCAATATGATCAAGCTTAAACAGAAAATTTTTATGTGTTTGTATATTATTATAATTATACAAAAATCAGTCAACAAGCAGTCCTATACCACGTAATTGTAGGAAAAATGTCGCAAAAAGCCTGTCATTCGTTGTACTGATCTATACATGAAATGATAACGAAATAAATTTGTATTACTGAAATTAAACAAACATTCTCAAAGATCCATATTAATCGATGATCATGTAACCTCGTTAATTAGAATTGGTACTGTAAAATCATTTTAGCCTGATATTAGACAGACAAATTCCAAAATTGTTTTACTATAGAAATCAGATATTATGGATATTTGCACATATCTGCATGCGGTTTTATAATACCTTAGAAGCTCATCTTGGAAATCCGTCTCATCCACATCATCGTTCGGTTCGCGAGTTCTCTCATCTTGCCTTTGAATAATATCATGGGCGAAGGAGTTGTCCACTCGGAAACGCTTTTTAAGTTGCGCAATATACTTGTTATGGAACACTTGTTTTCTTTTTGCTGCCAGTATTTCAGGGGCTGTGTGTAAATGTCTCAACTCATCTTTCAATCGGCGCGAGCATTGATGACAAAATAATCTGGTAAGAACTGCAACCGCTGAAGACATTTATGGTTAAAATTACCTCTCACTTCCTGAGCGTCCTTCCAGAAATCTCAACTGATGGATTTGTTTCCCCGACCTTCGACCTTTTTTTTGTTTTGCCGACAACAGCAAGAAGATGTTTATAATGACTCTAAAGACCAAAACTTATTGATGCATCTAGTGTGACTCCTTGGGATCACCGTTATTGGACAATGGACTGTTCAGTCGGCTGCATGTCAATAACCTTTATTGATACTTAATACTGTATATTTAACCATTTGCCGTCAAAAAATACCGACAACTATCTTTGACCTAGGATTTAGGATAGGATTTACATGTTTATCCCGGGGGAGAGTAAAGCCGATAAGACGGCTTATTCATATGACGAACCACGGCCTCTCGTCCGGTTACCATTCCAAGTCGGGTATGGGATTAGTTATATTGTTTTGTTTTCGGAAGCATGGACTTGATGGTGGAGGAAGCCGTAACCGACCAGCGGTTACGTGAACCACCCAACGACGGCGAGGAGTCCAGCAATCCTCTCGCACATAATCATCCCTGCATGAGATTCGAACCTGCGAACCCACGCAGAGTAACTAGAGGTACGGTGGCGAGCGTATTCCTAACGCTTAGCCCGTTGAGCCACACCGCCGCGCCAGAACTCCGGCGCACACTGAAAACTTTTCAGTGTGCCATATTTAAAGAGAAAATATTCCATAGGCAAATCGATTTGATCATTTTTTTTACTTGCACCAAAATTGACACATACCTATAAGAAACATTCAAAATGGGAAAATTAGTCAATGTTTATCGTTAATTGATAATTAGCCATTGTTACGAATACGTGTAATGGTACCAACCAACATCTATCATGTGGCGTGGAGTCCATCAATATTCAATAGTGTGTTTAAGAAAGAACCCTGGCTAAATGGTTGGGAGGGTAATGCCGATGAATTTTAGAAAATTGTGAAAGTCGGTTTTATGCGACCCTGGTTGCAGCATAAGTCATCAATGGTTGCAGGTGAGACAATAACCTACTGTTTATGATTCATTTTGATGGTAATTCTAATAGCATGTAATCAAGTAGTGGTTCTAGTTTAGGGTTGCCATACCGTCCGGAAAATTCCGGACGTGTCCGGAATTTAGAGTTAAATTTTGCGTCCGGGAGGAATTTTAAAAAATGCTCAAATGTCCGGAATTTTACTGCATCTGCAATCGTAATGTGCACACTGCTAATACAGAACATTGTTATTTCGTACCGCGCGCATATTTTTACGACGAGGTTGTATGAAATTTTAATATAACAGAGCGTTTTCCTTATCAATGGTGTTAAACTTGCAAACGTCTATACGAAATGCTTTTAGTACCTGTGCAAATGGATGAAACCAATGGAAGAGTTTACTTGTTTCAAATGGATAACCTTGAACGAGATACCAAGTTGGAAGGATGTAAAGCAGGGGTTGGCAACCTACGGCCCGCGGGCCGGATCCGGTCCGCGGAGCAATATAATCCGGCCCGCGACGCTTCACTGGATTATAGGAACAAAACAGCTGTTTAACGATTATATTCTTTACGTAACAGAATTAATTTTGCGACACGCGTAGGCTAAATTATGTTATAACCTAACAAGTATATAATTCACAATTGCGCGTTTATTGACCCTATAATTTAATTATAATTACACAAATGGCAACAAAACGCAGAAAGGTTGATGCTTAGCGCAAATGGTTTAATGGTGCAGAAAATATTCAAATGGTCAGTCTTCGTGCGCTGCTCTAAATTTACCTTCTCGCGAGCGACAAAAGGTTGCCGACCCCTGATTTAAAGCCTTGCCTGGAACATCTGATTAGTAAACGGGTTGATGTGGACGATGATAAATGCTTTGACCAAGTCTGTAACTTGAAGCAGTTTGTGGAAAGTTACCTACAAGACGAAGAATTTATTGAACTTCCATCGCATAAGAAATGGTGCAAATATTTCGATCAGTCTACGAACATCACATGCCACTCCGAAATTTTAAGGATTGAACTGTTTTTCTTTGCTGTTACATCCCACAATGCCAATATTGTAGAGAGAGTCATTTCACTGATCAAAGTCAGTGGACTAAAGAGAGAAACAAGTTGCGACTATAAAAGGCATGTTGACTCTCCAATATAATTTCAAAGATATGCACTGTAGTGAATTGTTTTCATTTTTGAAATCAGACGAGGAGAGAATGAGATCTTCAGAAAAATATGCATGGTCAGAAGAGTAAATTTGTGGTGATTGTCTTTAATTTGTTTTAAGCATGTAATTGCTGTTCTTCCGTTTCGGCACAATCTAATTCTCATTCTTGTTTTTCATTCTGAAGTTGAGATTTTTTCAGTCGACGGCCCGTAGCTATATTTAGAGTGTGCTTACCTGCCTGGTGTGAGATTCTGCTTGTGACCGAAGACAATACTTTTCATTTCGGTAGCTGGCGCTTTAGCATGAGTATCGTACAAGTTTGCAGCCTTAGCATTTCGGTAGCGCGTATATATGGTCTCATGAAAATAGGGACCTCCTGAAAGAAGTATGTGCACCAAGATGGCGCACAACCTGAACATAGTTTTTGTGTACCTGTTAGGACTAAGGTTGTGCGACATAGTCATGCACTGTCCGGAATTTTGCTTTTTCAAATATGGTAACCCTATTCTAGTTCAACTGAACAATTATGTTATTTCAGAAAAGGGCCTAGGTAGGTGAATCGCCTTATCAATGAATAGCTAATATCCAGAGTTCAGGGGAGACAATAACCTACTGTTTATGTTTCATTTTGATGGTAATTCTAATAGTATATAATCAAGCAGTGGTTCTAGAACTGACTAATTATGTTATTTCAGAAGAGGGCCGAGGTAGGCGGATCTCGTTATCTGTGAATAGCTATAATATCCAGAGTTCACCTGAAAGCGATATAGAAATATCTTAATCATAGAGACATAGACTAACAACATAAAAAATGAAGCCACCCGCAACCATATCGACATCATATTACCAAATTTATCAAAAGCGATCATTGCTGAATCGAAGACGGTCAGGTTTTGTCGGAGATCACCAGACACAGGGAGAGGAGTTGGTAGCATAGAAGCCATATTGGGGGGGGGGGGGTCAAAATAAGGCTGACGAAATGCGGTCGTTGCGTATCAAGTTAGGGCTGACGAAATACGATCAGTGCGTTTCAGATTAAGGATGGCAAAATACGGTCGGTGCGTGTCAGATAGGGGGTGACGAAAAACGGTGGTTGCGTGGTGTCAAGTTAGCGGTGACAAAATACGGTCGCTGCGAAGAAACCTTAATGATTTGATTTCCGCATGTCAGAATAGTAGCATCACGTTTTGAACTAGACCTGTATAATATCAAACATAGCATATATTCTGGTAATTTCATGAAAAATATATATGTATCATAGGTAAAAGTGGTTTTGTATTTGAACTTAATTTACCACAATTATCTTTTTACTTTTTAGATAGATAATACAGCGATATTGAACGTCTAATACGTTTAAAGCAAGTATAGGGGTGACGAAATGCGGTTGTTGTGTGTCAAAATGGGGGTGGTGAAATACGGTCGGTGCGTGTCAGATTGGGGGTAACGAAATACGGTCGTTGCGTGGTGTCAGGTTAGGAGTGACGAAATACGGTCGGTGGTGGTGTCAGATTAGGGGTGACTAAATACGGTCGAGGCGTGTCAGAATGTAGATGGCAAAATATCAGTGGAAGTGTTAAGTTACCGTAAAACTGGCAGTAGGGTGCCGGTACGCAATCAGTGACAGCGAGCTGGATGAAATTAAGAATCACTAAAATTTGAAAATGAAATTCGCCGAGTACATATATGTTTATTGTAGCAATTGAGCATCTGTTAATTACTATCAACCTAAATAACGATGTGAGGGTATTCCGGTAGTGACGCCAGGTAATATAGAATTAAATAGACATTATTCATGAAATCGGCGATTACAATCCTTGAAAAGGTATTGGAAGTTATGATTCATGAAATGGTGCACGCATCTGGTGTTTTATTGCATGAATGAGGAACCGATCACGGACCAAAATTTCGGAAAAGAGCACGCCGTATTGTAAAAACAGTCAACGCTCAAAGGAACAATCTTCTCTCGGAACTTCGCGCCCTAGATGTAACATTCAATGAAATTCAAAAATCAAAAACGGAGGCACAGTTCGGAGGCCAACGTTATGAAATAAATCTGCATATTTATTATCTTGTTGTACAATGTTGTCTTAAATACGTTTGTGTTCGTCGGGAGCTTTAAAACAAGATATGAAAAACGAATAACAGAATATTTTACAGTTGAATTAGTTTTAAGAAAATTTCCATGTCCTCAAATAGTGTCAAATTTTTTTTTTCCTATTTCTAATATTTTATGTTACTTAAATATGCATGAAAATGACATGAAAAAACATGTTTTATTTAATCGTGGTGATTTAATTTAAATTTGACGTACGACTGGGATCACTCTGCATAGAGAGACTAAAATTAACGAAATCTCTCTATGCAGAAGGATCGAGTCGTATGCCAAATTTAAATTAAATCAAAATCAGCTAATTAAATTTAACTAAACATTGTAAATAATTCTTAAAGTTTTTTTCGAATTTTTTCGATTATTATTTTGAGTAGAATTTTTAATTTGAAGATATGTTTGATATATTATTACGTTTTGCTCTTCAAGTCTTGAACATCTCGAAATAGTAACAGATTCCTCATATTTCTTAAGGCATTTAGAATGTGATATTGTAGGTTTGTCCGAGACCATCAATAACTTTTAGAATATATAATAATTTACACTGCAATAGTCAAGTTGTTCGAGTGTTAAAGTTCGGAGCAACAAAGTAGGTATAAAAAAAGCAATCATATCAAAATTGAGCTTAAATGTTTTCGTATGAATAAGGTCTACAAGCATCATGTAAATATTAGGAAGAATACCCATGTTAGAATGAAATTTACTTTGGTTTTTCATTATTTTAGTTAGGAACCGAATTCTATGAGAATGTCTTTAAGAGATGAAACGCATTCTTCAGTGCCAGGTGGTCCAACCTTTTTGGCCGAAGGGCGTGGCGGTATGGCTCAACGGGCTAAGCGTTAGGAATACGCTCGCCACCGCACCTCTGATTACTCTGCGTGGGTTCGCAGGTTTGAATCCCATGCAGGGATGGTTATGTGCGAGAGGATTGCTGGACTCCTTGCCGTCGTTGGGTGTCGCTGCTTGAAGACCTTTATAGGTCCCTCGCGACTCCAGTCACACAATTAACATGATCAGTATATTTCATTTATTGTAACAGTTTTCTATATGCTTGTTTTTTGTGTTGACAAATAAAAGATTGATTGATTGATCACGTAACCGCTGGTCAGTTACGGCTTCCTCCACCACCAAGTCCATGCTTTCGAAAAAACAAACAATATAACTAATCCCATACCCGACTTATAATGGTAACCGTACGAGAGGCCGTGGTTCGCCATATAGATAAGCCATCTTATCGGCTTTCCTCTCCCCAGGATAAATATGTAAATCCTAATCCTAGTTCACTAATGATCGCGCGGGGCCACTTGACTTGGTGGTTTTGTTCTAGTTTTTACTACGCCGACTGCAGATTAATGAAAAGCAAACAAAACCCCCAAACCGAAATTATAAGCACAATGAAAATACGAAGAAACAATGAAATCAAAAGTTTTTACTACGCCTATATATTTCAATGTCAAGTAGGACACCGCTTTTATCCAATACGTTTGTCGATATTCGGTGTGATGAACGAGGTAGCAATGCAGAGCGAATTTTTCATTAGCGAAATTAGTGATCTCAGGGGGATTTGACATGGTTCGTTCATCTGTGAAAACACTTGCTCGCACAAGTAAGTGCTGTCAAATATTGAGGTCATGAAAACTGCCTCTTCGAGCTTCGCAGAAAAAAAAGACAGGAAATAAAATTGAATTACATGGCTGACGATAAAAATAAATTCAAACATCTCTCTCCAGCAATTACGCCCACGAAGGGACATTAATGGCTCAGATTTATGAAAAACATTGGGATTCGAATAATATCGCGCGGGCCTCTCGGAAACCTTCGGCGGATCACATGTGACCCGCAGGCCATGGGCTGGATCAAAGCGTATATATAAATGAGTTGGACGACCCTGCCTTAGTGCCAGAACAGTACGATTTCAAAGTTGGAATACGTTGCGGATAGCTTACTTTGAAATAACAAAAAATATTTCCCCTGTAAAAAAATTTCACCCATGTAGGGCACAGGAGGAAGAAAGCACAGAAAATCGGTGGTATTGCTCTCATTGTGAAATGTTGGACTATTTGATATACATAAATTCTGAAGTTACTCCCAAATTGATTTGAAGTAAGGAGTAAAATAAACGCTTACGTGCGGTCGGAGGCGTATGCCAACCCACTCGCATTCCGCTAACACCGTTCGCATGTGACGTCGACAAGACTCGTGATTTATAGTTTTTCAAACGCCGGGGCAGCGTGACTGTCGGTCACGAGATCAGGTTTACGTTTGGTATTGTTTAATTGCGCAACGTCATAGTTTGTGGTGAACCTGCTCTAAGGCGTTTGAAGCACCTTAGTGACGATCATATCGTTCCACTTCCGTTACCCAGCGATGTTGCTTTGTCATATGTATGAGTATTATGGTGCGTCAGTGCGTGATGATACCGTACTTTTTCGTAGACAAGATTTTTCAGTCGAGTTTACAGGTTTGGATATTATTTGCAGGTAAGAACTGACCTTGCATAATTGTGAGACTAGGAAGTACTTGAAGATTATGGTATTAAATATTTTAACAAACCTAAATAGTCTACTGAAATATTAATCTGATTAAAAAACGCAGCGACGCACTTTGTTGTGTGCGAGAACAGATCCTGAAATCGGGTACCGGTACGGTACGGTAATTACCGGTACCGTACTGATATGAACTGAAAGCGCATAAGGAAAAACAAAATAATGTATTGGCAGAGTACCGGTACTATCATATCGGCGCAGCGGTGAGGCTCATCATGCTAAGCGTTAGGAATACGCTCGCCACCGCACCTCTGATTACTCTGCTTGGGTTCGCAGGTTTGAATCCCATGCGGCATGTGGGGATGGTTATATGCTCGGGACAAATATGTAAATTCTATCCTATTCTAACAGCTATCGTATTACTTTGATTCCAAGAATAGACCCCACATTGAAAGACATCAATTGTAACAGTGAGTGCAAACCCCTTCTTTACAAGACAGTCTGCGCCTCCATATTGGCATAAATCAAAGGATATTTCTGCAATAAACTAAAAAGAAGCGTGATGTGAAAAAGGTCAACATTAGATTCCTCTAAAAAAAAGTACGATTTACAGAAAGAAAAAAATTTTACCATAGCATTCGAGAGTTTTCAGCAAAAAACACAATTTTGCTCATGTGACAGCCGCGATTACAGGATTAATTTAGAATTTTATTGAGACAAATATGCGCAATCTGCCTTTGTGCCAGACGCCTTGGTTTCAGAGACAAATAGAGTATTTGTTTTATTGAACCAAATATCTGGACATCTTTGAATTGGAGAACTGTGCCCTACTGGTAACCCCAAGCCTACATATTCATGTATTTCACACAAAGTAACATATTTAAACTTGTTCGTTATCGTTACAAAAATTTTTACTTTAAATTCCCGAATATATATTGTGACATATGACTTGTCTATATCGTGAAAAACATATATTTTTATCATTAATCATTTTATTTTATCATTAATCATTCTTACTTTAAAAACTAGCTTAAACATGGGTGGTCAAATTAGCAGAGAAGATTTCGAATGGGTATATTCCGATCAACCACACTCTGATCGTCGAAAGAAAATGTTGAAAGAATATCCACAAATAAAATCATTGTTTGGCTATGATCCTCATTTCAAATATATCGTAGCTGCAATGGTGGCTGCACAGGTTGTTGCTTGTTACTTAATTCAAGATCTTCCTTGGATATGGGTTATTTTCTGGGCCTATGTATTTGGAGGAGCTGTGAATCATTCGATGACACTTGCAATTCATGATATATCACACAACACAGTATTCGGAACTAGCAAAGCGAAATGGAACCGGTATTTTGGAATGTTCGCTAATTTACCAATTGGTGTTCCGATGTCAATAGGTTTCAAAAAGTATCACGTTGATCATCATCGCTTTCTTGGAGGTGATGGATTAGACACGGATATCCCTACTGAGTGGGAAGGTAGATTTTTCTCAAACAGTCCAATGAAAGTGTTGTGGTTGATATTGAACCCATTTTTTTACGCACTTCGTCCCATGTTGGTAAAACCAAAGCCAATGACCCTTCTTGAACTCCACAATACAATATTTCAGCTAGCTTTCGATGGCGCTATTCTCTATTTTTGGGGTGCGAAACCAGTTATGTATTTGCTTTCTGGATCAATCTTATGTCTTGGACTTCATCCGATAGCTGGTCACTTTATTTCCGAGCATTATATGTTTTTGAAAGGCCATGAAACGTATTCTTATTATGGTTGTCTGAATAGAATCACATTCAATGTGGGTTATCATATGGAACACCATGATTTTCCAGCAATTCCTGGATGCAGTCTTCCAATGATGAAAAAGATCGCTCCAGATTATTATGATAACATACCAACACATGATTCCTGGTGTCGAGTCTTATACGACTTCATCTTTGACCCCACGATTGGACCACGTGCTAGGGTGAAGCGCTCTTTTGATTCACAGGACAAGCTCATCACTGCACCTGAAAATAAAGAACCAGTGAAGAAATCCATGAATGGTTTTACAAACCATGAAGTTAATGGTCACATGGAGAAATATCTCAGTGATGGAATTACACGACGAATGATGTCAGACATGCACACAAAGCTGGGGTTTACGAAGAGAAACGTACAATATAGTGTTTGATAGGTTCTTAATACTGTAATTGATTATGTATTGATTTGCACTCTTATTTTATCATTTCACAAAAGATTATAAATATTAAATGGTTGCATTTTATAATTTTTTTTAATCACACAAATTTATATATTTTAAATAATTAAAGCTCATGGCATCGCCTAACCAAACAAATAGCCTTCATATCTGAAGCTTTTCTTGTCTTTTCGACCTCTATATTCTATGTGTCTGAGTGTCTCTTTGAAAAAAAAAATTTATTTAAATCTGGCTGAAGATAAGAAGAGACCTTTTTCATAAATATTATGCAACAAGCTGATTTAGGAAATTGTTTTAAATCTGCTTGCAATGAATCATTTTAGTGATTTCCATTTGTCAACCTTACTTTTAAAATATTATCCAAATAATATAATGAACCTCAATTTTCTTTACAAAGAGTTGTATTTGTAATTAAACTAATCTTGCCATGAACAAGAACTAGGCATTTTACTATGTATTTTTTGAAAAATAATGCAGTTTATTCAAATTATATAATTGTGAAATTACTTTGCAATTTATGCAAACTTTAAAACCTTTACTTGAAATATGAACCTACCAAAGTTGTATTTCATGCATATCATTGGAAAAATGCCTCTTCGTGTTCATGGAGCAAACCCTTTTACATTTTCATTATTATAATTTTCACTAAATGTTGTTGCGTGGTAGAGCCATACATGTGAAGCTAGAACCAGAAAAGATGGACAGAGTAAATGAAGCCAGAAATATATAAATATTAAACATTTTTGTGTATTTTGAATTTCAATCTGTACCAAAAATCGTAATGCAAAATGCTTGCAAAGATTACGCCCGAAAAGGGTTGACTGGCTTTTTTCCGGCATCCATCATATTTTTTTTGTTATGACAGCTTCCAGAGATATGAAACCTTGCAGTAATTATGGTTTAATTTGTGATAGATAATAAATGTATTGTAACTGATTCCGTTTCCAGTCTGAAAATTGTTCCATAACTGTAATCGAAAGATTAACCGTTTTCTTGAATTGGGCATGTAAGAAGTACTATTAGATCTGAAATTACTTTTGGCGAGATGTCGTGGGTTCGTTTGTGCGGGAGACATTTTATTCGCTAATCATAATCATACCAGCAAGCAGTGGCGGCGCGTCAATAGAGCCGACCGGGGCATTGCCCCGGTTGTTTTTTCGGTATAATAAAAAATATTTGAAAAATACCTCAATATCGGTTGCACAGACTGTCTACACTAGCCATATTCTCCCGACGTGGTTCATTTTTCGCCGATTTTGCCCCGGTTGCTCATTGTATATCGTATTCTCTCTTTTATCTTCCACTCGCCGCGTTTGTCTCGTTTGTTTTCTGTTTCTTTTACTAAATCATCGGGGCTAGCCCCGAAATTATGACGACACAATGCCGACGTTTCTTACAACAACGTGTTGACATATTCACGCATTCCTTCTCGTTCGTTGGTTGCTTGAAGAGTTGATAGTTTCCTCGCCTTCGTTTTTGTCGCTTGTTTCGCTATTTGAATCAGTTAGAGACCTTTAGTCCATTTGCTTTCGATTTTCCACATTCCTTTTGAGCTCCTCGCTTCTTTCCGGCTTCGCATTTCTTAGCCTTAGACCTCATAAGGAATAAGGTTGATGCACTACTTCGCACTCCGTTTTCGCAGCTGCCGCTGGAACAAAAATTAGAGGTACAACGTCTTGGGCCTTATCAACCAAAAAATTGTTCACTGGAACAATCCCATGACGGAGGAAAGCGTCGGCGTACATTCTGCGCAGAAACTTGGTATAAAAAACACGAATGGTTGTGTTACAGCGAGGACAAAAATGCACTTTTTTTGTTTTTATTGCCTACTTTTTGCTACCGCCCGTGACTCACGTTGGTGTAAATTTGGTTTTAGAGATCTTAAACATCTTTCCGAGCGTGTCAGGGATCATCAATCTTCTATGTAGCATCTGTACAATGCAGTAAAATACGGAACATTCGGAAATGTTAATATTGCAGCACAGTTGGATGAAGGACGCGCGGTTTCTATTCGTCGGCACAACCAAAACGTCGAGAAAACCGCCATGTTCTCGGTCGATTGATAGATGTTTTGAAGTTCATTGGTTGTCACGAGCTGTCCCTACGTGGGCACGATGAACGGGCTGGCTCTTCTAATAGAGGGGTATTTTTGGATATGGTGGGATACACCGCATCCCTAGATACAGTATTGAGTGATCATCTTGATGCCGCAAATGTTTCGAAAGGGACATCTAAGGATATCCAAAATGATTTGCTCGACTCAATGTATAAAATTTATTTACAACATTTGGCTCTGGAAATTGAGAATTGCCAGTTCCTTTCGATTCAGTCTGACGAGATAACTGACATCACGTGCGTTTCCCAATTGGCTGTGATTTTTCGGTTTGTGAAAGATGGTAAACCTACCGAGAGATTTCACAGCTTTGTACCAATCGTTGATCGCACGGCTTGCGGGATATCGGCTGTACTGAAAGAAGTGTTGCAGCCTTACAACGCGAAGTCAAAATTGATAGCTCAAACTTATGACGGCGCGGCAGTCATGAGTGGGTCGAAACATGGTGTTCAAGTTTATATAAAAGAAGATTTTCCTCATGCGCATTTTTTACATTGTTATGCACACCAATTTAACCTCGTTATTAAAAATATGTGTCTTGATACCCCTCTCGTCCATATATTTTTTGTAAATGTTTCGGGGTTTTCTTCATTTTTTTCCGTTTCGCCGAAGCGCTCTGACCTCCTTCGCCAGATATGCAGCCGCCGTCTCCCAGCTTGTGCACCGACACGTTGGAACTTCCAATCACGCGTGGTGCAGGGCGTGTCCGAAATTAGGTCTGAGCTCATTGAGTGTTTCAATGGCATTCAGAGCTCTCCGGTTTGGGACGAACGCTCTGTGAGGGATGCGGCAGGTCTAAAGCGTCTGCTAGAAGATGGTGAGTTTTCATTTTTTCTCCGCAATATTCTATCACGTGGATGTATTATACGGCGCATTGCAGTCAAGGCTAATGGATGGAGCGTCTGTGCAGTCGTGTATTTCAGACTTCTGCGATGCTGTATCTCGTATCCGGGAAACAATAAAATACGACGACACATGGAGTGCTTCTTTACGCCGCGGGCGAACAACGCAGCGTTTGATTTTGTCTGCAAAGGAATGCTGTGACATTCTGGTGAATCAAATAGGCGATCGTCTGCGCACTGAACACCTTGCCGCGTTCTCTTTGATGAACCCCAAAAATTTTTTAAAATTTGCACGTCAATTTCCCATCCATTTGTTGGCTACTGTCTCCAAATTTTACCCCATGATAAACGTGGGTAAATTGGAAAATGAATTGCGATGTATATACACCAATCAAACTTTTTTGAACATCACATCAACTTGCGCGCTCTATGGGTTCCTCATAGATAACACTCTAGTAACTACCTTTGCGGCGTCTGCAAAATTTCTGGACATCATTTTGACGACGCCTGTTTCTTCCGCCGACGCAGAGCGAACATTCAGCACGCTGAAGCGTATTAAAACGTATCTCAGAAACACAATGAAGCAAGATAGATTAAATTCCTTGGCTGTTTTATCCATTCACAGAGACGGTATTCCTGGGATGCATGACTTTAATCAGCGCGTTATTGAGCATTTTGCTTCCAAGAAACCGCGGCGTGTTGCATATATGTTCAAGCAGTAGAAGTCTAGCAGCATATATATCTATGAGTGAGCGACGCATGTCCTTATCTTTGCATTACCTTTCCTTTCTTCATAGTAACGTTTTAAACCTTATTTTAGGTTTTGTCTGCTTTCCCGAAGTTTCTGTTAATATGTCATTGTATTTATCTGGGTAAATATTGCCTTTCCTTTTGAAAGAGGTTTCAAAATAAACTATGTCTATATTTATTAATCCCTTGACTTGGACCGGTTTTAAAGACACTTTCTTATCGTTAAAAATTGTCGCTTTTGCCGATTGGTTGTTACCGATGGAATGGTTTTTATACTCATAAAATGATGGGAGAACTTACAGCGCTCATCCTGTCCCCGTAGATGGGGGTGACTTGGTCCCGCAGTAGCTTGCCCCGGTTGTCAAAATGACCACGCGCCGCTACTGCCAGCAAGTACATATAAGCGATATTGAATATAAATACTGTAGATGCCACCGTTATGATAATTTTGTCTCTTGAGTCATCAGTCAAAAAGGGTTCGTCATAGGTCCACTTTATATCTAAAAAATTAAGAGACCATACGTGAAAAGTTGTAGAATCTCAGATAGCCCGTAACACAAAAATATTGATGGTAACGGGATGCTATTTGTATTTCTACATCTCATAAACGGCCACAGATTTTGATGGGTTACCTCGAATGAGGGGAATATACCCAAATACCATTCTGTGACGGACACTCTCAGAATTAGAGACGCACTGAGTTACGCTGTGATAAGCATTGTACAAAATTTTTATACAACTTTTTTATATTTTCAATAAGGTTACCATAGGATAGAATTTACATATTTATCCCGAGGAGAGGAAAGCCGATAAGACGGCTTAACCATATGGCGAACCACGGCCTCTCGTCTCTCATTCTATGTCGGGTATGGGATTAGTTAGTTATTTGTTTTCGGAAGCATGGACTTGATGGTGCAGGAAGCCGTAACCGTCCAGCGGTTACGTGAACCACCCCACGACCCGACGAGACACAATCCCTGACAAATTTCGCAGTCATGTTTGCCAATTTTTGCGAGTAAAATACTTTTATTATGGTATAAATTGCATCGGAATCGACGCTGCTGTGGATTTTTCGTGGGAGGAGGGTGACCCAACTAAAACAGCAAAATAGAATTTCCCGGATTACGTGAAGATTCACGTCTCAAAATGACTTTGCAAGACGGTTGTTTTAAAATTTTGGGTCGGCCTCCAACATTAAAAATCCCGCCTTTTCCTTTGCAAGAGCTGCACAGCGGTGTTGCTTATCGTGCTAAGCGTTAGGGATACGCTCGCCACCGCATCCTTGATTACTCTGCGCGGGTTCGCAATTCGAATCCCACGCGGGGATTGTTATGTGCGAGAGATTTGCTGAACTGCTCGCCGCCGCAGGGTGGCTTAGTCACAAATTAGTCAAGTCACAAATTTCCCTCGGCATATACGAGAGATACGAGTACGAGATATATGAGATACGAGTTATCACATAATCATGTGTGACGAGAAGCTAAAATAAATAAAGGAGTGAATACGTGACCTAAATTTCTTGATTGAAAAGCGACATTATGAAATACTAAAAATAAAACGGAAACACCATATAAGTTTTATTTCAGGATAGCCCGTGACAGATTAAAGATGATTTTTAGACATTGCAAATCACAACAACATTTTGACGCGACTATGATATAGGTGTATAATACCGTAATTACGGTAATTTAAAAAAAGTAAAAGTATATTTAATTCAGTTTTTTTAAATAAATTTACTCTGTGGGATATTATCGCTGACATACCGTGATGTCCTCAAAATAATGAGTGGCAGCATTGCGATGGAGCGGAATAATTGTTGCAGCAACAGCTCAGATATGTTTTTAAATTGCAAAAATACGAATTAAAACAACATATAATCGTACATGTTTATGTCCACAGTTTGCGTTGGTATTTTGGAGCATTGATACTATTTATATTGTCGCAATTAAATCAACAAAGCAACACATTTCGTTTGGTGGAGATTTCGAGGTGATGAATATGTATGTTTCATATATACACCTTATATGTATATTTATTGTCGTTAATTAAATTCCGGGATTTTATAGAAGATCTTGGGAATTTTATAACAACTATAACGAATTCGCAAGAGCGCAATAATATGTATATATATATATATATATATATATCAAAGCTAAATATAAAGAGGTAGTTTATCTAACATTATTATGTTTGCAGATTGCCGTGGTATTTTAGATCGGTAATGTTCTTAT